CCCGAAAGCTTTCGAAAATGACTACGCGATCACTCCAAACCCTAACCTCACGCCGCTCGTCTTCCCGCGGTATAGCATTTCACCATCCCAGCTCCTCATATCGCTACACGAGCTTGCCACATTTCTCAACTCGTGGAGCCTACCGGACCTCCCCTGGGACGCGGCATACCCGGACCGCCTTTACGAAGTCGAATACCGCGTACTTCTCGCGCTCTTTAACGGCAACGGCAACGATGATGAAGAGCCTAGACTAGCCGTGCAGCCCGCAGGGTCCTACCTCAGCCAGAGCCAGAGCCCCAGCCAGAGGCTCGGAGTCATCCTACTGCACGCGATGCTACTCTTCATCTACACGAACCTACGCGAAACGCCGGTTGGCGGCGTCCTCCGTGCGCGCCTTCTCCGCCGGCTACGGGACGCCTTGGCCGCGGCTGCTACCACAGGCGATGATCTACTGCTCGACGACATAGTCTGCACATTTCCCGAGGAGATGCTCTGGGTTAGCCTGGTCGGCGCCGCTACAGCTGCGGCCGCGCCGTGCGGCAGCATAGCATCTGTCCATGAGCAGGATCTCGTGCCTGCGATACTGTCGCAGATTCGGCTCAAGCACGGGCTGTGGCAGTGGGAAGAGGCCAGGCTGTATCTACGGAGGATGCCGACATTCACGACTGATTTTCGCACGGGATGTATTAAGGCTCTAGAAGAAATTTGAAGACGACAAGCCACTCACCGCTTCCACAATCCGCAGTATATCCCTGTCTCCCAAGACACCAGTCGAGCATGCCCATCTACCTAACGCGCGCCCCCTTCCTCGGAGTATTCGAGATGCAAGGCCTCCTGCCCCAATTTTACACTGTTTGTTCTGACATTATACCACTCAGGCAGCCATGACCAACTTTAGGTTCTCCTCATCGTGCAACCTTTGGGACGCATGATATTCACTACGTGGACGCGATGTCTGCCAGGGCGGCGACTAATCTGTTGCCAAGAATAACCGGAGCAGGTATGCAATTAGCTAGGAAGCTCACACTTGGAGAAAGGGGGGTTTTTCCGGGATCTTGTTGATCACAGTGCTGCAAAGCCCCTTACTCACCTCGCAAGTCCCAGCTCGAGGGTCTCTCTGTCGTGGCTGCTGAAGACAAGGCGGAACTGGCCGGCCCTTTCGGCGTGCTCCTCGCCTGGGTGTAGGCCTACGCCGGCGTCAAGGAGCTTCTCGGCGAGCGCGAACTCGCAAGACTGTCTCTCGTCGTCGTTTGCGGTTTGCGATAACGGCGGGCTAAGCCATGGGCTGAGGTCCATGAAGACGAAGAAGCCAGCATTACTGTGTTGCAAAGCCGTCAATTTGCGCAGACGTTAGTAAGAGGCTCCTCATCTGTCAAGATATGTAGCATACAATTGATCTGGTGGCAAGGCAGGGAGAGGGACAGATGAGAGGGGATATGGGATTTGAAGGCGGTTTTGAAGTGATTCGTGCTTGTGACTCACGCAGGTTCGCATCTGACACCAGCCTCTGCGAGCACGCTGACCGTATAGTCGCGCGCGCTTAAAAGCCTCTGCCGGGACAGAGCAGTGAAGGAGGCAACGAATTCGCGGTCTTCGAGAATCGCGGTCCCGATGGCGACCGACAAGCCCGAAGGATTATGGAACCGCATGTTGCAGGACACGGCCCTGCGCAGGGCTGCATTGCGCGTGACGAGGCAGCCGAGCCGGAGTCCGGCGGCTGCGAAATCCTAATTCCGGAGAAGAAAGGCAGATACGTGTAAGCTGGATAAGGAAAGACCAGCAGGGACATTTTGTGTGCGACCTGTCAAGGTCGGGCTTGTGATCATCTTGATCGTATGGCTTTGTTTCCTCACTAACCTTGCTCATGCCATATAGGACGTGCAGTCGGTTGGTATCAATGAGGCCTGCGGGGTCGATCGAGAGCACTGACGTAAAGCCCTGGGCAAACTTCACGTCCTTCGCGTATGTGGAGAGTGCATAGACCTCGTCGCTGATGAGGTGAATGCTGTTATGCTCGCAAAAGGCCATGATGGCGCGCAAGGTCTGTGCAGGATATGTACGTCCTAGACAGCAAATGTGGTTAGCCAGATGTCCCGCTGTGCCGCGGGATTAATTAACATGATATTAAACGAGCCATGCAGTCCTGCAGTACCTAGAGGGTTGTGCGGGTTCACAATCAGCAGCGCCTTGACCTGAACACCTCTAGGGGCAGCGGTATCGAGCGCTTCCTGAAACGACGAGACGACTTCAGGCGCCAAGGCGTCTGCACCATGCACATTCGCATAGACCATGCGCAGGGCCGAGGTGTTGCCAAAGTCGAGCTCGAAACGGCCGTAGACCGGCCCGCTGACAAGGATGCCGTCGCCGGGGTCCGCGATGCTGAAGCCCAGGAGCTCGTGCATGGCAGTCAGGCCAGTCCCCGTGATGATGTGCTCTGCCTCAACCGATTGGACCGGGCTGAAATACTCGTTCATGTGCGCGGCCATGGCAACGGGAAATCGGGGTCCGCCTTCAGTGCTGAAGCGATATGTGTAGGCCAGAGCTGGGATGGACGCCTGGCACCCGGCGGTGCACATGTCAGCATGATAAGGTCTCGAGCAAGGCTGGCGGGTCAACGAGCGACTAACATGCTGCTGGGCGAAATCGTGAATCTCATCTAGCATCAGGGCCTAGCTCTGCGTCAGCATTGTTGCGACCCATCATCCATTACACTTGCAGCCCATACATTTTCAGAGGTTGCAAAGGAGATGACGCCGCCTGGGTTGGACACTGGATCGTAGCGGTTGTTAGCCCCGGGCGCAAACCGCCATGGGATATCGAGGGTTGCGGCGCCCGCAGCGCCTCTTCGTGACAGCATCTCCGAGTCGCGGGGGACAGAGTCGTTGCACCTGTAAGGGGAACTCAATAGACAAAAGGCGTGCTGGCACCCCTCTCATGGAGAGCAGCCGCATCGCTCTATTTGTATGTTGGGACGAACTGTCACCCATGTTCCAAGGGTTACCAAGGGTTCGCATAACTCTCCGTGGGGACACCACGACCTAACCCCCTTGGGAAAATGCTAGTCTTGGCGGCGGGGCCCCCGTCGGGTTAAGACGGCCAGCTCTGCTCAACGGGACTGTCGACCGAAAAATTTGCCCCGCGGCGTTCCGCACCAGCCACGGTATCAAGCTCAGTCTAACTTGGGTAAACCCACTTATAAGGTAGGTTCAGCTCAGTCGAAGCTCAAGCCAACCGCTAGGAGAGCCATTTAGTACGGTATAGATTTGCTTTATAGAGTGATATATTCCTCCAGCCTCATATCATGGTATCACTCTGAAGAATGGGCGCGTTCAGAATCAATGTGCTGGTATTCGTGCTAGCTCCATCAAGAAACTCAATCGGATCCAAAAGCTTTCTACCCAAATCTGATCTTTACGCCTTGATATAAGGAATTCCAGTGAGCTTGTAGCCGACTTCTGAAAGAACTGGCCTCTCGATTGGTCTGTCCTTGTTGTACGGGCAGGGCACACCGTCCCGGAGAACAGGAATGCCACCGACATGCATGGCATTTGGCCAATGCGTGGTACTCTTGAGATCCTCGAAGGCACCCTTCTTCCGAATCAAGTCCTCGTGTGTGGCCTCCGTGACGGGCAGATAGCATGTGTACATGGCAAATCTCGGCTGGGTGCCCTCGGGACTGAGGTTGTAGTGCGGGGTGCGGCTGTCCCACAACAAGAGATCACCCGGTTCTGCGTTGACCTTGATCCATTCGCAGCCCTTGTTCTTCAGCCACTCCATGCCCTCGGCAGTGAAGCCGTACCACTCGTTCGTCCAAGCCCAGATCCGGTTGGGTTCGTTCTTGAAGGCCTCGTGGAATTCCTCGCTGAGCAGATGGGCCCCTTTACACACGATGAGGCCGCCGTCGCGGTCGCCATTCGGAAGGATGTTGACAATGCCTTGCAGGCACCGGAAACCCGGTTTGGCAGGGTCCTGGTCCTGGTGAGGCCATGGCTTATTGCTGGCGACGTCAGAGCGACTAGGGAACGCCATGTTGATATTGTCAAATGACACAATCAAATCTGGCGTGCCATACGCCTTTTGGAAAGCGTCAATAACGCCGGGCTCTTGCCGTACTGCCCACGTAAACGACTCGTGGGCCACGCCGTAGCCATTGACCATGCCCTTCTCGTTGATGATGGGCAGATGCTCGTTTCTGATAGTCGAAGGGTCGTCCCTGCGAAAACCCATTCCGCCATTGCTGCCATGTTTGACCGAAATGTTAGTCCTCATGTCCGCACCATCAATAGAACCCACTGTTGATATCGGCTCTTGCTTACAAGTTTTCCAGCCAGCTGTACATAGCGTCGGCATATCGGTCGGCCCTGTCTCGTGGAACCGCACCCTTGACGACGACATAACCATCACGAAGCAGATCGTCCCTCCAGTCACCAAATGACTGGTGCGGTTGCGAGAAGAGGCGATCAGGACCAGAGGGCTTGGCCACGAGTGCCTGTTGCGTCTTGGACGTGGGGACCGCCACTGGGGCCACGTAGGCGGAAGCCTTGACCGAGTCTGAGTTAACAACCATGGTGTTCTGCTGCGTGCAAAGGTCTTCGTGGGAACCCTTAGTTCTTGCGGAGCACACGGGGATGTATAGTGAGCCAACGACTGGATGCGGCGTATAAATCTGCGTAGCGAAAGCTAAAAGATTGAAGTCGCCAGGCCTTCAATGATTATTTTGAGCCTCGTCAGGAGGCATCTGCTACTTTTTATCTCAGAATGGTTGGTCGTCGAGGCCTGCGACTCACGGAGCAGAACCCCGACACATGCACAAGCAGACAATCATTGGCGTCACTCAACATCGAGATACCGTGCCGAGGGGCGGGGAGACGCCCTCCCGGCACACATGGCGAGCACGTCGGCTTGCCGTCGGCTCGGAATCGGCCCGGTAACTTTGAGTTTGGGGGATTGTGGAGTCGTGATGCCGAAGAGGCGGGGGAGTTTCCGGGAATGTGGAGAGCCGATTGGGGAATGCGGAGAACGACGCTCACGGGGAGCCGATGGAGGGGTGAGCCTGGTGTTCTTGGGATTGCCATTTAACCAGGCTGGGGCGTCTCCAAAACATCAATCATCAGAGACAAAGTCAAATCCTTTACACTCAGTTTAGTCTTCGTTAGAGCGACCTCTCTCAATGTTGCCACTCAGCGGATGCTACAATACCCGATTTCAGAAAAGCCACCTTTATTGTCCTAACCCGTCCACGATTCTACTCCAGGCCCGGTATAGTCACCATGCCGCTCAGGAACCTCGATGTTGAGGTGCCAGTGGTGCCCATCAACCCGCCCACAGTTGGTCGCGGGGGGTACACAGGGCTCAACCCCCGTACTGAGACTCTCCCCAGGGGCTGGAAGTTTGACCACCCTGACGCAAAGCCCATAGACTCTGACATCACTGTTGACCACGATGTCGCGGTCAGGATGCGAGACGGCACCACCCTATATGCCGACATCTACCGGCCGCCATCCTCCAGCGCTGGCGACAAGGTGCCCGCCATCGTTTGCTGGTCTCCGTTTGGCAAGCAGTTCAACGGCATCCTGTCGCTGGGTCTCATGGTCCCCTGGGATCTGGGCATTCCCAAGGGCACGCTCTCCGGCCTTGAGAAGTTTGAGGGACCTGATCCGGCCGAGTGGGTGCCGCGCGGCTATGCCATTGTCAACATCGACGCGCGAGGTGCTTTCGACAGCGAGGGCACCATGGTGATAATGGGCACGCAAGAGGCCGAGGACTGCTACGACAGCATTGAAGCCTGTGCCAAGATGCCCTGGTGCAACGGCAAGGTCGGCATGGCCGGCAACTCGCATTTGGCCATCATCCAGTGGTTCGTTGCTGCCCTCAGGCCGCCAAGTCTGGCAGCGATAGCGCCGTGGGAGGGCTGCGGTGACCTCTATCGCGAGCAGTTTGCGCGCGGCGGCATCTACGGCGGTGACCTCTTCGACAAGCTTATTGTCAAGTATATGCTGCAGGGTCGCAGTGGTATCGAGAGCTTTGGCGACATGTTTAAAAAGCACCCGCTGGCCAATGCGTGGTGGAACGACAAACGCCCCGACATGAAGAAAATCAACATCCCAACATACATCACCGGCACGTGGACCAACACGATGCACGGCATGGGGGCCATTCGCGGCTGGCTCGAGGTCGACACCCCCGACAAGTGGATGCGCTGGCACCCATGGCAGGAATGGTACGACCTCTGGGGCAATAATCAGGCCCGCGAGGAGCTGCTGCAGTTCTTCGACTACTTCCTGCTGGACAAAAAGAACAATGGCTGGAATACTGTCCCTCGTCTCCGAATGGCCACTCTTCGGTTTGGCAAAAAGGAGCCTCAGTCTTATGAGAACATCGTCGAGGATGAATTTCCTCCTGCGCGAACCCAGTACAAGAAGTTCTATCTCGCCCCAGAGGGCAAGGTGTCTGTTGAGCAGCCACTCCAAGGTCCCTCACACATCGCCAGCTATAACTCCGAGACCGCCGACAGGCTCGACTTTGTACACACGTTCTCGGAGACGACCACCATCATGGGCATTCCCAAGGCCGTGTTGTACATGTCGTGTCCTGACTACGACGACATGGACGTCTACGTGACGGTGGAGAAGCTCGACAAGAAGGGCAAGCAGATGACCAATCTCAACATCCCGTGGTCTGGCATCCCTGTCAACTCGTTCGAGGAGATGAAGCCCGAGCAGATGACCGAAGTTGTCACTTACAAGGGGCCCATGGGTATCATGCGAGCATCGCTCCGCGCCATTGACGAATCCAAGAGTATGCACCCGCACTGGCCCTACTACCCGCAAGACAAGGCGGAGAAGATCACCCCAGGGACGATTGTGCGGCTGGATATTGGCATCTGGGCCACCGGAATTGAGTTTGAGGCGGGCGAGTCGGTGCGGATAGTCGTCTGTGGACGCGGTCTGGGTGTGAATAATTTCGGCTCATTGGAACATCTGGACAACAAGGGTATACACCAACTGCACCTTGGAGGCGAGCATGGCAGTCACGTTATTCTTCCATTTGTATAGCAAGCCTAAATAGTTAAAGTTGAACAGCCTAGGTTGAAGCGCACACGAACTCCTGTGCAAGTGTAGGCCCAGCCGATGATGGCCGGTTAAGTGTCCAACATGGACCACCGCCAGCGCCTTTATGAAGCCTCCTTGCTCTGCTGCGATCTAAGTATGGACTCCTCCACTCCCAGCGGCCTCATTTCGAGTATATCTACCCTGCGTGGATCCAGCCTGAGCAGCAAGGGCTCTGAATCAATGGGATGGGTTGTGTAGCTATTGTGTGGTCCACCACGAGCAGTAGCCCACAGCTCGCACTCGACCACGACGCGGAGCCTGGCTGCCACGGCTCTGAATTCGGTGAGAGTCTGCGCCGCGGCATCCGAGTCTTCTTCGCCTTCACTCCGCTCACTCCCTTCGCTCCCTTCATAATCTTCGTCAAACGTATCCCACGCATCCCCAGTATTTTCCGTGTCGATGTCCGCCTCCAGGGCCAACGGCAGAGGATGTGTTCCGGGGTCCACGACACGGCTGAGCCAGCCACCACGCCCGACACGGCAGCAAAAGTCGATGAATGCCTTGGCGCTATAACGATTCTTCCACAGGGCAACCTTTTGATCCGCAGTGAGCGAGCGGTAGGTATTCTGCGCGTCGAGCAGCACGGCCGCCGGAATGTACTCGTCACTTTCACCCGGGGATCCATCCAACCCAAATGTGGATCTGATCTGGGTTGATCTTTGCTCTGATTCGGGAAGGAAGAGCTCCTGGATAGGCACGTGCGTGGGAACACAAACGGTAAAATCGGTCAGGTTGGGAAAACGGTGGAACTTGACAGGCCGTTTGGGAGGTCGGTCGTAATCCCAGGCGATCCCACCTGAGATGTCAGCCACATGAAATATGATGTGGTTGATGGCCTTTCTGAGGTCCTTTGCGGGGAGGATTGGCAGCTGCGTGGGCATGTAAGGCGGGTATACAATATGCAAGTCCAGCTTGCCGTGTTGACCAATAAACGGTCTCGTCTCTTCAAAGATCTGCTTGCAGGTCGAGGCCAGCGCCTTGGGGATCTCGCATTGGGACTCGATTCCACTGCCCACATCCACGGCATAGCGCAGCCAGGGGCGGTCGACCTCGCGGTAGTAGATGGCCCACATATACTGCCGAAGCTCTGTTGGCAGGCTCAGGAGCTGGAGATGTGGCTTTCCCTCCATTACTGCCGTGCAGCTGTCGTGTCGGCGGGGTTCGGTTCACGAGTGCGGATGTTGGTGTGTGTGGTGTGCAGGCAGCGCAGCGGTCAACAGGACAGCTAGCATGGTAGGTTGTGGCATGATAGGTGGCGCGTCGCCAAAGTGGACACAAGCCAACGCAGCAATGGCCAACCAATCCCTTGCGATGTCCACATAGTCACGGGCGGGGGGAACAATTGGTGCCATCAGTTCTGTATCCCATATTATTCGCGAGACGGCCAAATGCTTTCCCTCATGTGCGCTCTACCGATAAACAGCATGTAGTGCTTGACAGATAAAGCCTTGAGCGCCCTACAGAAATGACCTCGCAGAGTAGGTGAAAGGTTAAATGAAGTGTGTTCGTGGTGAAGAGTAAGATAACCAATACTGAGGCCCCGTTGGGGCTTGATATGTTGTACCAGTCAGTGAAACAACGTAAAGTGCATGTCCGCGCGACGCGACTATTGGACGTATGAGGGCAGGGCAGGCTCAGTGGTCACCCGCTTGGGATAGAGAAACATGGCGGCGAAGGCAACAGGTACGGCAACTGCACACAATGCCATATTAGTATCAAGGCGCAGAGCAGGAGATGAAAATGCAGGAAAGGACAAAAGAGTCGATGGAGAAGTGCAAGACTCACATGTGGTCCCAATGACATCCTCCAAGTTGAGACCGTCAGCAGCGATCTTTGAGCACTCCGCATTCCAGTCCGGAATGCGTGAAATATCAGCGGGTCCGTCATGCGTCAGAGCGTCCTTGATGAGGGCCTGGAGGGGTGCACCCCAGAGAGAGCTCTCATGTGTGCCGACAAGTGCGGGAGAAGCAAGCGGGCAAACCTTCTGCAGCTCCACGTTGAGAACACCGACACCGCGTTCGTCCTGCAGGTATGCAGAGGCATTCGCGCCGGATTGGGGTTGGACGACGTCGTCAGTGGCACTATAGACAGTGGTGGTCGGCACGTAGGCGGAGGCGCCACCGACGCGGCGGAAAGCCTCGATGAACTTGGCGTTGTACAGCTGCTGGGAGACGGCGGGAGGGCACGACAAGAGACCCAGTTTAGGGCACAACACGTTCAGAAGCACGCTACCGTGATAGTCGGGCGAAACAGCGATGTAGTCGCTGACCACATGGCGTGTTGACGGCCAGTATGTGAAGGCCCACTGAGTGTCGAGGTTGCCTTGGGAAAGGGCAATGACAGACACGTTCTGCGATGTGATGCCGGAAATGTAGTTGATGGCATAAGCCACGAACTCCTGGCAAGCGGTCGAGAGCACGTAAGAAGCGATGTCATGATACAGGGAAACAAAGGACGGTCACTTACGGCGTTCCACGGGACTTCCTCCAGGAGCCATCCCGGAATGTTGAGCCAGACAGGGTCGGCATAGTCCTCCTGTGGAAGTAACTTGGCCAGGTTAGGCTCGTAGCAGAGCCCACCTTTCGTCGCTGTCCCTGGCACGAGAACAACGGGAGGTTTCTTGCCGTACGTGAAGGTGTCTGGGATGTAGATGGCGGCACGGAGCTTCTCCTCGGTGATGGAGTAGGGCACGTCGTCAGCATCCGCAGAGGGGAAGATAACCTTTGCAGGCTCCCGGGTGTTGACATTGTTCTCGCTGTTGGAGCCGGCCGAGTACTGCTGGATTACCCCTTCCAAACTGGTTGGGCCCAGCCCGTTGAGGACAAGCTCGACTGCACTCTGCAGAAGTGCGGTTGGCTTAGCACCACCAACCTTCTTGACGATGGACGCGACTTCCTTGATGGAGGATGGCGTTGCAGTCGGTTTGATCTGGCCCAGCTCGGCCAGCAGGACAGCGCCTACGACACCAACATCGTTTAGCTGGTCGTCGATTTTGTCCAGGGTGCCTTGGAGTGCGCCAGTAAGCCCACCAACAAGCCCCGTAACGCCGCCGAGAAGCCCGGGAACAGCACTGGCAGCGCCAAGCAAGGTAGCGGCAAGAGTCGTGGTACGCATCTCGAAAGCCACAAGTGCAAAAAGAGCGGAAGCGTCGAAAGCTACACAGAAATGGTCGATGTGGAGGAGTAGAACAATGAAACCGCGTCCTCGGCTTGTCTTGATTACCTTAGTCTCCTTTTCTTTCCTGTGAGTAAGTGGGCATCCATCAGCCACCAGAAGTAGAGGAATACACACAAGCGATCATCGCTGTCCCATGCGCCGGGGGGGGGGGGGGTGCATGGATATGAACCCCCTGCCGCCCCTCGGTTTGGGAGAGACCGGGGGTGGGCTCGTGCTCAGTAGTGTGATCCACAGACCCTGTCGATCATTTCCAGGGCAAGGGTGAATTGCTCCAGTCTCCATTTGGGCAGAAGAATCCAGACAGGGACACACACACAAAGCAAAGTACTCTCTTACCAATTCCATTCCTGCGCTAATCCTCCAGTGATCTATTAGAAACGTAGGAGACCATAGTGCGCAAGCCTTGCTCCGCTTTCAAGCCTTGATCAACCAATGTTGTATACGGAATGAGCCAAGATCGGCGTTGAGGTTTTCCTGATTCATAGATTGCGAGCCGATGAAAGCATTCTTCTCTAGCATTGTTAGCAGATCGTGACTGTAGCTGGGGACTCAGGATTAGCGTGCTCGGACCCACTGTCCAGATTCTCCTGCCCAAACGGAGCCAGTCTACCCCAATGACAATGACAGCTGGGCTTACGACGATGGCGCCAGACAATGCCCCACTAGCTGAATCGTCAGCTCGAAGACCCCTTCCTTCTCGGGCATGTCGAGCCGTCCGTGTGGACGTATACTTTACCTACGACAAACGGGGGAATCCACATTGAACTGCGTGTCGGCTCCAGATTCCATCCTGCACAACATCACGTCAAGCCCCTGTCCATCTATTGACTACGAACCGCTTGAACCCCGCGCCTGCGGGATATCGGACTTAAAACTGCCGCGAGATACGGATCGCGCAAGGAATAATTGAAAGAAGCCTCCCCGTGTTGCCGTGGTGCAGGCGGTCCACACTGTCAGGATCAAACGAGCCCGGCCCTCCTTGACTCGCAAGTATAAGCACTGCTAAGTATGCTTGTCGGTTAGGGTCCCGGGACTAGTGGCAAGACATTGCAGAGATACACCAAGCATCAGGCAAATTGGCCGCAGCTTGAGCGTTTCTTATTTGCCAACTAGTATCTTTCTAGTCAGGACCGACGCACGCCAGATTGTGTGTGTTCTACAGGAAGCGCTGTTGAGCTGTTGGCCCAGTGTGTCAGTCGGTGCTAGCGTAAACCTTGGCCACAGTCGTAGCGAAGCGAGGGGCTCTAACCAATGCTGAGATATAGGAGCAACCTGGCGCTGATTTGTGGCGTCGTTGGGACACTGTGGGGAGGAGGATGTTGTGTGCCCTGGCAGCACACTAAGAGAGCAAAGCTCGCTTGTCATGGCCGGCGATGGGTAGTGCCGCCACGGACTTCCCAGATTTCCGCGGCCGATCAGTAACCCATGGGGAAACAGTGTGGCTTGCAGGGCTCACGGCCACGGCCGAGTTGCTGGTAGTGCCACCTTGGCTGGGCCGGAAATCCCTGCGAGCAGGTTGACACTATTGGCAGGCTGCAGGTCGGTTCACGCCCGGGCCATTGTCGAGATCCAGAATGAGTCATGGCTGCTCCAAGAGCCCGTCAACCAGCAATGTTCAGACCCCTATTGTGATCTGCTCTGCCTGCAGACACACCATCGCTCAAGGCTTCCATGACGAGCCGGATGGAAAACGAATCGCAAGGAAAGGCAACTTGACAGACAGGGCCTACATGTCGTGCGAGCCCTTCCCTCGGTAGGGGTTGCAGGGTCCCCATGCATCACTTGGGGAGTTCCACTATGGTGATCTTGCCGCTATTATGTATTCGATCATTGGTCGACCGGATACCGTCCCGCCGGAGCTGTTACCAGGTTCATAAACCCACCTAGCCGCTGGCTTGCCATTGCTTATTTCGCTCGGCAATCCTTTGCGCGAACCGATTTCGAGAGCGTTGTGACACCAGCAGTACAACATCGACGGAGCGCATTCCACGGAGCTGTGCAAGGTTGTCTCGAGTGCTCCAGGTTGGCATCGTTCTCCATGCACCGATTCCTTTCCATCGTCGCCTCGTGCCTCTGGCTCTCAGTGGTTCTGGCTGTGGCTCCGACGCCACCACCAGTCTGCGGCGTAAGTTGGTAGCAGACATGATTGCACATGGCTGGACAAAGCTGACTCTATGCCTACCCAGCTTCTCTGTCTCAAGGAGGCCGTCTCTGCCTCGCCATGCGGAACGAACCAAACATGCATCTGTACCAACGCCCAGCTCACGGCTACCGCCCAGCTCTGTGTCCAGTCAAACTGCACCATCAAAGAGTCACTGAGCACCATGAACTACTCGATGGCCTCGTGCCATGCACCGATCCGCGATGAGAGCTTGGAGACCATGTGGCTCGGCATGTCGTTTTTCATTGTCTCGGTGGTTTTCTTCATCCTGCGCCTTGTCTCACGGGTGGTCGGCAAAGCCGGCTTCCAATGGGATGACTACAGCATGGTCGGTGCTATCCTCGCCGGCGGGGGCTTCGCGGCAACGAGCGTGCCGCTATACTGGTATGGGCTGGGCAGGGACATTTGGACTGTGCCATTTGAAGACATTACCAAGATGCTGATCGTATGTCATGCCTCACCCATTAGGGCCTCACCAGAGCTTGCAGGGACTGACCAGCACGGTGCAATACAGGGGTACTACCACGGCGAATGGGTCTATGCAGTCGCCATCTTCTTTACCAAGATGTCTCTGCTCCTCTTCTACCTCAGAGTTTTCCCGGTTCGCAACATCCGGATTCAGGTCTACGTCCTGATGGGATGCCTCGTCACATACAGCATCTTGGCCGTCGCGGTGTCTTGCAACCAATGCCGGCCTGTGTGGGGTGCGTGGGAATACTGGCATGGCGAGGCAGACATCTCTTGTCTCGACCGCAATGCCCTTGGCTGGGCGTCAGCCGTGGTGAACATGTCACTTGACATTGCCATCATCGTCCTGCCCCTGCGGCCGCTATCAAAGCTCGCCATGTCAAAGAGGAAGAAGGCTCAGGTCATCATCATGTTCATGGTTGGTACATTGTAAGTTGTCCATCCGCCACCACGCACAGCAGATCTCCGAGCTAACACCCGTTCGTCAGCGTCACCGTTGTCAGCATTGTCCGCCTGCAATCCCTCATTCACTTTTCCCACAGCACCAACCCAACGTGGGACTACCGCGAGATGGGGTATTGGAGCCAAATCGAGGTTCATGTCGGCAACGTCTGCGCTTGCATGCCAGCGACATACTCGCTGCTCAAGAAGGCGCTGCCTTCTATCATGGGCAGCTCTGGCGTCAAGTCCAAGGACACTATGCAAAGCGACGATACTGGAGGCTATCTGTCGCACTCTTCCAAGCCGACTCGCATCAAGGAGGATCATGAGCAAAACTTTGTTCGGCTGCAGGACTTTGAGCCCGGCAAGGGCGCGGTTAGGGAGGCCACTTCTACCGCTTGATTTTGTGTTCATAACTGGCTGTGCGTTATTTCAGACCAGGGACCATGGTATTGATCTATTAGAATATACAAGTCTTTCTCTCTGGCTCTCCTGAGCATTCTTCAGCGCCCTCTCTGCGTGCGCATCCACTAGGTGAAAGCCTTGTGTGCATTCTCTTGGCTACTTGATTTTCCACTCGAACAGCCCTATGTCTAGTCTAACCATTTATCCGGATGTAAAACACCGGCGCAACGCCTTGGATGCTTGATCCACGGGACCCGCCACCAGCTAGCCCCAAGCACGCCCTCGGACAAGCCTATCGACCAGGAAGCTGAATGCTCTTGTGGCGATGCCTTTGGCGCTAAGGCTAGACGGCGTCTTCCGCGGACACTACGGTTCCAAGCACTAGTCTCTCCGTGACGCGCTTGTCCAAGGAGACCCAGTGGCGATCCACTTCACCTGGAACAATGCCCGCTCGTGACAGCCGTTGCGACTATGCATCCAAATTACGTCAAGCCTGCCCCTGAGCGCAGAGCTCTAGTTTCCCCACCACAGGCGTTTCCACTATCTTGCGCGCGCCAGCGACGAGCGCATGAATTGTGTCTCAAGATTGCTGGGATCGACAGCTTAGACTTCCCACTAACAACTCATGAAGCAGCACCGGTGGTCCTTAGCCTGCGAGAAGCAGAGGCGCGCGAGGCGCGACACCCGTGAATCGGACCGCGGACCGCGTCGGCTAAGTGCAGGTGTGACAGCCCTCCGTCCCTCCCTCTCAGGCGCGCATTCGGCCGAGAGCGTGGTGGAAAATCACACAACTCACCCCGAGCTCGAGAAGTGCCATGCAGATCACTTCGGAAAATGACCGGGGGATAAGAGGTGTTGTTGATTCATGGGTCCCCCACAAGTATCCGCCAACTCATAGCCGCTAGCTCCTCGTTCTCCTCCTATCTCATATCTCGTGCATCCAAGTCAGCGTAATGCCATCCATCTTCAGAGACTCGGCCAGCTCCTCGGCAACCCGCGGAATGTAGGGTAACGGCTCGAGACAAATCGCCTCGAGTTGGGGTAGTTTTCTCCTCCACCGTTCCCCTGAGGCGAGTGCGGCGCCGATGCCGCTGCGGGCCCATATGTGGCAGAGCTCCTCGTGGCGCGGCTGAAAGCGGAAGGCCAGCTTGAGCAGACTCTTGGGCAGGTTGTCGAGGAACTTGGGCCAGGTGTTGACCTCAAGCCAGTCGATCAGCAGGTGTGGCTCGACCCGGAGGAAGCGCAGGTGGCTGAGCTGAGAGAGGCAGGTCAGTCGTCCGAGAGGGCCGAGCAGATACCCGAGCTCGACGGGGTCGAAGTCGGCCGCCGTGAAGCTCAGGCTGCGCAGGGTATCGCGGCGCTCGAGGATTGCCATGTTGTAGTCGTCGTTGGTGCCGGCCGATGTTGAGGGCGATGGAGGGACGGCGTGACGGGTCAGATTGAGGGAGAGGGTCTCAAGTTTCCTTGCGGACCGCAGGAGGAGCGTTGCCTCGCCAGGATGGTCGAGGTGGACGAGGTTCAGCTCTGTAATCTGCGCGATGACGCTGGTTGCTGTGTCATTCGTGTTGACGTCTTGCAGACAGTGGTCGGACAAGTCCAGGCGCTTGAGTTTGCCAGCTCGAAGCTTCAGGATGGGTAGGATTCCCTCGAGGCCGTTTCCGTCGCCGGAATCCTCGGGTAGGAGGACCGGCCCGTCCAGGGAAGGTCCCTGCTGAAGCTGCAGTACATCGAGTCTTTGTAGCGGCTCGAATTTGCCATGGCTAGTGCTTCCACCTTCATTAGCTGCGTCTGTTTGTGTCGGTGGCGGTCGCTGTGTGATGCTTAATGTGTTGAGCGAGTCTATGAGATTATTATCTTCGTCAGGCAACAATATGCGGAGTGCCGCTTGCAGATTCCTGGACGAGGAGTCGACAGTGAAAGGTACGTGGACGAGGAGTCTTTGCAGACTTGGCAAGAGGCAGATGAGCAGTGCAACTAGTTTCTGCTGTACGGCCTGTTGGTGACCCCTGACGGCGGCATCCTCCGTTAACAGGTGCATCTTCTCAAACAGCTGCCGGTGGTCTCCGTGGACGTCGTTGACCGCGAGAATGCTTCTTGAGGTCTCCCACCATCGTGCGTCGAACGAGAGCTGAAGAGGAACCGCCAGGCTGACGACAAGCCTCCCCAGCCGGGGGTTCTGCGAGACGGTCCGGAGCAGGCGCAGACAACGACGGGCACCGGGATTCGAGCCGTCGAGCGGCAGCACAATATTTGCGTACAGCAGCGGCCTGGCGATGTCGAGCAGGCGGTGGCTGGTGAGGCACAGCGACCACAAGACCGACCGCCGCGCAGTGAAGCCGGAGTCGGGTCTTGTGCGACCAAACTCGAGGGGCCGCAGCTCAAAGTACCGCAGGATCGCCAGCCATATCTCGTACGGCAGCGCCGGGATGGACCCCGCGGCGGCAGGCCGGTGGTGTGGCGGGTGGCTGCTCGCCGTCATGGCTGTGCTGCCACAAGAGGCAGGCGGGCCTCGACGTGTTGGACTGGCAGGAGTGCCACTTCTGCCGACAGCCAGCTCTCCTGGGAGTGTGGTTGAGCTCGGGGAAACAAAGGGCTGGCTCGGTGGTGATGGGATGGAAAGAGTCTGAGCACTGCTGGTGATGGATGACGTTTGATTGGCAGAATGCCCGCAGGCAAACTCCGTACAGGGTAGGCGGTCAGGACCCAGGCCCCCGGTCGCCGGACTCATCCTCCGGATTCCATGTCGATCCGATCACGGTCAACCTTCGCCAGACAGAACATCTTCTAATTTAGTAAATCGGACTCGTACAGATCAAAAAGAGCGTGAGCAGTTCCCATGGTCTGCGAGGACATTCATTGCTCGTGGTGTGGGCATCTCCTGAAAGCATCATTGTCTACCAAATTCATTGGGAGTCGTGCACCAGGTTTGGGTGAACTGCCGACCACAACAAGACAACTGGGAGAGTTCGCCCCTTTCGGCGATACCACCCTTGCCTCTGGCCAATAATTCGAGGCATAGCTTATCTTGAGCAGATCTGGCCGCTGGTTGGCAAAAACAAAGTTGACAAGTATGCAGTCACTAGGGCGCGCCCAGCAATCGTGGGGCAAATACTCTGTCCCGCATCGATTTATCGGTGATGTCACAAATAAGCAAGACAAGTGTTTGAGATTCCCATAAGATGCCAAAACCTCCCCATACTCTGGTCTATCTCATGGCTTAATTTCAACGACAGTGCCACAACCCAAAATAAACACTATGGCTTCGTCGGCGCTTTTCCCTCTTGCAGAGTCATTTTCTCACAACGGGTGGGCCATCAGGTACACCACAATGCCTTGTCCAGACTCTCCAGACAACTGGGTAGTCTTTGTGCACGGCACCCCATGGTCCTCAGATGTATTCCAGCCTCTCGCAAAGGCTCTGCATGCCATGGGAAACTACAACATCCTACTTTACGACCTCCCAGGCTACGGCCAATCGCAACAATGGACGGCACCGGACAGTCACAGTTCAGAGCCAGATGCCTCGGTCAAGGCCCAGGGCCAGGCACTCGCCAGTCTGCTCAACCATCTCGCGCTTTCGGGCACCCAGAAAAGACCGCGAGTCATCGCGCACGACATTGCGGGCGTCATCTCGCTGCGCGCACACCTCCTGCATGGCTGCGAGTACGAGAGTCTGGCCCTGCTCGACACCAACTGCGTCCTGCCCTGGGGTGATAAGCTTTACAACCTCGTCCGGTCCAGCCCAGAGGTGTTTGAGGAGATGCCACAAGGCATATTTGAGGGAGCCCTGCGGGCGATCATTCGCAGCGCGAGGGCGAGGACAGACCTCGGGCTCGCGGGAGATGGGTGGGAAGATATCCTTGCGCGGCCGTGGATCGATAGCATAGAGGGTCAGAGGGAGGTTGGTCGAACATCGTCACGGCTTAGCCCGCAGGTCAGTTTTGTCAGGCAGATCAAGCAGGCGGACGATACGCATACGAGCGAGCTGCTAGAGCAAGGGCTTTATGGGGCAGTTCGGTGTCCTGTCAAGATACTTTGGGGCAAGGAGGACCACTGGATTCCACGGGAGAAGATGGAAAAGTTGGCAGCTCTTCTGGGAGACAACCTGAAGACGTTTGTGACCGTGCCCGGCGCTGGTCATCTCATCATGTTGGATCAGCCGGAGCGTATTGCGGTGGAAATATGCAGATGGATTGAGTTTGGGCAATGAGACTCTCGTGGCCTGATGAGGTCTCCCTTTGGATACAAGGATTGTGAAGCTCTCTGCGGTTTGACGTGGTGTTGTCGGCATTGTCGGCGCTTCCTTGCTCGCCGTCTACATTCATTGCACTGCACATGCCAATGAGTACTAGGAAAGGGCCCGGAAGATGAATAGGCAGACGCAGTAAAACATCGTTTGAGCGAACGAGGAGAGTTTTCTATAAGGCCGCATCAGCTCACGTGCGCAATTGTCGCCAGCAACCTTGATGGCCGTGCCTCCGAAATGTATGGGGGGCGACCCACTGAACGCCCAAGACGATGATGGATAATGGTGTACCTTGAGGGCTACCTTTCGGCTCATCATGCGTAGTCTTTGCTTTTTAACAACATTTCTGTCAACATCGTGCCTCCAATATCATAAGTCTGCTTTCCTCACATTTCTGTGCAGCCTATAATGTTGAAATCCGGCGTGCTTGTGGCTGGGCAGCCGTCACAAGGTAGTGAGACAGACAGCGACGTCTCAGATGTGCCAAATTCATCCAAGTCGAGCCCTGGGCATGAACGAGGTATTAGACGAAAGTGAGTCGCAAGAGCTGTATGGAATCCGGCTGGGGGAGATCATGCTCACGTAGGACCTCCCAGGATCGACTTTTCAGTCCTACCACTTTTGTTTCTCGGCCTATTTGTCTTTCAGCTCGACCGGATGAACCTTGCAAGCGCACTCACCGCAGGGTTCGCAGCAGATGTCAACATTGACCAGGACACCATCAACCTCGGCAATCAGCTCATGTACATGGGCAATGTGGTCCTAGAGATACCGTCAAATATGCTCCTTCATTGGGTAAGCCCTCCCATTGTGCGGGTTCCTACGTTCATGGCCTGGGAACTGACACAAGTACCTTGCAAAGATTGGTCCACAGAAATGGATATCCGCGCAAGTCATCATGTTCGGCACAACTGCTTGCTTGCAAGTCTTCGTCACAAACCGTGCCGCGTTCATCGCGACACGCCTCATCCTCGGCCTGACAGAGGCGGGGTACATCCCTGGAGGACTGTACACGTTATCGACGTGGTACACACGACCCGAACTTGCCCGACGTGTTGCGGTGTTCTTCTTTGGCATGTTTGGCGGCAACGCGATGAGCCCGTTGCTCGCGGCGGGGATCCTGCAGCTCGAAGGGACCAGGGGGCTTCGCGGGTGGCAGTGGCTTTTCCTTGGTGAGTAGATCTGTCTCGCAGGCTGTATATGTTTGATGCGGGCTTTGCTCAATGAAATCTGACGCCGGGTTGAAGTTGAGGGTCTATTCACAATATGCGTAGGAGTCAGCCTGTTTCTCCTGCTGCCAGGGTGTCCAGAGCAGCCACGACCGTTTGGCAGTCCGGGACTCGTCAAGTTCTCGACCCAGGATTTGACAATTTTGCAAGAACGTCTCGAGGCAGAAAACCCGGAGCGCAAATCCGCTACGCAGGGCTCGCACGTCCCATGGGCGGTCGTTGTCCAGACCGTATGCCAGTACCGCCGATGGTTGCACTTTTTATCCAGCTTCTGTGTGTTCTCGACCTGGAGCCCGCTGACGACGTATACTCCTTCGATAATCATGTACGTCGTCTATCCTATGAAACAGTGCAGATAAAGGCCCCGCTGACGTGTGAGTGCGAGAAAAGGTCCCTTGGCTTCACCCGCATCCAGGCCAACGCCCTCGCCGCGGTTGGCGCCTCGCTGGCTCTGGTGGTGATATTCATCTTCGCTTGGCTCAGCGACCGCACTCAGCAGCGCGGCGCCACCGTCTTAGCGGGCCAGTCGTGCTATCTTGTCGTGCTAGTCGTGGCTCGCTTCGTGCACCCTCATGTCGGGAAGTGGCCGCGCTGGGCCCTCTGGACTGCCATCAACAGCTTTGCCGTGGGGTACCATCCGGCGCATAACACGTGGTTGCAGGTAAATTGCAAGGATCCGAGGGAGAGGAGTATAAGTATTGCGTGAGTTCTCTGGTCCTTTTCGCGACTCTCTTTAAGGGTTTGGCAGCTGACAAGATTGCTAGAATGTGGTGCATGTCGTCCATTAGCGGCATGATGGTGGGCGCGCGCTACTTTCGTGCCGAGGACGGGCCATAGTAAGCTCAACTGACTGTCCGCCGTGACGAGACTGACAGGCCAAACTGTGGCCCATGCTGACATGTCATCGTAGCTATCCGCAGGGTTTGCAGCTCATGATCATCATGGTGTCCGTGGGTATGCTCTTTGCTGCGGGCCAGATGGTCGTGTATATCATGCACAACAAAAGACTCGCGAAGAGTTCCATCACAGCTCGAGACGGAAAGGGCATAATGGTGTACAGACCTTGACTATTAGCCTGCCTTTAATTCCTGGCAGCGATCATGTCTAAAGACAGCACGCAAGCACACCCGGACCCATCAACGCATGCCAGTGCTCAAAAAGAAAAACATCTTAATGTTCTTATCAACATAACTCCGACTCGACGCCACTGAAGAGGCTTTCTCACGCTGCTGCTGGATACCGCGACACCTCGCGCATGTGCTCCGGCGTCCCCAGCGGCTGCATTGTATCCTGGCCGTTGCGGCGCTGGGCGACCTTGCGGTTGCAGTTGTTGCAGTAGTGGCTCACATGGCTCTTCCACTGCTTCGCGTATGGGACCACGGTCCCGCCTATAGTGGTGAGGAAGAGGCCCGTCGCAGCGGCGCTGTGGGGTGGCGAGCGAGGCACTTGACGTCAACACTTGAGCACGAAGTTTCGGAGTACACGGCGGCAGGACGTAATGAAGAGGAGTGGAATAATATAATATGACGTACTGGGTGGCCAGTGACGGCTTCTTCTTCACACGCGTTATCGAGCGGCGCTGGCAGAACGGGCAATCGACCGTGTCGGGCTGATCACCCAGCAGATGCAGAGGCGTAACTGTCGCGGCGCTGAAGCTTCCGAGTGCAGTCGACTGACTAGCGATGCTGTCGCGCTGGTGAGGATAGATCTGCTGCTCGCGGATCTTGTGTGGATCAATATCGGGCCGGATGTCGACGGACTGGTGCGACGTGACTACCTCGGGGAGCCCGCCGTCGTCAATGTATGGGAGTGGACTGTGGGCTTTGACTGGTGGCTTGTAATCTGTGGTTTTGGTACTGGACTCGGGCTGGGGATCAAAAGGATTTGATGAAAGCTTCTCGCTTTGTGAGGGTGGTGTTGTCGAGCTTGCAGAGTATGAAGGAGGGGAGTCGTGTGTCGTCGAGGAGGCGCTGTTGGATCTCGTGGGCGCCATGATGCCAGATGTTGTGCTTCTAGGAACACTCGAGTAGGAAAAAGCGATATAAGGGCAGTTTGCGAGAGGCTGGAGCAGTGCTAGAGCTCTGAGATATGATCTGGTGGTCACCCCAGAGAAGCAACGGCCTAGACGAGAGGCAGTGCTTACAGTTACAAAGAGCGGGGGTGCCCGCAAGAAATACTCAAGCCACGCGCGACGTGCCGCCATTACCCTTGATACCAAAACCCTGCACTAATAATATCTGGCGTCGTGGGGTAGCAGGACGTGTTGAGGTGGACGAAAGAGGACATCCTGCCTTCAAGCCCCGTTGCCCAGCGGCGATTGCGAGTGCGTCGGCAGCTTGGCACCCCGCTCGTCGCAAAATGATGCCCCTTTCCGGAAGGGATGGACCCTGAGCTGACAGGCTTTTGAGGTCAGCCGTAGTGGCCCACCTGGCCACTGGTGAACATCCATGCGCGTCGACTGGGATGTTGCACTATTTAGCACTCTGGGGCCTTGCCTGTTTAGGTGGATTGCGCGCCGGACGCAGCTGACCTCGCACTTTGAGGGGCTCGGCTTCACTTGGTACATGCAAAGTGCCAAAGTCAATGGAAAGGACCTGCATGCGACAGGGTTCCTGAGAAGGAGGCATAAGCGCCTCAAGAACAAGGGATAGTCATTAACAAACATGCTCGCTGATAGATACTGTCCATTACCTGTTCCCATAACCCGAAACGCCATTTGCCATTCACCAATAACCATGAGGTTTTTTGCTCAGCACATGAACATCGCTCCTCCACTAAAACCCGCCTTGACGGGTGTTCCCGTTGGCTCCCATGCCTTCAGACGCGACAAACTCGTAGACCGCATTCCAGTCGTCCGGCCCGGGCAGGAATGACTGGGTGGCCCAGTCATTACAGAGCTCCATGCACGAGCCGTCGCCCGCGGACTGCTGAGGTCGAAAGAGGTTCCAGTTGAACTCGACTGCCGTCTGGTACGCGTTGGCGGGCTGATATACGGCTGGGACCGTGGGTATGGGAGTTGACACAGCCGCCGCATTGCTGCTGGCTGGAGAGTAGCCATCGCTGTAGTGGCTCTGCGGAGGATACTGTTGTGGTGTGTGGTACTGTGTCACCAGCTGTGGCTGCGGTGGCGATGGCTGCTGCTGCTTCTGCTCCTCTTGCTGCAGTTCCCGTCGCAGCAGCGTCTGTTGTAGTTGTTGTTCCTGTCCATGCAAGAGCTGCCGCTGCTGCTTCGGATGGCGGATACTGACCCTGCCAAAGTACGGGATCACGACATCGTACTCGTCCGGCCCTGCGTACATCCCGTGCCTGACGGCATGCAGATGCTCCAGCAGGTCCGCCGACTGCCGCGGCACGATGCAGTCGAGCACCCGCGACTTGGCCCGCATGTCGCGCGCAAAGTCGGCCACGACGCCCCACAGCCGCTCCTCCTCGCTCGCCAGCCTGCGCGTCTGCTGCGACAGGAGGTCCGCCACTAGCACGACGGCGCCGCTGAACGTGGCAAAGTCGAGCCAGTCGCACGCGACCGGCAGGCCGTGGCACGTGGGCAGCTCCCGGAAGGCCCGCAGCATGCCCTCGGCCGAGGCGAGAGCGACATCGCGACTGTACTGGTACCGCCGGTCGTCCTTGGCCGGGAGGACGTAGGGGAGGTGCACGAGGTGGTTGATGTAGTGGTAGAAGAAGATGACGGCGGCCTGCCAGAAGGGCTGGCCGAGGGCGTGGCCGTGCGTGTCGCCCCGGGTCAGCAGCCACCACTCGGCGGGGATCATGGCCCGGAGCCTGTCAACCTCCTCGGTGATCTTGGCCGTCTGGGAGTACGCAGTGGCGGCCTGCTGTGGAGAGTGGTTACGCTCGGCAATGTGCCCGCAGATGAGCATCGCCTGGTCCATGATGTCGTCCATAGGGGACCCGGACTGGGACGGCACAGTCGACACAGTCGGCAGGTTGAGAAAGGGCTCGGGCACAGAATGTGGCACGCCCAGGAAGAGCGTCATCTGTCGGTCTGCCCGCCAGAGGCCAGTCCAGATGTCACGGCCTCGCGTGTTTGCAGGGTCGCTGGCATCGAGGCGGTGCAGGCCGAGGAGCAGAGCATTGTCGAGGGCGAGCCGGATGGACTTCCACCCTTGCCGTGGCCGCCCCAGGTTGAGCTGCCACTTGTACTGCACCATGAGTGCCTCGAGGGCGTCGAGGCTGCCGGACTCCTCCAGGGCCGCGGCTGCCAGCTCGCGAGACGCCTCGTAGAGCCTCGACGCCAGGTCCGCGGTTGGCAGGGCAAAGTCTGTCGCTGGACGCCGCTCCACAAAGTCCCGGGGCAGCTGTGAGATGCACAGGCTGAGCCACGCCAGGCGCTTTGCCGCACCGCCATCGTCACAGCCAGGGAGCTCCTCGCTTACAAAGGCGCACGCCTCGGCCACGGTGTTGGGGAAATGTGTCGCCACGGGCCAGACGGACCAGAAAGGCTGCGTCAGCTCGAACACGGCCTGCAGAGTGTTTCTCTCGGGCACGAGGGACGATCGCAACCTTGTCCGAACAAGGTCCTGCTTTGGGCTATCAGTCACAGCTGGAGATGAGCCGCCCCCATGGTCGCTGGGCGCAGGAGTGAGCAGCGTGTCCCGGAGATAATGGAGCAGTGGCGCCGTAGCAAAAGCGCCGTCGCTGCCAGAGAGGGCACGGGCTGTCGCGCTCGCGACCGAAGGCGACTGTGCCTGTGACTGTGAGTGCACGAGGGCATATGACTGGAGCGGTGGTAACAGCTTGTCCGACTCGTCCGACAGCAGCGACTCGAGGACCGAGGCGAGCAAGCGGGAGGATTGAGCCGAGTCGTCCAGTGAAGAGGCACCGGCGGAGCCATTGTTGTCCCGTGGCGAGGGCCCAGTGTCGGCCAGGGGCGCCTGCGAGAGCTTCTCCAAGACAGCCTTGAGCTTGGGAAACTGGCTCAGGGGCAGAGAGTCGGGCAGTGACAGCTGTCTCCCGCCCAGCCCGGTCCTGGAGTCCCTTCCTCCTCCTCCTCGGCGCCCGTCTTCTTCGCTGAACTCGGCAGGCAAGCCCTGGGGCACGCACTTGATGCGGTGCAGCACGCACTGGCGACACCGTGAGGCGCCCGGCGCCACGATACAGCGGACCTTGCGCCGGCGGCACTCGAGGCAGCTCTTGGTGCCGAGTCGCATCGGTTTCGGCCGAGCAGGCTCGGTCGTCTTGGAAGGCGTCATGCCGGACGGTGCTGGCTCCGGAGGCACACGGCCCAGTCTGCGGGGAGAGGGAGCGTACGCGACGCTCGATGATGGCTTCCAGGCTTCAGGGGGATGGTCCACTGCGCCACGGAATGAGCCGACGGTGCGGGGGCTGCGAATCGCTCGCTTCGCATGCAGCGATGGGCCAAGAGATGTACGCGAATATGCGGCGGTTGTGCCGTGGCTGGAAGGTGCGTGAATGTGGTGATAGGATGACAAACAAGAAAGGCTCGAGGCTGTCGGCCCAGCTCGGACGCGCGCGGCCTTGAGCTGTCAGCACGTCGCATTTAATTGTTGTTGGTCCGTATCTGCCGGGACCAGGGGCCCTAGCTCCCAGTGCTAGCTAAACGGACTTGTCAGCCACGTACGTCTGCGGACTTAGGCTGAGGGGGGTGGGCAGGCCGCCAGTGACTAATCATCCCTACGTATGCAGCACCAATGCCAATGCCTGCCGTCCACAATGGACCCCTTGGTGGCGTGAGACCCCTGACCCACCTCAAGTCGGACGAGTCGGACGAGGTGTGCAGGACCTCACTTGGCCGCGTTGTGCTGACGAAGAAAGCTTGCGAATGGCGACACTTCGTAGGAAAGATGTCCCAGGTCTCGGAGCATATAGAGGAAGACTCAAGCCTTGGATTTCTGACATCCGTTCTCACTACGACACAGCAAACCCAGCATCGGCTTTAGCTTCACTCTTGTACACTCTCTGCTTGATCTCTGACACAGCTCGTCAACAACACAAGTCTTTTTATATAAACGCACCAAAAAGCCAGCAGACATATCAAAAGATGGGCCAGAACGAAGAACTCAAGGCAATCAGCGCCAACTTCAAGAAGATTGGCGACCCGGCAACTCTTGAAAAAATTTATGGTGGCCTCGACAAGTTCACCGCCGTTTACGACCCCAGCACCGCCGCTGTCAAGGCCGGTGACAAGTTGCCAGACTTCACTATGACCGACGCTACCGGCAAGCCAGTCTCCAGCAGCGAGCTTCTGAGCCAAGGTGCAATCCTCGTCACCTTCTACCGCGGCAGCTGGTGCCCGTACTGCAACGTTGCCGTGCAGTACCTCCAGCAAAACCTCGATGCCTTCAAGGCCAAAGGGGTCACGCTGGTGGCCATCTCCCCAGAACTGCCGGACTACTCCTTGTCCCTGGTGGAGAAGCAGGAGCTCAAGTTCCCCGTGCTGACGGATTTGCACAACGAATATGCCAAGAAGCTCGGCATCCTCTACGACCAGTCTAGCGCGCGCGAGCTACATGGCAAGGTTGGGGTCGATCTGAAGGCCCGCAACGACGAGGACACATGGGAAGTCCCGCTGCCCACCACGTTGCTTGTGGACAAGGGGGGTGTGGTCAGAAACGTGCACATTGAGGCAGACTTCAGAAAGAGGCTCGACCCTGCGGACGCGCTGGCATGGGCGGATGCCTTGTGAGGCTGGAGGGGCCGTGGTCGTTCACTAGTGTTGTGTGAGCAAGTCGAGTGTGTAAACTGGAGCCTGCGCCTGTTTCGGCTGATGGCGTGGGTTTAGCAGCTTGTATTGAATCGAATTGAAAAGAGAAAATAAAAAAAACAAAAACAGTCACATCGTTACTTTGAAACTCACCATTTCAATAGTCGTCAGTGTCTTGTTCACTCCAACCAGTGATGCTCTATTAACATTTGCTTCTTTTTCATGCATATCCGGCTTTAAAGACCAATGTCGCGTGTGTGTCTTCATCTGCCAACGCTGGAGAAATTGGAACGATGGGCCGATTCTCATGGGAAGTTCAGAGCCGCGACTTGTGCCTAGCAGTGCCGTTCTCGACAGCGCCACCACCTCTCGGCTCACGAGAACCAAGTCCTAAACGCTGAACCACAAGGACAGTCACCTCTCTGGCCACACCCCAGCTAATCTCAAAGCCGCGCCCGCCGGCGCCATATGCATGCACGACAGCGCCGCCACCCTGCTGCCCATCTTGACACTCGACTCGCATGCCTCCCTGCCGGGTCGGTCGCCTGCCGACAATGTCTGCAATGACACGCAGTGGCTGCCTGGCCCCGTCGTCTCCGGCTACAGTCTTGCTGAGCAACCCAGGCTGCAGCTTCTGTGCAGCCTTTAAGAGCTGGTCGCGGGTGCTTGGTAACGGAGCGAGGGCCCAGTTGTTGGGCTCTTTTGTGCCGCCAATGACGGTTCCGCCGCCGAAGAAGCGCGGGATGGCGAAGCTCCAAGTCCCGTCCGCATTTTGGCGTGTGATGGTCTCGTTGATGCCGGTGAGGTTTGTGAGTGCAGTTTGCCCTGGCGCGAGTTGGCTCGTTAGCTACGATATGGCCAACGCCGGCATGTTGTGAGGCCGCTGGGTTTATGTACAACGTGGTCGGAGGAGGGCACGTGTCGTTCTTCGGACGCTCCAGCTGTGCGGGCTGAAATCAGTGACTTTCGAAGGGAACATACCTCGTGTGGGAAAGTAAGCAGGATCGCCGAAACCTGACCCGCTGGCATTGACGACGAGCCTCACGTCCGCACAGACAGCAAATGCCTCGGCTACGCTCGCCAATTGCCTGACGGCCGTCCTTCCACCACAGAGCAGGAACTTCTTGAGCAGGCTGGCACAGTACAGTGGGGAGTTGACACAATACGTGTCGTACTCGAACCCAAGCTTGACTCCCTCTGGCAGCTCACCCTCAGCCAACCGGCGGTATCCAGGCAGACCCGTCTCCTGCCCGAAGGACTCGGCGGTCTGACTGACATAGCTCTCTGGAGGCGCCTCGAGATACTCTCTGCCCCTGACGGCAGTAACCCCGATCCACGGCTCCTCCACGACCTGTCGCTTGAAGGTCTCGCACGTGGACTTGAGCCATTGCGCTTCTCTGTCGAGTTGCACATCGCCGTTGACCGGGATCGGCCGGACATGTGCCCCGGCCCACATGGAGGCATAGTTGGCGGACGTGTCGGTCTCGATGCCGGCCACGGCGTGGGGCCACTCGCGTGCCACGATGACAATGTCGAGCTTGTCGCCCAGGGCAGCCTGGATGCACAGCGCGCTCGTGAGGCCAATGATGCCGGCGCTGCGGTAGGTTTAGACATTGTAGTGAATGGGGATCATATATGTCCAGTGGTCCAAACGTACCCGATGACGACGACAGCCGGCCGTGGCGGAGCCGACCTGCTGGCCTGAGTACCTGTGGCCATGACAAGCCTGGTGTATGCTATTATGGCCGGGCGGCTTTTGTCAACGGCTCGGCTGGATTGTGTCCGTCGAGAGTTGCGTGCAAGAATGAGTAGTCCAAGATATGCTGGAAGATCGAGAGCTCTCGAAAAAGAGACTGACCCCACACAACACCTCACCTGGGCAGAGCTGTATGGCGGTGCCGCCGTTGTCCGAGACCGGCGCCCCACAGCCCGGCTGCTGCCTGGGCCAGGCCGGACCAACGAACGTCAAGGTCGCCCAGGTATAATGCCTCCGTGTGGGAAGGTTCTTCCATCATCCAAAGTTGGATGAACTCCATGACTGGAGAGCTGAAGAAAGGCCAGTCGTGAAAGAACGGCCAACCAGAGAGTGGCAGGCCTGAGGTCTCCGGCGCAATCCGGGACCATGTGGGTGTTGTTGACACCGTACGTTGCTGGGCTGACCGTAGCATCAGCTAGTAATTGCATAGCCGTCTGCCTATTGAATCGTGAACATCCATCTTTCGTCAAGCTTGATGTCCTTGTCTTGCTGCAAACTTCATTCAAGTAACAGCACTGGGATTAACACGGCTTTTCTTTCATTAATGCTCGTCCGCCGCGTTGAAAGAGAGCTCGAGAGCTTCAAAGCCTGGGGAAAATGAAAGGAAGTCATCTATTCATATCCACCGTGCGTTGAGCAAGGACGATAAAAACAGTTTCGGACAAGTCCCCTGTAGTTTCGGGTAGAGCCAAAAGGTTTGACCTGGTAGCCCCGTTTGCAGACCCGAGGGTAGTGTGTAGAGACCTTAACCAGATTGCTGTGATTGTCGCTTGGATCACGGCCGGGATGAACCCAGAGTCTGTAGTGATCAATCAAAACTAAGCGAAGTGCGTGATCCTTTATGGTTGCCCTAAACCGAGCATACTGGGTCATTTGCCCGTCTTGCCTCCCTAAGCCACAATCCTCTTCCACTCCACGTAGCGCTCCTTTGTCGAAGTACTGCTGCGAAGCAGTCGGTCAAATTCCTCCTGCGCGCCTTTCTGATCCGGTTGGAGCCTAAGAATGTATGGCCACTTCTCGATAATGGTGTGCTTGTTCTTCATGGTGACGCCACAAACGTGGCCGAACTCGGTGAGTTTGAACTTCTCCACGAATCTAGAATAACTGTTAGCTGATGCTGCAAGCATACATGTGCGTGTCCACGCTTCTCTCACCGGTCAAAATAGCGGTCGTGGCTGGCCACGTAGTCCTTGGAAGAGATGAACTTTATCATGGCAGGGTCATTCTTGCTTGCCAGTCGTCTCGTGGGCGGCATGTATTTGATCAAAGTTCTCATCACCGGGCCGTCTGGGGACATCTCAAGGATCTCGTCCTGCTCGTTCCTATTCTCGTCGACGGCGTTCATAAAGAGGGTGATCAGTGTTGCGTGCGGATTCATCGCGTGAGTTTGGAGCAACGGCGCCAAAAGTCCCACGGTCTGATGCGGGCCCACGTACCCGCAGTCTGAGATATTCGACACCTAGTGATAGAAACAGAGTAGGTCAGCGTAGTCCGGCTGGGTCATTATGTGGCGCGGATATCGCTAGAGATTACTTCAATTCTATCAAAACGTTCAGACTCGCCCAATAGTTCTGGGAGCTTGACAGCGTCCACGTGGAGAAACCTGAGCTCCACAGCCCGTAGGCTGTACAGTCGATGAAGAAAAGACTTCAGAGTGTTGTGTATGTGCTTGGACAGTTTTCCGTAAAGATCCGCGGTAGCCTGGCCGCTGGAAGTAGCTTCAATCTCTTTCAGCGTCCACCCGCTAAGCGGATCAGCATTGTCAAACATTGGCCATCCGTTCGCGTTGGAAAAAAAGGTGCTACAGGAGTGGTCAGTATCACATTGTCATGGTAACTTGAGATTAAGCCTCTGCTTACGGGTTCGGGACCACGAAATCGTCGCGACTGGCACCGAACGGGAGAAGTAGACCGTCCTTCCAGAAGCGAGTCTTGGCGACCCGGTGAGCTGGCGAGAAAAACAGCAGGTGTCTGTCACGGTAGTCAACCCGGGACTCAGCCTGCGTGACAGCCTGGCGGATCCGGGTAGCCTTCGAGCCATCCAAGCCTTGCGGCAGATCCATGTAGGACAGCAGTCGAGTCCAAGTCGACTGTGTCAAAACAAGTCTAAGCGAGTGCTTGCCAAGTTTCCAGGTTTTGGCCTGTAGGCTGCCCGGGCTCTTTGCCTTGATCTTAACACAGACGTCTTGGATTAGAGGCCTGATCCGTGCTTGGACTGCCTCGTAGTGGGACTTGCGAATAAGGCAGGAGTACCAGAAGTGTAGAATGCAGTCAATCGCCTCTTCTGCATCTTCTAGAACGAGTGCGATGAGGAGCATGATGATATTCCGCGCAACAACATCCAAGTCTCGGTCATTCAGCGTCACTCGGACCGTGCCAGTGTAGCTCTCTGGCAGCTCGGCGAGTGTCTTGAAAAGATTGCGAAGGTCGCCGGACGCTGTTATCCGTGGACAATCGTGTCAGGCAACAAAGTTGGCTCGAAGTCCCTGCAACCGAAATAGGACATACCAGCAAATAGAAGAGTCAACGGCCCGTCGTATGCGACGCCTTCATTGTCGACGAGCTTTAGGACGTCATAGGCAGGCATATTTCCCCACAGGTACTTCCTGCCACCGAACTGCTCCCCAACCCCGCCGCGGACGAAGTCGGGCATGCGGTTCTGTAAGGCCCATTGTGGCTGCCAGGTGGTCTTGCCAACGGGGCATTTACAGTCGATCTTGTGCTGGGGCCAATGCGACTTCTGGCAGGTTGAGCCGCAATACTGCGACGAACGATCTTTCAGTAGAATGTCGGCGGGAGGACGGACAAATACTCACCGTGACAAGTAAACAGCCCTTGCAAGCGAAATGCCCGGTCTTCTGGCACGTTGTGCTCTCAGGGGACCAGCCCGCGCAAAAAGCTTCCGACATGGTCTTTCAGGGACAAGGAAATGCGAAGGGAAGTGCAAATAGTAGATCTCGCAAGACTCCTGCAAAAGAAAAAAAAAGGAGGATGGACAAGGCTCTGAGCGCTCAATCGAGGAAGCCTGACAGATGGAAGGGGGGGGAGGTCCCTTCCCCTCCTTGACAACTGCGGAAGGCGTTTCATGCAGGTCTCTGTTGGTCGCTGTTGGTCTCTGTTGGTCTCTGTTGGTCGCTGTCGGAGTTACATCATGCCGATGATGCCCAAAGAATGCCTGATCAGGCTGAGGCTTGTGAGATTGTTTTTTCAGTGTGTCTTGACATGCCCTGCGCACGGTTCGTTTGTGTTTGAGCCAGCAAGAAGGTGAGCCACACGCGAGATAAAGCATCTAGCCACAAAAGAAGTCATGCCCAACACCAGTGCCAGCGTTGCCCATCGTATTTGAGGTGACCCACCAAGTCTGAGAGCAGTCGCTGTCATAACGGCGACGGATGGCCCGTGCGCAGTACATACACCCGGCGCCTTCGAGACGTAGGTGACCTCCATGTTGCAGAATGAAAGCACAATAAAACAGCATGTCCTATAAGAACCAAATAATAGTCCACGATATGTGAGGAGATTGAGAGCTCTCTTTCGGGAAACCGACCCCACACAGTACTCAGCTTCGTGGAGGTGAATGACTCCGAGACCGGCGACCCACAACTCGGGTGCCGCTCCGCCCCGCCTCGGTCGAACTAACGTCAACTACAACCTGAGCTGCGAATGCTCATCTCGGGATGCTCGTTTGCCCTCGCTGAATGCCTGCGTGAGGAGCTTCCCGTGCTATGCGAGATGGGATAATCTCTACGACTGGAATGCCGAGGAAATGCCAGGCGTGAAAGAGCGGCTGACCTGAGAGTCACAAGCCAACGGTCACCGACGCAGTCCGGGACGACGTGGCGGGCAGGGGCTGGCTTGAGTGCCGCTTGACATCGTATGTTGCTCGGCTGACCTCAGCCATAGCTGGCAATTGCATGACCGCGTGCCCGAAAGAATAATGCTGGACATCCATCTCCCGTTGGGCTTGATGTTCTTGTATTCCTCTAACTTCATTCAACCCACGGTATTGGAATTGGTTCAGCCTTTCTTCCACATCTGCTCTCACACGTACGAGCAATATTTTCCCACGCCTAGGTCCAGTCCGCTATATGTTTTCGATCCCTTGAGAGACCGCACGAAACATCACAACGACCGAGTTCTCACGATGCCCTGCGCAGAAACCAGCACAGGCCGGACTGACAAGCAGAAGTCATGTTCAGGCTCGTGTTCGAAGAGTGGCGGCGCATGCAGCTCCCGATCTGGTAGTACCAAGCTTGGGTCGCCGACGGCAACACTGGAGATTGAGGACGCGCCGATGCTGCCAAGTGTACACTCGGAGTCTGCCAGCGACCAAAAGAGCCCAGTAGTACCGCCGCCTCATCGTCACCGGCCAAGGACAATTCGAGGCCATACCTAAGGGCGACCCAATCGCGAATTTCTGGTATGGCGGCGTAAGCCCCGGACAGAGAGCACGTCACAGCGTCATTGAAAATTCCTGAAAGACAGCGCGACAGCCACAGCCATTACTCCAGAAGACACAAAGGGGGTATCATATTACACACGCAAAAGACCAACGACAACACACCGCGACTGCCGCTTGCACCCTCCATCCGCGTTCATCCTCTCAGTCATACTGTATCGTGAAGCTCTTGCTCTGGATGATGGCCTTGTCGCTCCGGTCATCCGCCAGACTGCCCGTTCCCACCGCGATATCGTGCGTCCCGCCCACCACGCCCAGGACGTGCTCGAGGTCGTCCTTGCTCTGGTTCTTGGTGCCGTTGAGCGAGCGCAGCCCGGCTACCTGCCTGGGGCGCGCCGAGTCGTTGCTTCCGCGGCCATGCCCAGACTGACCACCTTTCTTGCTCGTCAGCGTCGCGAGCTGCGTCCCCGGGGGCGAGCCGTCCTCGTCGTCGGTGAACCGGTGGTATTCTCCGTCCCCGGCGGCGCCGTCGAGCGGGAACGTGCGGCTCTGCTGCCGCCGCGACCCGCCACCGTTGCTCTTGCTCTTGTGGAACATGCGGTATCCGCTGGATTTCGAGTTGGCCCCGCTGCTGCCGTTGTAGTGGAGTTGTGGCTGGCCCGAGGCTGGGTCGCCCCCAGACGAGGCAGACCCGAGGAGGCCGAAGCCAAAGTGCGCAAAGAACTTGCTCAGGGTGGGCATGGAGCCGCAGATGATGAAGAGGTTGGCTTCGACGAAGCTATTGGGAGTTCAAGAAACAGCGTTAGTCGGTATGCTCCATGGTTTGGAAAGAGGGGACAAGAAGAGGGCCCCGAAGAGGGGTCGGTGGTTACTTACACCCAGACGCTGGGCGCTGCGGTATCCCATGTGACGTCGTTGCTGGTTAGCATGGGGAAGAGGTAGAAGAGGCGCACAACAGATGTGATTATTGTCCTATGCTCGTCAGCCATGGACACAGTGGCTAATCAGAGCGTCCTATCTTCCAGTGAGACTCACATTGACGCGATCAAAAACACAATCAGCGCTCCAATCTTGAGCTGCCGCTTCATGTTTAGCCCCACCACCATCTTGAGCGGCAGGAGAAAACAGATCAGGTCTGTGACAATGTTGGAGACCGCGGTGATGATGTACAGCGGTGGCAGGGCGATGCACTCGCCTTCGTCGGCCGGGAAGAAGACGTCCCACGCCTTCTGTAATGGCCGGCAGGGAAATACCATGATGAGCGTGCAGACAATAGTGTAGATGGAGACGAGAGCGATGGACGCCCACACGACGTTGCGCCACCAGGTCTGCGGGCTGAGCTGGAGATAAAAAGTGAGTAGCGATAGCTTGGTGAAGCCGCTGCACAGCATGTAGACAGGCGCGCTCGAGTAGAGACCCTGCCAAAGAATCAAGGTCAGTGTCTGTGCCGCAACCTGTCACGGCAAAGCTGCGGCAAACCTTACCAGCTGGAACGTTGCATATTGGTCCATCGTCAGTTCCCAGCCGTGGATGTTGTCAACCCCGGCGATAATGAGCCCTACCACGTGCAGACGCGCATTAGAAGAATGGTCCCGACAAGTCGCGATTTGCGCTGCGGCTCGAGTCAATGCATCGGGCCGAGATACTCACATAGTGTAAGGGCTTGTGTGGCTACCGATGTGGCCTGTCTCGGCGTGTTAGCTCTGGCGTCTTTCCGAACGTCTCCAATGCCAATCTCACCCAAGCCAGAAGCATGAAAGCTAAAAGCGCATCAGGTCAGTAATCGGATCCTTTTGAGAAAGGGTTGGCCACAAAAACTCAAAAGCACGGGCACAGGCACGGATACTCACCATCGTCGAGGTGCAGACCCTTGAGCAGGAAGATCTTGGTGTAGAAGCGTTGGGAGATGGCGAGCGCCGCGAGTGTCGCACCAACGGCGCAGACGACGTAGTGCTCAACGACTTTGCTGCGCTGCGGGTTCTCGAGATCGATCACGTATCCCTCGGGCGGCGGGAGCACCAGCTCGACGCCGTTGTAGAGGTAAGGCATCGTGGCAAGCTGAGGTGAGGCGAGGCGAGGTTGGGCGCCTTGAGCCCTCTCCCCCTTCCTGTCGGTGTCGTCGCAGACTGGTCTGTGTTGGAGATGCCAACGCACAATGATGATGGCAGATATGGCGATCTTCCAAGGCCGCCGACGCAAGATTCGTGCGTGCCCAACCAGAGGTGTGTGGCCTGATGTTCAAGCAGAGAGTTTCGTAGTTGAGGTTGAGAGATCCACCGACTAGACGCCGCCTAGAAGGTCGCGGATCTGCTCGAACTATCTAGGGCGAGATCAAACAGCGCATGCGGGCGCCGCCCAAACGTCCAGCCAAGACCAAGAAGGAAAAGGCAAAAAAGCAAGATCTGCGGGGGAGGGCAACGGGGCTGACATCTCCTTGCCAACACGGGCCCTCCTTACCAAATGTGCAAAGGGCGCTCGGTCGCCCGCCGATCGGCACTTCCGTATGATCCAGCAAGGATGAACCTGGTAGTCCCTGCTCTGGGCATTTATGAGGAGAGGCAGCACGGCAAGTAAATGAAGAAGTTATGTCGCAAGCGAGGGCAATCTACTATTCTCGGACGGGGAGATTGTTCCGGGCAGTCGTTGCAGGCACGCGACAAAACTTCCAAGGCCCCAGGGTCCGAGAGGCGGAGGTGGCTGCCGTGGTGGAGGCTTGTCTTGCGTGCCGTCGGCTGTTGTGGCCCCGTGACTGAGATCCTGGCATGGCCACGCGCGGTTCTGAAAAGCGGTGGTGTTCCTGCAGGCAGGTAGACTCGCTTGTGCCGCTGGAAACAGAACAATCACTGTCAGAGGACAACGGCCCCTGTCGCTTGTAGCATCAACACGCAGAGACATTTGAAGATGGGACACAAAAGTCCCACATAGCTTACCAGCGCATGGCGTGATGGGCCGCAGCCTGGCTCGCCTGGGTCTCACAGACCATACACCATACGACAGAATGGCGGGCGACTCACATTTCCTGGCGACCGGGACGCTCATGTCCGGCAACCCAGCAAACCTTGGGGTTCCGGACTGGGGGGAGCCAGCCACTCGCGGATCGCCCCTGGCCCCTGCGTCCGTGAGCATACGGTGTCGGAGCTTGGTCCGCGAGGTTCCTTGCCTCAGGACAAACTCTGTCAAAAGCTGCAGGCCCCCGCTGACCAGGAATGTCCTCGCCCTTGTCCTGGTCGTCTCCAGCCTCGGCGTTCACGCTCACGCAGAGAATAGTCGAAATGATGTCGTGCATTTGGAAAGCCAGGCTCTTGGGTCAACAACCAGGCGGGCCCTCAACAAGTCGACAACCCAACGCCCTTGCTTTTACAATGATCATACAACTATCTTTGGGGGAATACACGGTGCCATCAGTTGCCGACGTGTGGCTGGCTAAAATTGGCATAGTCTTGGGGGACGAAAACAGACAATGCAAAGCGTCGCCTTGCCAAAAGCGCTCTAGAGCAGCACAGCTGAGCCACCATCTACTGGTGATCCGGCTCCTCGGTAAGTTCCTCATCCTAGTGCATACAGCGCCGTGACGAACAGCTGCCTCGAGCAGGCTAGATCGTGTTGATCACTGTTGGTGGGGTTTTGCATTGTTGTCGCAGCTCCAACGCACCAAGGCGAGCCAGAACGGCGACTTTCTGATCTGCAAGCCAATCCTGGCCTCAATAGGCAAGCAACTAATTCTTTACGAGCCAGGATGTTGCCTGGAATGCATAATAAACCACCGCCCATCCTGGTCGCAGCAATTGGATTGCTGCAGAACCCAGGGGTAAAGCATCTCCAACAGCAACACACAACGCCCACACGCGCATGACTTGTTAATGGCTGTGAGTCCTGCTTGGGATCCTGGTAGCCAGAGGCCCATGACGCTCAAAGCAGCCATGATCACCGTGGCCGGCAGGGTCCCTGCCCGAGAGTATCCACTGCCTTCCCGGCGCCTTTGGGCCGTCCCGCGTCTTAGCCGGCTGACTTATTAATGGCTGGGCCGTTGACTGCTCAATTCTCACTTGTTTCAGAGGTCCAAGTCCCGAGCGCGGCCCAGGCTCAATCTCCTCCTGCATTTGCTTTTTCCCCGTATTCTGGAAGTGTCGTCTCCTTCTGTGCCACCGCATAGCTGAAACCCCCACCAAACGACGATCACGGCCCACGTTGGACAGACAGACACGGCACACTGCTCAGTAGCGTCGGTCAGGTAGCATCGCAGCAGGACAATGAAGCGCTACTCGGGAGTCGCAGCAGCCTTGGCTGCCATTACGACCCACGCGGCCGGTGCTGCCGGTGCTGCCGTCCACCAAAGCAACGCATGCGTGAGTTGCACGGGATCCTTCAGGCACACATGGCGGCTCGCTTACCTGCTGCCTGCCGCAAATGCCGCGCGACTAACGCAACGTTCGGATCCAATAGTGCAACGCCCTCTCCAAGCACCCCAGCCTCGCCGGCAAGGTCGCGTACCCAGACACGGCACTCTACAGCACTCGGCTCGACTCCTACTGGTCGTCGAGTGCGGCACTTGCGCCATGGTGTATGGTGTTGCCCACGGCCACCGACGAGGTCTCGGCTGTGGCTTCTGTCCTCAGCACCAACCAGTGCCCCTTTGGCATTCGCAGCGGCGGCCACTCGCAGTGGGCTGGGGCCAGCAGCGTCCAGGATGGCGTGACGATCGATCTCGGTCAGTGGCCCACGAGATCTGACTCGCATTTTATGTTTTTCTTCAAAGTCCGTGCTGGACGACTGGACTGACACTTTTGTGGCTCCACACCGCTAGGCTTCTTCAATAGCACCACCTTTGATGCCGACAGGCAGGTGGCCTCGATCCGGCCCGGGTCCCGCTGGCAAGGCGCCTACGACACGCTCGAGCCGTTTGGTGTCAGTGTGCCCGGCGGCCGTGCTGGTATTGTGGGTGTTGCAGGCTTCACTCTGGGTGGGGGTTACTCGTACTACTTCAACTCGCTGGGCTTCGCCGCCGACAATGTCGTCAACTACGAGGCGGTCCTTGCCGACGGGCAGGTCGTCAATGCCAGTGCCGATGAGAATGCCGACCTCTGGCACGCCCTCAAGGGCAGCTCTGGCAACCTGGGTCTCGTCACCCGGTTCGACATCCGTGAGTTGGACTGCCCTCTCTACATCTCTGATCGGTCGTTCCAGAACTGACAACCGTCCCCAGGCACAATTCCTTCCATCGCCATCTGGGGCGGCCTGACGACGTACGAGCTCGGCTCCATTGACGCCGTGTGGCAGGCATTTGCCAATTTTGCCGACAATGTCGACGCCGACCCGGCCAGCCAGAGCATCGTTTATACCATCTTTGTCGGCGGCCAGTTCATCGTGCAGTCGCTTCTAACCAACCATGACGCCCTTGACACGGCCGCCGCTTTTGCCGAGTTCCGCACCGTCCCGGCCACCGGCACCACGGCAACGGTCCGCACCATCGCCGACCTCGCCAACGAGCTCAGCGGCGGGCAGCCCATCGGCATCCAGTAAGTTTCCCTCTTTTTTTTTTCCCTTCACCGGTACCCTCATAGTCAAATCTAAACCGACTGTACCTGTGTGTCGCACACTAACAACAACCATAGTGCCGACTGGTTCGTCACCCAGTTCAAGACGGACGTCCGCATCATGAAGTTCGTCGCCGAGCAGCACACGGCCATGATCGAGACCCTGCAGACCCTCATCTCGCCCGACGCTCAACTCCAGACCCTGTGCCAGTTCCAGCCCGTGTCCCCCTCAGCCGTCGCCAAGGGCAAGGAGTCCGGCGGCAACGTCATGGGCCTGGACGCCGTCGTCCCCGACGGCAAGGCCACCACCATGTTCCTGTTCACCGCGCAGGTCGTCACGCCCGAGGACGAGCCCACCATCATTGCCCACGCCCTCGACTTTATCGACAAGATTGACGAGTTCTCCAAGAGCCTCGGCCAGTTCATCGACTGGAAATTCCTGAACTACGCGTACAAGACGCAGAACCCGATCGCGTCGTATGGCGCACAGGATGTCGGCCTGATCAAGGCTGCGGCTGCCAAGTATGACCCCAAGGGCGTGTTCCAGAAGTTGAGACACTCGGGCTTCAAGATTCCTGCTTGAGCTGAGCCCGGAACCGCTCCCCTCGACTCACGCCTCAACGAGCCAAGATATTCATGATGAAAGATAGCGCTAGACATAGACATAGACGCAAAAGAGCAACATTATCATGGTTAACGTGTCACCCTGCACGCGTTAACCTGGTCGGCATTTTGGTGATTGCGGCTCGTATACACTGTACACCGGCTGAACGAGCGCAGAACTCGGGCTTTAGGACAGCGAACGAGTCGACAATGTGTCCCTTCTTGATGACGCGTTGAGTTACAGAACAATGTGAGTTGGGTTCCTCCTGGTAATCAGGGGGAGCAGGCAATAGTGTTGAACAACCTTGATCCCTGGATCGGGCTTGAGTGTCTGAATACCGAAATCAACAGAGACCATCGATCTTGGCGGTGCATTGAGGATCTTAGCATGCCAGAGGTTGTTAGACGCCAAATCCTCACAGAAGGGAAATTTTAATGGACTTGCGTTGCTCCCTTGCCGTAGTTGAGGATGATAGCTTCAGGGCCCAGACTCCCACCGCAGTCTTGTTGAACTTGCTGTTCTCGCAAACATGCCCCGATGGCTGGTCCACCTTCGCAGTGAGGAGCTTGGTGTGTTCCTCGACGTGTGTCCTGGTGACAACTTGGAAGGGAGTGAGACTGGCATGCCTCCGAATCTCCTCTAGGGTCGTTGCGCGCAGCTCGCCACTGTCCAGCTTCTGGAGGATATGCAGCTGCTGTGCTTGCATGTGCACATGGGTGTACACGAGTCGCATGGTGTTCACATCGTCCTTTATGGCCTTGAGTCCTGCGGCAAACGGCGCGAGCCCCATGATCTCGGTGTGATCGGTCGTTACGTTGCGTTTGATTGCCTCATGGGTGCTCCTGTTGGGGCGGAGGAGCACCCAGGCCAGGATCTTGGAGATGCGAGTAGGGAGCGTACCAAGCATCTCACCAAACATAATCTTTGTGGCCTCAGGGCCCTCCTCTTGAGTCAAAGAAATGGACTCTATATTGCCGCTCTTGGTTATATCGAATTGTGTGCCGACGACGTTCTTGAGGAAGCGGAGGGCGAGTTCGTGGATCTTGGGTTTGGTGTAGAGCTCGCCTGGAGGGTAACACGTCACATACACCTCGAGAGGTACTGTGGCCTTGACCAGTTGGTTTCGCTTGCCTCCTTTCTTGTTGCCATTGTCTTTGTCTTTATCCCCGCCCTTGGTTGGCTTGGCGGGAATGGTGACTGTGAAGCGTTTGTCGGGATACCGACCAGTGGCCTTGCAGCAGACGGCAGCGCAGATTGCAGGTAGGACTTGGTAGGAGTCGTCACGCTCGAAGTTCTAGTAGATGAAGGCAACAACCTGCAACAAGGTGACGATTTTGTGGGCTTCAATATGAATCACAAGTGCCAACTTTCCACTAACCGTCATGTATCGGGATGGCTCATAACCTCTCTTCAATTAAATTGTTGCCTTAGATAAAACCTGTCGCAGAGGCACACCTCTCTTGATCAGCATGTCTTGATTACCTCCTCCATGGAACCCGTGACCGCGTGACGCTTACAAGCCTTTGCAGTGCCCTTCCACAGGACAAGACTTCCTCAATCTATGTACGAAATCGAAGAGCGCAGAGGGTATACGTTCATTGTCACGGTAAATGTCAAAATCATGACCTGAAAGGCAATTACTACACGGGCATGAAGAATTGCTACCCGGGCATGACTCTTACACGGGCATGACTTCTATCGCCTCTGATTCGCTCATTTTTTTCCTTCGACCCACAGGTACATCAGTGCAAAGGCGGTGAAGCAAGCTCTCTTAACAAGGCCGTGCTTTCGGTATAGTCAGAACCAACCAGGTCAACCAGGCCTCTAGAACAGGTCTTAGGCGTATATCAAAACAAGGTCTGGTTTTCAATACAGAACACGGCCAATTCCAGCACGCCCTAGAGGGCAGCTATCTATATCTCTATCCTCTAACTACTATAGATGGAAGAACCTCCTCGTCGCTGTAAAGCAGCTCCCACTGACTCCTTCGCCTGCGAATGCTAGATTGCGTCTTCCGTCCGTTGGCACGTACTCCTGTAGTTCTTCCAGCTCCAAGAACAGCTGACCGGCTGCGCGTCTGGCGCTGGGATGAGGCACTGGCCTGGCTACTAGCCTGGCTGCTGGCCTGTTGGCTCGCTTCCAGAGCAAGCCTAGCTAGCGTTGACTTGTTGTGACTTCCTGGTGGTCGACCTCGTCTGCGCCCTGTCGCTTGGCTTGCTGGATTGCTGGCTCGTTGGCCACTCGGCTGGCTGCTTGCCTCAATGGCTAGCCGCGCTGGAACAGCCTGTGTGGTGTTCTTAGGTCTGCCACGGAGAGCAGTGGCGATCTTAGGGTCGAGGATTCGTCGGTATGGATCTCGAGAGGATGGCTCTCGTAGGCGCCACCGAGGATGGACCTCCCATTTGGTGAGAGGCGTGCCACTCACCAGCTTTGAGTAGATTGTGTGGCAGCAGGGGATTCCAAGCTCGGTCGAAACCGAGCAGTCCTCACTGCAATCGCCAATGGGGTCAGGGAACGGATTCTTCCCCGTCGGCATTGCTTTCCTTGCTAGCCGATATTGTTTGTTGATAAGCCCGAGACCCTTCGAAGAGAGTGCTGTCCGGGGTTCGCCTAGATACTCCGAGCTGGACCCTATGTACTCTCGCGCGGTAAGTACCTCGTCCGCTGCGCAGGCGTCGTTGAAATCTCGCTCCTGGTCCTTCATCATGTCCTGCATAGCCTCGATAAGCCGATAGAGATTGCTCATACCATTCAGGAGATAGCTCTTGATGTTGTTGTTGCTTGCTTCTGTCCCAGATGTGACGCGTATGCCGAAGTTGCGATAGTTGCGAATGAAACATCGTGCCCACTGCGCCCTGACAGGCATGTAGGTTCCATGAAGATACCGCAGGATGGCCCGCTGATCGTCAAATTCCCTACAGAGGCTTCCCCACGCCTTCTCGTGAGCCTCCTCTGTCTCCGCAAACAAGACGACCTTCCACATCATGAGAACCCCTCGATGGCTATGAGGGACGACTTCAGCTGTCTGCGCGTTGACCAACTGTCCGTCTTTCGGGCCGAGCTCAGCCTGTGCCTGTGGAGCGTAGTCCTCCCCGTTGCTGCTGTCGGGACTACTACTGCTACATTGGCCCTTGACCCACTTCTGCTTTGACTTGAGCAAGACGTTAGAATTGATGTGGTGGATGCACAGCTGCTGCTGTGCATCAGGGAACTGATCATTCAGGGCGGCCTTCATCTGACCGTCGAAGTCAGTAATGATAACGTCCGGTTGGCGAATAGAGTGCTGCTCTGAGATCTGTCGAATGCTCTCAGAGAGGAACTGGAACCCCTCCCGTCTCTCGTTGTCGATCAGACCGAACGCCGCATTGTAGACAGAACCAAGGCAGGTCTGTCCTGTTGCTTGGAATAATGGAAGCTTGAAGCGGTTGGTGTTGTATGTGTTGTCGAAGCTGATGACCTCAGGAAACCGCTTCCACATCTGGAGGCAGTACGGAAAGGTCCAGACAAGACCGACGAGGCGGTTTGGCTCATCATCCGCCCACTTAACAAGATAGGGAATCTCCATCTCGTCGAACAGCTTGATCAGTGCTGCAGTAGGAGTGTGGCCGCTCAACTTGTCTCGACTGATACGAGACCTGGCGTTATAGATATCCTTTCGTGTAAAAGATGACTCGGGATGCTGCTCCAGGACGATCGCGCGTACGTCACGGGCCCGAATTCCGACCCGACGGCTTGTCGATTCGACTGTTGCCCTGATAGGTGTAGTGAGTCGTCTGTGGGAGGGATGGGCGGATGGTTTGATACTGGCCCGGTGGTTATGCTGGCTATGCTCGGAATTATCGTGGTGTCGTAGAAGCCATCTACCCTCCTCCAGTGCTTCGGCAATGACCATCCATTTACAACCACACTTTCGAGACTTCCGTTGCCGAATACCGGTACTCTCTGAGGGGCGTGGTTCTCCGAATCGATCGCATTGGAAAGAGTACCGGATCTTCCGACCCTTATATGAGTAGGCATTTCGTCGAACAATACCGAAGCCATTAGCCTTCGCGAAAGTATTCACCCACTCGAACAGGACTTCGGCTGACGGCGCTGGGTCGTCTGGGATAGGTGGGTTCGGGATCGGGTCAGGGACAGGCGACAAGGGGTGGTCGGGCGAGGGCGGCGAGGCGATAGGCGGAGAGTGCCTTTCTCGGGGAGGCGAGTATGGCGGAGATGATTCGAATGGAGTTGAACTGAGCGGCGAGTAGCCCCATATCTCGCGCCATTGGCGGACTCGTTCGTATGACCGGACGAGCTCGATGGTAAGTCTTCGATCTGTCCCAATCACCTCGCGCACTAGCCTAAGGGCGGACTGAAACTGGGGTCTTGTTGGAGAGAATTGTTCTTGTGCTGATTGTTGTGGAGAGCAGGCAGGTGGCTGGTCGATTTCCGGGCCTGGTATAGGCATTCTTACTCGTTGCGACCGTCTTCCTCGGGTTGGGAAATCATTCGATAGGTGAATCTCATGATCGAATCGCAGCTCCCATGGTGGCTCGTTCAGCCCACGCGATCCATGGGGGCGTGGAGCGGTCGTGAAGGTCTCTGGGTACGAGGCGAAAGCATTACAGAGTGCCTCGTCGTCTCCCACGCCATAGTGTGGGCCAATGCTCGTCCCTGTGCTATTAGACGAAGGTGGTCTTGAACTCTCAGATTGGTTCTGCCGCTGTCGTTTTCGAGGACGTAATTGATAGCTTCGAAGTCGTTGGTTGCTTGCTGAGCTAGATCGAGAGCCGGGCTGGGACATAATGACGGCCTTGATCGCGACAGGAAGAGTGTCGCACGCACGGATGAGAGCATGGTTAAAGGGGCAGTTGATTTGACTATGAAAGAAGGAAAGAGGGGACCAATTTCAGCACAAAGGAATGACCTGCTTTGTGATGCAGATGCCTTGGAAGATGAGGCTATTGGATATTCCTGATACAGCGTGTGTTTGAGTGTTGGTCTCAGCAGGGGGCCTAACACACCACGCCTGGAGCCCTGGGACCTTGACAAATATGGTATCTTTCACGAACAATCATTATCAGTAGGCTTGACATGCGACAAGAGGTAATTGGTGTAGTAGCTAGCTAGTGAATAGCTTCCATATGTCTCGTCGATCGTCGTGGTGGAGAGCTAATCCCGAGGTACAAGGGAAGCGTTGGCAGAATCTAGATGCACTAACAAAAAGGGATGGACCAATCAGAGGCTGCAAAAGGTCATGCCCGTGTAAGAGTCATGCCCGGGTAGCAATTCTTCATGCCCGTGTAGTAATTGCCACCTGAAATGTGGAAATTATGAGGTGAACCCAAATTGGATAACTCAACATCGAAATAATGACTCGAGTGGTATACATAGAACTAAGACGCTGCCCTCTCACGAAGTATGAAAGCTCAGCCGCTTCGTTGGGGGAACGATGGTTGGGTTCCCATATACGTCCTGTCAAGCACAGACCTCAGCCTCTCTTAGCGCCCACCACTGGGTACCACTTCAGAGACGAGAGATACAGGAGGAGAGAAATGCGAAAGAATTGAAAACTAGTAGTCGTCGGGAATCGCTTCAGCTACTGCCTCAGCGTCTGCCTCAGGTTCGGGTGCTTCTTCCGGATCTGATTGTGGCTCATGGTGAAGGGTTAGAGCTGCCAGTTCTTCTTCAATTTCATCGAGCCTCCTGCGGTCCGACTTGCCTAATTTGCCCCTTCTGGCCAGCTTCTCTCGAAGGTCCTGTTCCTCAGCTCGTAGTTCCTCTATGTGTTGACGCTCATGTGCCTCACGATCCTTGGCCGAGCGGATCACGGTACGCAGAAGCATCTCTGTGATTGAGATGGTCATCTCGGCATTCTCAGCAGCCATGATCTCCGATGCTAAGAAGGCCTCAACGCTGGCATATGTCGCATCGAGCAAAGTCTTCGTGTAGCTGCAAAGCCATGCATCGTTGGCGTCTGGGAGCGGGCAGGCCTTCTTCACGGCGGCTAAAGCTTCGGCAGGGTCGAGATCGTCGGTGCGACTCTCTATGTCCTCTTGTGCCAGGACTGCCAGGTCGGTCATGTTGTACTTGCGCGCTAGCTTGTAGACGTCGAAGCTGGAGCGCAGCAAGTCGGTACTGCGCTCTGCGCTGTTCTGGTCGTGGACAGCCAGCGCAAGAGGATCATAGCTGCCTTTGTACATGAAGCTGACAAGGGCATGACCTGCCACAGTGGATACTTCAGACATGTCGAATTCATTTCGTGCTGCGACCACGGCATGGAGCTTCGGCACGGTCTCGACCACGAATCTGTGGACATGGAGCACTTGATCTGCGAAGTGAAGGGCGACGATGTCCGAGTATGGTCTGCAGCCGTTGTTCAGTTCGTGCCTGGGCATTAGTGATCCAGCTTCGAGTGTACTCACGACATTTTGTTAGGAGAGCTTGCGCTCAACGCAGGAGACAGATGCTTGGAACCAGTGCCGGATGGACAATCCATGGCGACCTGGATCATGTTCCAAGTCGGTGATACGTAACACCGAGGACCGTGATTATGGATGATGGGATGTCACAAATCGAAGTGAATAACAACTTGACCGAGATACGACTGAGTTGGTCAGAAGTGGAGAACTGAGCAGGAAAGGAAGGGAGGAGGTTGATGCACTCTGGGGAGGGAGTAAACCTCTATGTAGGCGACACTAACGCACTCGCTCTTCGGCGGCACATTGTTGGGCTCCCATGCATATTGCAGCCAACATCCATGGAGGTTGATTATTGGTCACGTAAGGCTGTGAAATCAGGTGAGACAAGACGAGTTCAAGTGGCCGGCCTCCCACATGTGCATTGCACGCGGAATGGAGGCTGGCTCTGACACTCCATTGGGTGGGCGGTTATGATGGACACCAACCAACATTTCAAGCCATGGCAGAACATCATACAGCAATTGAAAATAGACTGCTCATATAGACAGGGGATCCTTGGGAACGTCGTGACAACCGAGGCTGGTCGTCGTTCGCACTGGTGTTTACAAGGATTCGTTGCATGCCATAAAAGCACTGGATTGATGTACAGCTCGTGTGCACCGAAGAAGCACGCAGGGAGACTGTCAAGCAGGAATCCGTCACCATTTGCGAGATTCACTGCCCTGTAAAGAGACGAAGTGTACCAATATCCCACACTACACAACTTGTGCCTTGCAAGCGCTGCCTTGTCAACGACCAAATGATCTAGATTCCTAGTTTGTTGTAGCGATTGAACGCATGCACAAGAAAACACCACAAGTCTGTCTCAGCCGATGCGCTCCTCTTTTCTACGCAACGTCCTCCTTGTGCTCCGCCGTCACACCCTCGAGCCTCTTATCTGCAGCCAGGCTTGTCTCTGCCCTCTCGCCGTCGAAGATGACAGCGATCTCCTCCAATGAATAACCCTTGGTCTCGACGAACAGGAACCAGATGAGAGTGAGGAGGATGCACAGGATGGCCACAAAGACAAAATAGTACTTCCACCCCAGGGCCTCCATCCCGACGGGGTTCACAAACTGTGCAATGAGCAGGGCGCACGAGTTGAAGAAGAACTCAACAGCCATGCCCTTGGCGCGGAGGGAGTAGGTCCAGATCTCGGCAGGGTACTATCCACGCACCAAGTTAGTATCCAGGTAACTGTTGTGACTGCAAAGTCAGGAGGAAAGCGAGGCGCCCTTACCGCCACCAAGAGAGGTGTCCACGCAATATCGTAGTGGAAGTACACCACAAAGATGAATATGACCACCGCGATACCAGCGCCCGAGTTGCCAGACTCGTTGTTTACTGCTGAGCATGCTGTCCACGCAATGTACGAGAGTAGCATGCCGCTCGTCGACCAGAGCCAGATTGTTCGACGGCCAAGTTTGTCAACCAAGAAAGCGCCACCAAGGGCCGCGCCAAAGTTGAAGATTTGTAGCATGCCGTTGATCAGGTTCTGGTCAAAGGGCGAGGTAATGCCGACTGATGACAGGACCTTGGTGAGATAGTAACTCGTTACTGCAACACTGCAAAGGCTGTTAGTGGCGATATCTCCACACGTGGTCACGAAAGAAGAGAACTCACCCATTGAGCTGAGCCCCTGTCCCGACGAGGAGGGTGATTGCGAGACGTTTCCTGTTGCCTGGGGTCGCTACCAAGGACAGCCAGTTGGTGTTTTTCGCCTCCTGTTCCATCTGGATCGACTCCACAATTTCTGACATCTCGCGTGCAACCAATTGGCTATCAGGGCGTGGATCATGGTAACGGGCAAGCACATCTCTGGCATTGGCCACTCTGTCCTTAGCGACGAGCCATCGGGGCGACTCGGGGACGAACCAGAGGAGGATGACTTGGGTTAGGGGAAGGAGGCCCTGGAAAATGGTTGGAATTTTCCACGCCAGCGAGCCAGGAAGATTCTGCGTGCCGAAGGTCACCCAGGCGGCCAAAATAGCACCAGAGTAATATAGTCTGTACCCGGGTAGATGTGTGAGCCTCGGGAAGATGTAAGCAGGGACTGGATTTCTCACGTAAAGAACGCCGATGTGAGCTTGCCACGGTGGGTGGGGTATGACAACTCAGCAATCAGCAACGCGCTGGGCGTGATCATGAGTCCAGAGAAGAGACCGAGCAGGCCTCTAGACGCGACAAACATGCCGTAGTTGACCGAGAAGATCTGGATTATAGTGGCAACGACGGTGCCCAGAGCGCCAATGGCAATGGGCAGCCGACGACCGAAGATGTCTGCGAGCTGCGAAACGGCAAACATGGCGGCAATCGAGCCGATGACCATGGCGGCGTTGACGAGGCCGAGACTGATGCCGGCCGGGTTGCCAAAATCGCTGGCCCATTGAGGGAGAGTCTGGAGTCCGTTCATGAGAGAGCCTGTGGATAAGGACACAAGTGTGAGCAGTCTGCCACTTGGGATGCATGTCTTCGATAGTAAGACAGAGTCCAAAGCCCACTCACCATCGTAGCCAGTCACGGAACTGGATAAAAGCAGTACGCTGAGGCGAAGGTTGAGGCTGAGGAGGTGAGGCTGCTGCCACCACCATTTGTCCGTGTCGGGCAATACCTCAGCGAGCGCAGCACCAACAATCTTGGTGTTGCCCTCCTTGTTCGTGAGTTTGCCCATGATGGGTGGCGTGGATTATCCCGGGACTAGGGGAAGAATACGACAGAAAATGGTTCGGTGAGCTCTACGTGCTAGAGGCAGGCGGGACCAGATTCGTAGAGCACGAGGGGACGGGTCACATATATATGCTGACCATAAACGGCACGCTGCCACAAACAGAGAATGAGACTACTACAGCCATGACAGGAGCCAAGCTTCTCAATAGCGGCGCATGTCACGTCGTCCTTGCTTCGTCGGCCTGGGCATCGACTGGCACAACGTGGTGAAGTGCGGAGGCACTGACTGGACAGGGGTGTTCTCCACAGACCATCTATCTCCACGCTGGGGCCGTGCTCTTTGGCCTCGTCTCGGGTCTCGCTGGCCAGTCAGTGGGCACCTTGCTGCGAACACGGACCGCTAGAGGGTCACAGTTGCCCACGAATCTGCACTTAGTCGCGCCCGCTCAAACACCCGAGGAGAGACGATCGGGACCAACGTCACATGCAGCTGGACCTAGGGTGTTGGAGCGGAGAGAATCTGGGGTTTTGCCCCGCCGCGCCGGCGAATCTTCGGGTCACCAGGACTTGTGCTCGGGCCTTGGCTTGGAGTAGTCGGTCTCGTTTGGGCATGGGAATTCAGCAAATGGAGGTGGCGTGCTTGCCCCTGGATTGTTGGCTTGCTAAGGATCAAGTGCCCACGTATGGCTCTCACAAATGACTCGGGAGTTTCTTCCGGGGCCACTGTTCACTGGCAGCACGGTTGGCGGTCGAACGTCTGTCTGGTGCCGGGAGCTAGCATCAGGGATGCCAGACACCACTGGAACAGATGCTGGGAAGGTTGAGATTCGAACAAACAACATGGTCGAGCGTGTTCCTCCCAGTGTCCACGGCAGCGACACTGACTCATGAGTGTTGTTACCTTGACTGTGTCGCTGAGTCGTGATGCCCTCAGCACCTCGCCATGGACGGCCTTCAGAACCCCGCATAAGAAGCTTGGCTCGTCGCGCGGCATGACGGGTGGGCTGAAGTGTGGCGCGGTCCGTGTCCAATCTTTCTTTGGCAAGCTTGCTGTTGTGGACCAAGAGAATTAGGCATCATGGCGGACCGCACGAACGACTGCCGTCGGCCAACCACAATGCTCCGCCAAAGGGTCTTGGCCTGTCTGGATCCGACAGCAGCGATCGGGCAGTCCAGGGGCATTTCACCCCTGTTCCACCCCTCCGTGTCTCCCCACATATGCTCCCCCGAACTCAATGCAGCCCATGCGCTCCAGCAGACACAATGAGCTGAAAACATTGCCTCGGAAGCCCAGTAGCTGGGCAATCCTCTAAGAGCCCACTCGCCTTGGCTACCGTCCTCTATTCGGCCCGACTCCGCATCATGACCTGGGGATACATGATGCAGAAGCTCTGTGTAATGCTTCAGTCAGCCATGCCGACGGAATTCCCCGCAACGGATCCCCCTCCCCGCGCTCGACCGATCGTCCGTCCTGCATTCCTTGATAGGAGTTTGCTGTAGGCACAGACACCTGCCCGACTTTCTGAATGTCAATGATGGGCCTATTCGTAAAATACATATTGCTCAACACGAAACAGCCCCACTCGTGCGAGTGCTCCGCATCTTTATCTGATCTGGGCCTCGGAAAGAGCGTGGCTGATCAACCGAGCATCACATATAGGACTACGGAAGGAATGGCCGCTGGACAGCCGTTTTCAAGCATTCTGCGCACGGTCGGACTCGGGTCCGCTCCTGGCTCCTTGTCCAGACACGTGATGCACAATGTTCTGCGACAGATCGCAATGTAATCGGCCAAGACCGGCGCCAAGCAGGGCTGGTGAGGCACAGGCAGAACCAAGGCGCTGGATCAAGCCAAACCCCCACGAAACGCAAATTACCACAAGGCCAAGACATCGGGCATTCGCAGGATTTCACATGATATTCGGTGCCTGCTATCTAACGCCCTCCTGTTCTGCTCGTCCGGTCCTCGGCACGACTCTATCACAAGTTCTCCACCTTGAACTTCATCCGCAGTCTCTCGCCGAACCTCAAGATCAGGAATGGCGCAGGCAGAAAAGCGATGGCGATGAACGCCAGGAGCGAGTTGCCCCATCCGAGGCCGAGCGCTCGGTACATGTCCAGCGCGCAGAGCGGCAGCACGGCGCCGGCGATGGAGCGGAACACGGTGTTGGCGGCGAGTGCGGAGGCGGCATAGCGCTCGTACGCGTCGACTAGGTAGACGCTCACGGTCATGAAGCAGAGGATGTTGCCTTACGATGGCAAGAGTGGTTAGCTTTCCTTCGCTGATCATGATATTTCGCAGGGGAAAGGAACAAATGACAAGAACTCACCAACTCCAATGATGAACAGCCCAATCACCGGCGCGATCCAGTGAGTCAGGTAGTCCGCCGTCCATCCATAGATGAAGAATCCAACAGGCAAAATGATGGCCCCGTGCGGCAGCAGGTTTAGCCTCACCTCGGGCTTGACTCTCGTCTGGCCCGTCTCGGCTTTGGCTTTCTGGATAGCCTTGTTGCTGTCGGCCGCGAACCAGGCCATTCCCACCAGTGAGCCAACACCAAGACCGATATACACCAGCCCGACCATGCTCGTGCTGAAGTGATACGATTGCTGGAATACGAACGCCACCGATGTGAACAGCAGGTACAGGTACCCGTACACCATGGCCATGTACAGCGCAAAGACGGTACAGATCGGGGAGAAGACCAACAGCTTGAGCGGTCGGATGATGTTGCGCTTAAACAACGTGCTGCCGGACAACCCGGTGTCGAGCTTCGACTTGTACCGCTCGTCGCCCGTCTCCTTGCGCAGCTTGGCAGCCTTGCGCTCCAGCAGAACAGGCGCGTAGCTCTCGCGCATAAAGACAACCATGGCCACGGCGACGCTCGCGTGGATGATGCACAGCACCCAGAACACCCACCGCCAGCCCTTTGCGTCCTGGACGAAGCCACCGATGACGGGACCGATGACGGGACCGAACAGAGGGCCAATGCTGAAGGCAGACATGGCGACGGCGCGCTTCTCCTGGCTGATCTGGTCGGCGATCGACCCGCCTCCGTTCGTCAGACAGCAAGCGCCCACCGCTCCGGCAAAGAAACGGAACACGACGAGGGCCCCGAGCGTCGGGGCGAGCGCACAGCCGACAATGAAGCCGGCGAACATGATGTTGCAGAGGTGGTAGATGTATACGCGACCATACAGCTCGCTCAGGGGCGCCCAGAGGAGCGGGCCCAGGGCAAAGCCGAGCACGTATACCGAGACGACGAACGCAGCTATAAGGACGTCCGAGCTGTGGAAGTCGCGCATCAGGCTCGGCACGCCGGGGGCGAAGATGGACGAGGCCAGGGGCGTGACAAACGTGAGCGCGCTGACAAGGCCGCAGTTGGTCGCCTTGACCCAGGTGGGCCAGTTGAATGGGTTTTGAGGGTCGTCAGGACCGTCCCAGTCGACGAGGAACGGGTCAGAAGCAGCGTTCTCATCATTGTTGGTGTCGCCGGACGAGGCAGCCGTTTTGCCCGCTTCGAGATTCGACTCCGCTACATCCATGGCCTCCTTCTTCTGGAGCTGACTGTGATCATCGTCATCGTAGTCTGTCGTCGAGTTGTTGGTGGGTTTGGCATTGTTGTGGCCTGTGTCGTGGTCCCGTCCAATCTTCTCGTCCTCTAGTGACGTCTCAGCGGCTTCTCTGGTGTCAGGGTTGACATCACGAGCCTCCTCCTGCGCGTGCGAGACAATCTCACGGTTTGCCGGTGTGTGAGGAACGACGGGCGGGGTAAGCGACGAAGCCATCGTGAAGTGCCCAGCAGTGGTAGTCGCTGGTCTGGACGGGCTCGTGAGATTTTCGCAGAGCCGCAGAAACCCTTTGAGCCGCCCCGAGAGCTACGGCTGCAAGAGGATACGATGATCTTGGAGGTCAGCTGGAAATAAACACGACAGAAGCTTCCAGGGAACGCCACCCAAGAGTCTTGGCTGCCGTCTTTGTTATATATTGCAGATCCCCCATCGCATCTGGTGGCCATTTTGGGCAGCCCCAGACCACCTCTAGGACTTGGATTCCCCTCTGGGAGGCTTCTCTCATTCGTGAATCATGGCAGATACGAACACGAAGCCGGCTAGCGGCAGTAGCAAACGTCTGGCACAGGCTATTAAAGTAAGCCATGGCGCGGAATTAGTGGACGTGGTGGAGGGCTTCCTGGGGGCCAGGCCCCCCTCTGCTGGCGCTTGCCCGAGCGCAAATGAGTGTGGCAGCTCGTAATCGGGTGTCGCAGAGTTGCTACCCACTCATCTGTGCTGGCGACATCGCTTCGAGGATCTCCATGTTTACTGTGTACATTTCCACTGCCCGGCTAATGCCGCTCACGTCGGATTCGTATCGTGCTTCAGCATGCCCAGGCGACTAGGTTGCTCTAAATATGGTCCCATCTCCCGATCTGTGCAGTTCCACCGGTCTTGCCTGCACTCTTGACGTGACATGGCGATCCCACCACGAATTGACACGTCCCTTGTAGCCAGGGTCTCCCCCGGGCGCATCTCACCCGGCAGCATTGCCTATGATGCGCAAGTCGTGACCCCAAACGTGTCATCTCCGCGACGGGGGGAAGCGCACCCTCGCGGAAGAAATGCAGCAGGGACGGAGTGCCCATTCGCGCGAAATTACGAGGCCGAGTCCTGAGTACGAACGATAGCTGACCATGACTGACATTTCCCAGTGAGACAAGCTGGGCGTGTGGGGGGGGAGGGGGTCTCTCGGGATGGATCCCATGGAGGCAGGCTCGGATCGGCAGGTCTAAGGCCTTGCGTGGATCTCGCGCTGTTGCCGAGGAAGCTTAACGAGTGATTAGATCACGGCTGGGTAGTTGGGTTCCAGAACAGGATCTCGGAACAAGGCGGTGGAGAGCCGTGTTACTCAAGACGATCCGCCGACGGGCTATGTATGTGCATTCCGCAGCATCCAGTGGATGAGTGCACTGTCTCTCCGCCGTGCGCTAATGCAAGGACCCTGGAATGACGGGTCTAACGCTCCCAGCCGCTGTAAACACGGCCGTGAGCGTGAAAATCTTCAACACTCCTCTTCCCATCCTCAGATTGTTGACCTCTGGTTGACAGGGCCCTAGGTTTACCTCTAGACGTCAAAAGCCACGAGATGGTCCCACGCGTAATGGTATCAGCATGTTATCTGTGAGATAGATGCAGCGTAGCGGTGTCGCACGGGCCGTCCCATTCCTGGCGCAATCGCAATCACAAGCGCCAACCCCCTGAAATGGGCCCAGCTTGTTATCAGTGCGCGCCAGGGGTTCTCCTCACCGTCACAAACAATGCCTCTGTGGTCGCAAAACCGGCGAACCCCTCATTTCCTGCGTATGCCCCAAGTTGGAGACCGACCGAGCCCAGAGAGACTGGTTCAGCACGTACACTCGACCGGTACACAAGGTGCGGACTGGCCCTGGCCTGATCACTTCGACAGCGACATCAAAAGATGGCGCCTCAGGGGCTACGCGTTGCGGCAGTCGCCAGCTTCGTTCCAGCATTCCCGCTGCTCCTCGCGCACGGCATTGTCTCGCACTCACCAGTCCCCGCGACGGGCCTCGTCCCGCTCTTCTTCTCGTCGTCATTCTCGCTCTTCATCCTACGCCGACGCGCGCGACGGGCACAGGCTGCCGCTCAGAACACCAGCGTCGACCGTGAGCGGCAGCCTCTCCTCCCCACCGAGGAAGGGCAGCAAGTTGCAGGAACCGATGCCGCCACCACCACCAACGACGACGAGGACGAGGACGCGCAAGCCAGCGCCAGCAACGGCAGCGACATCCACGACCGCTTTCCCATCCTCGTCTTCCTCGCAGACGTCATCTTCGCGGCCGCCATTCTGACCGTGCTCGTCTTCACATGGCTCAACTCGAGCCAGCTGAGCGGACAGCTTGCCATGCTCGCCGCCTACGGGACAATTCCCCTTCTGATCAACGTGTAAGCCTTCAAAGCCTTCTTTTTCAGTAAAGGTCCTGTCGGCCCCCCTGCAGACAAACCCGACTAACGCGAGACACGACGCCCGGGCCATCGCGCGCCCTGGCGCTCTTGCACCCACCTCAACAGTCTTATCCACCTCCTCTTCGCGGTACGCGGCCTTTCCTCCGGCCTCGCGCTGCCCGAGCTGACACGCTACGTCGCATGGCAGCTTGTGCCGGGCGATTGTCCCGACTGCGGACACCACCTGCGCCCAGAGTCCGGCCCGGAAATTCCCTGGTTTAAATCCATTAGCCGTGCTGTCAACTCGGCTAGGGAGAGGGAGTGGACGTTTCCCAAGCTGCCGGAGGTCAGGATGCCTGACATGTCTGGTCTGAAAGGGTGGGTTGGTGGACGTGCTAGTGCTGAGGACGAGGACGAGCATGACACTGCACGAGACGATGCGGGAGCCACCGAGGGCAGGTCGGGAAGGATGCCGCAGTGGCTGCGACGACCTGCGTGGCTGAGCTATGGAGGCGTGGACGAGCAGCAGCGTGCCGAGGAAGGCGACGATGAGGAGGCGCGCTTGTTCATCGACCGCGATGCCTCTACATACCGCGACGACGAGGAAGACTATGGTGTGGGTTCTACCCGGACTCAAGGTCTCCAGAGCCCGGCCTCGACCTCGGCTGAGGAAGTTGTCGTTGTGGGCAAGAAGAAGCAGCGCAAGATTACTTCTCCTGATCCTGCAAGTGATGAGCCGAGCTGGTGAGCTTGGCTACGACTTCACAGAATCCAGCTATGGAAAAAGCGGCCAACAAAACCGACAGGCACAACGTTCAGGCCATGTCACCACCTGCATTGGAAAAGCGGAAGCCCTTGTCGATTGCGGTCAGGCGCCCTCCAGTGATGGTTCCGGACCAGAGGTAAAGGCTCAGTATTATTATTCTTTTCTCATTCTGCTCACGCGTCGATACCCCCAACACGCGCTCTCCTTCCAAGCAAGCCTGCAGTCAGCTATACGGACGTGTTTAGTTTAGCAATCAACATCGTCTATCACCTCAGCGATATGAATCTCATGCGACTATGTACATTCGCGGCTTTCACTTTAAGTTCCCCTTTACTTGAAGGAGCTGCTTGTGCTCACGCTATCTCAAGGCCATGCTAAACCAGCAATATATGTGCATACCAGTTGGACGCAAGACCGAGCTCGGATGTCATCACCACCTACAAGCCCGTTCAACTGTTCTACAAAGGAGGTCGTCACTGTGGACCAGAAGCACCGGAAGCAAGTCATCTCCATCCAGGGACTCAGGCTCGGTGCTCAATTTGTTATTGTAAGCTCGTGTATACAGCCACCTGACATTCGATCTAGTCCGAATCAAGCCCACCGGCGAGTTCATCAAGGTCACGGCCTGCAAGGCAACTTGATCCCTATATTGCAACTAGAAATCCTCTCGTTCGTCATCCTGAGCTGATGTGAGATATGGGGTGTTTGCAAGGGAGCTAACGGCTCCCCACGGACTGTTCATATCATCATCAATCACTTGCCGTGCTTTCTTTTCCTTCTTTTTCTTCTTGATGGTTGACAATGTGGAGTCGAGAATGGACTGCGCATCCCGTGGAGGCTCTGGCACCCCAACTTGCCATCCCTCAGGTGGAGGTGCTTCGGTCGTCTTGGTGTTGTCTTCCACAGACTCTACTACGTGGCTTTGTGAATGCGGCGTGGGCAATGATGCGACGGACTCTGCCTTCGGAGAAACGATCGACGCTTCGTTGAGTTTGTTAGGCTTGATGCTTGAGGACTCATAAAGTCGCTCACCGCGTGGGTTGATCGGGCCATGCTGCAGCAGAGTCTTCAAGCCACGAAGTGCCTGCTGAAGGACATGTTTCTTCTCTTCCAGACGCTTTCTCTCCGCTACAGACTCCTCGGTCTCACCTGCGAGCCGAGAAATCTCCTCGTCGGTCATGGCGAGTACCTTTTTGGCCTTGAACAGCCCAGAGAGCTTCTTCACCAGACAGTCTTCGATGGCAATAACACTGATGTCGTCGATGAACCGATTAATTGCGACCTTGACTACACATTAGCATGAAATAAAACGCCAGGTCGGGAAATAATTCACCTCATAATATGCTTCCATGTAATCAACAGCTAGAGAGCTTCCGAAGAGCTCCATATCTGGTTCTAGGCCTTCAGCCAGAAGTTCCACAACCAGCACTGGGTTGACGTGAAATGTCTTTTGCGTGTTCTCAAACTCCCTGAGGGCAAAGATCTTGCTGATTTGCTGCTGAATTGCACGTTTATGTCGTGCCTGTTGAGCCTTTTGGACGTTTTCGGTGAGTTGCGGGTTATATGTGATGGGCTGATTGATGGCGGACATAAGCAGCTCCTCGATCTTGGCGTGAAGTTCAATCTCCAGCTCGCCGACTTGCTCATGGACAAAATTAACCACCTCGGTAACCACATCGTTTGCCGTGACATGCTCGATCACGAGGCGAGTTGTCGTGTGCACGGCATCCCGGATGTCATCAACCAATGATCTGACCAAGCGCCTCCATGGGTCGCACTGCTCCACAAAAAGATCTCCAACAATGAGCGGGTTGAAAAGACCGAGAAGTTCGCGTCCGCGGGTCTTGCGTAGTCTTTCAGCGACATCTTTGACGTATTGAGACCTGGGGACGCGAGGCGCCTCGCTCCTTGGGCTGCCGTTGTCCCTTGTAGCATCCGACTCGGTGAGTAGCCGAGTCTGTCCGTTCAGGCGCATTTCCTGTGCAAATTCGTGCAAAGAATTCTGCACAATGGCCCGCAGTCTCTTGGCATAATCGTCTGGCTTCTTTATATTCCCGAAGAAGCGATCTGTGTACGAGCCATTGACGGACTGCTCCATTAGTGTCGTGTAGTCTTCACCTACACTAAGCAAATATCCCTGCTGTTGTTTCGTGCTCTCTCGCGAAGGACCTAACTTGTCCAGTTGTTTGGAACATTGGCTTATGCCGTCTTCCACGTCTTTGACTAGGCTTGGTAGCTGGGACACAATCTGGGCCTTCAGCAGTGAACTCAGTCTGATTCTCAAGGCAGCCACACCACAGTGCGACGACTCAACACCGGCCCAGATGCCGTGCGAGAAAAATTTGTGCTCGACAGCGTCGCGTTCTGCCGATGTTGAATTTCGCTGCTCATAGTTGCGGTTCCTCAAGACATGCCACCCCAGCCGGAGTTCCACCTCGGCGTTCTGCGCGAGGCGCACCCAATAGCTCTCAGAGTCGGAGCCAGAATCCAGCATATCGGGCTTTGTGATCAGGCCCATGGTGCGCAGTCCATCTGGGTCCGCTCTCTGCGCCATTGAGGTCACTTCTTGCAGAACGTACTGGTAGTTGGCAGAGACAACGGCTAGGATAATGCTTCTTTCGCGAGCCATGTATGTCGTGACCATGGTACAGACAGTCTCAACGTCCGCTTCAGACTGCTCTTTATTGCCGGTCCGGAAGAGCCCGGGGAGATCGACCATGGTGAGATGCGGCTGAGTCGGCCCCGACAGCTCAATGCGTAAAATATCGCTGTAGAACCTCCGATCCCCCGACATACCCATGGCTTTTAAGGCTGCCTCTGTCACTGCCTCAAGACCATCTTTGTCTATGTCGACACTGGGTCGCCAATTCTCAAGTGATTCCTTCTCTTCCTGGTCGTAGCGATCCTCGCCGGGGATGATGAACACCTTTGTGTTGGTTTCAGTACCACGGCGGAGGACCAGCTCTGTTGCGAAGCGAGTGCACAGGTTGTCTCTGGTTGGAAACCGCAAGCCGGAGATTGCCTCCAAGACAGAGCTTTTCCCCGAGGATTGATCTCCGCAGACAATAATCTGTGGCAGGGCAACGAAGCGACTGACACCCTGAGCACGTAGACTGTCGATGATATCCAACAGTTTTCGGTGGTCCTCTGTTGGGATCGCAGCATCGAGCGGGCGGTGGGCTTCAATCGACATGCTGGTCAGCGTCATGTTGGTTGGACAAATGGAATACTTGAATGTGATGTGAATTGGTGCAAATGAGATACAGAATCCAAGCAGGCGAGTTGCCTTGAGTCAATCATGATCCAATTGAGGCTTTAGACGACAAATAAACGAGGATCTATTTATCCTCCTTCGTGCTATCTGGTAGGGAGGGGATGTGCAAGAGTCTGCTGGGTTGTCATGCAAAACAGGGATGTGTAGTTGGCCTCCCGCATAATCAGGCAGCAAGGCAGCAGAACGCCTCGCAGCGCATTGTGCGCGCTGGTGCGCACTTTTTCTATCCAGTGTCAGTCCATAATCAAGGCACTTCAGGCACATGTCCGATAAACGTGCTGACGTTATTGGTGAGAGCCTTTCTTACATGTCATGCGCCAATTTCCGAGCGAGAATGAGACTCCAAGCGAATCCAGCACTATCAGCATACAGCCAAGCCTAGGAGGTATCACAGAGCAAGTACGCATTGAACAAGTTCTCTTCATTATGCTTCCAAACTCTGGCACTCGAGGTGGGCCTGTTGTTGTCCCTTCGTCTGTGGATGCGCCATGCTCACTTGCTCGCTTTTGCTCGATTCTGCACAGAGAACTCATTCCCATACTACGCCTCATATCTTCTGTTGACAGGTACTACCGGCCAAGTGCCAATGCTGGAGTAAGGGCTGTTGCCGTTGCAGTCAGTGTCGGACCCGCAGTCGAATCCCTATTTATGGGCCTTCTAGAACCTCCGAGCTCCGTTTTCAGGGCCTTAACAGCTTCAGACTCAATCTTTCTGCTGAAAGCCCACCACATTTGTGATCTAGGTCCTCTATGGAAGTCTCCAGAGAATGGTGGCCTCCAGGTAGGATAAACCTTCTGGTGACAAGCCCCCACCCGAAGCTGGAGGGGGTGCTTGATCAGAAACTCATGACAGAGAAAGCATGCTTTCTTGCTGGTGCCCATCAAACGAAGGTTGGGAATGAGATGTTCATTTTGGTCGTAGAATCCGAGAAGCTGCATTTCGGCGTGAAGTGTCAGCGTCAAGGTACAAGCCTTGCGCATTGCGGCCTCGACGTCGACTGTGACCAGTACCCGAGCTAACTTCTCCATGGTGTCGTGGGGTTCTCCTCGCAGCAGACGTGTGAGCGCATCTCGTAAGAGTGTCCCGCCGTGAGGAGGTGGAAATATCTCCGGAGGAGGAGCTTCAAGAGCCATGATATGAATATCGGCGAACACGGCAGGCTGTTTGACTGCAAATTTGATCATTGACTTGATTGCTGCGGTGTAACGAGCCACTTTGTGCAGAGTCTCTACCCATGGAGGAGACGATGTTGCGTTGCAGTCGAGCAATGCTTGCAATTGCTGAGAATATTTCCATCGCGCCTCTGAAGCCCACTGCACGACAGTGGCCAATTGAGACGATCCAGAGAGATTCAGAGCAGTGTCACCGAAGGGACAGGTCTGAAGCCATTGTCGAAAGTCCGCGTCGTCCAGTATACCTTGCTTATGGGCGCCATTGGAAGTGTTGGACACAGCCAGCCGAAGACATTGTCGCAGTCCAGGCTTTGCAAGCTTTGAAATCTTCTGCACAAGCGACAAAATACGGTGTTCATCTAATTTGACTATAATTTTGAGAAGCTCGCCTTCGGCTTGCGTCGAAGTCTTTCCTGCATCAAGGAGTGCATCAGCAGCAGCGCAATACCCGGTATAACGCGAGAGTACATACTCTTTTCTGCAACAGCGACGAGGAAGTGCAGCACTTCTTTGAGTCTCTTAAGATCATTGTCCGGCAGGCCACGATTGCGCGCCACCCGCAAGATTGAGCTCGAACCCTGAGTCTGCTCCAAGCAGACGGCGGAGGCTGTTTCTTTGCCAGAACCCGAAGTCGCGCAAATTAGCGCGAATGAGTCTAAGAACTTCTGTTTGAGCTGATAAAGAGGTATGATGCCTTCATCGAGGGATCCTTCCAAAGAGTCTTTGGTGGGTTTTCCGCGCACGGGGTCGATCAAGTTCACAAGCACGGCGTTAATGACTAACTGCTGGAAGGCCTTGTTGCTGGGTGCGCGGCCTAGTGCTTTCGAGGCTGTTGGCGTCTGATATTTCTGGAATGGCGCCATTGCTGTGAGCATATCTCTGTGTGGCCAATATGGAATATACAGATGGTTATGTCAATCGTGAAAAGTTCCCTCTGGGTGAGATTGCTCTCTTCCACAGCGAGCGAGCTTGTATTCAGATAGATCTTGACAGGGGGCATCAGGCTCGCAAGAGCAGTCTTGCACATTCCCCTACCATCATATGCTGTAGGTGTGATGTGAGGTCTCATTGGACCACGTCAGACAGGTGGCAGCTGGGGTTCTGCAGTGAACAACCAACTGCATCTCAGCCTGCCGCAAAACGACGCCACGCAACGAGGCACGCTTCTGGGCAAACGCACATGATTATCGCATCCCTGCTTGCCCGGTTTGCTGACTGCCGATTCGTTGTGCCCGCGAATCTTGTTGTCCATTGTATTCTTATCGATGTTCGAGGCCCTTCTGTCCCCACGGGTGAATGTCAGGCTTGACCCAAGAATGGTCACGTTCATGATTGGCGGAAGCTCCTGAGAGGCGCCAGCTTACATTTGCTTCGTTGGGCAATCCCCGGGTAAGGCTGCCTCTACCCATACCTCTTCGGGCTATCTCTCCAGATTATCGGAAGTGCCTGAGAGTACATCTGCACCCCGGCTCCGTAGTCTCGTAGCACATGCTAGCAGGGTGGAAAGACCGGCATTTTGAAGATCTAGATCTCGGACTACTATTGGATCGCACACAATAAAGATGCATCTCAATCATTGTCTTAATACCAGCAGAGTGAGATATAGTCCCAATCCAGAAAAGACAAAGCCGAAGGAAAGGAGGGAACGTAGAAATGAAGCTGATCGACAGTCCATACCGAAGACGAGTCATGTAGAGTGCTGCACTGACTTAGATCTCGCCTCTATTTGCATGGGCAGTAGCAGCCGTTGACCTCGTCAAAGTTGCGCCTGGCTTCGTGTTTCGCCACACAGCCCATTGCTGTCCACGCCGGGCTCGTTTTCGCTGCGTGCCTTGATCGCTTGTACCATGCGCTTGACCCCCTGGATGCACATTCCTGGTAGGTATGATTGCGTGGGTACCAGGACATAACGGGCTGTGTGCGCTTGGGCGCGGAGGACACTGCACCCACACGAGCCTGCGTTGGGCCGAGCCCACAATGTCAAACCACACATCTTGACCACACAAGTCCTCAGGCAAGTGATGTTGGATGTAAGCTTGGATAGTCGCAGTCTCCGCGTTCACACCGTCGTCGCCGAAACGTCTACTCCTTCGGCTTTGAGTTCGTCAGCGATCATCGCGCAGGTCTTCTCGTGGCCATATCTATCAAGGCGTACCTTGATAGCTTCTGCTTGAGTAAGTGATATTGAACGCTTCCGTGGTCGCCCAGTCCTTGGCGCATCGGCAAACCACTCATCCCGCATCGTCTGCGCAGCGCCGAGGGCTGGATTGAAGCCTCGTTGGACGGCGCGGTCGACCATTGATCTCACGGTCAAAGCCTTGATAGTGGTGATTCTCTCGACCTCTGCCAGCGAGTGCCCTTGAGCGTGAAGGAGTACACATGTTGCGCGTGCTGCTACTCCAACTCTGGTGCACCGAACCATACTGACGGTGTTGCTGTCGTTGGCGCCTGTAGGGGCCTCTGAAGAGGGCGGAGATCTACTTCCGCAGCTGTCTCCCATCTCAACAAGTACTACTCTTGAAAATTCCTCGGATCCCGTCGGTTTGAGCCCAAACGCATCGGTCAGAACCCCTGAAGTGCCTCCGAGTTGAAGGTGCAGGAGAGCAATGTGCATCCCGTCCCCGCACGAGCCAGGATAATCAAGTCGCCATACATTCCACCATAGCCAGCTGTTGACGGCCGCTCGCCCTGGTCCGCCAAGGCAAGCAGGCCATTTGACGCTAGGCAAAGACTTCTGCAAGGCACTTCCGTAATACCGTTACGCCCTAGAGGTCAGCAATCCATTAACGGGCGAAATGGCTTTGAGAGCACTGCTTTATGCTCCGTAATATGCAGGAAACGTAGTGCCTTGGTACCTCCAAGAGAGACTCTATGGTATTCAATTTCTAAAGATTCTTTTTGTAGGGCAACACTTGACAAGGCTTGACGATTCGCCTGCCAAATCCTCGTCCACTGACCAATTTTGCAAATGGTTAGTGGCGAGACTCATGCACCGTTATCTCCGTCTGCTTCGTGATGCCCTTGAGTCCTGAACTCCTCTTTGCCGGCTCACCCCCATGCTGCTGCTGCTGTTGCTGCTGCTGCGGCAAGATTCCCTCCTCACTGCTGTTGTCCTCCAGCCCGTATGCTGATCTTGAGCTTATCATGACAGTTGTACCAGTTCCGGACCTCCCGCCATTCTTGCCAGACCACTGCTTGCTCTCGCTGAGCTGTATGCTCTGTTCCTCCTTCTGCTTCTGGTATCCGTGTTTCGTGGGCCGGCTGTCGAGGCCGCCGGCGCCGGCATACCCGAGCGCCCCGGGGCGACTGCGGCCTGCCGAGGAGGAGCCGGCACCGGTGCTGCGGAAGCGGCGGGCAGTGCCCTCGAGCCAGCCGGAAAGGAGAGGGCGGAGGGGAGGAATCGAGGCGGCGACAAGGCCGGCGTTGAGCTCGGCTCTGGTTGGAACAATCAGTGTGTCAGTTTCGGTGATTCGATGAGAGTCCAGTGGGAGAGCGTCTTCGGTATCAAGACGTACGAGTTCCACAGGTAGAACCTGAGAGTGAATGATCCGTCTGTGAGCTGGATCGGTTTGTTGCCCGTGATGGCACGTACGATGGCAGTCCCGGTCGCGCTGTGGAGACGTGGTCAGTTTGGAATGGTCATTCAGATCCCCATGAATCAATCAACTCACAAGAAACCGATGCACAAGACGCCAATCAGCGAGGCCTTGGTGCGGACGTTGACCTTGAGCATTGCGATTGTCGGGATCGGGAGTAAGACGAGTGTGGCGTCCGTGACAATATTGATGGCTGTATGACAAGATGGAAGTTAGCTGCCAGGGTTTCTCAAATCATGAAAACAGGTCAGACAAACCGCCGTTGATGTTGGCAACAAGAACAAATGCCTCATTCGATATGCAAGCGCCCGGCTCCCTGATGAATGCCCAGCTGTTGTACATCGGCCGGCACTCGAACAATAATGGCGCCTCACTCGCAATGGTGAAGATGACGATAAAACCTAAATTGATTTAGCTCGACATTCATCCATTATCTTGGATGAATTTGCTGGCTCACCAATCATAACTTTGAGGAACAGCTGGTACCACTTCCCCTTGAGGAAGCGCAGCAGTGCCAAGCAGACCGAGATCTTGACGATGCTCACGCCGGTGATGTTGACCGTGACCTGTGCGTACTGCCAGTGCTTCATGGACTCCCACTCCTCCGGCACGCCGAGGTCGTACCAGTGGTGGCCGCCGCCATTGTTCACAGTGCCAATGAAACACACGAGGACGCCGATCGTGTGGAGCTGTCAAAGATGGAGCACAAAGGATCAGTCAATCATCTCTCGCCTTCAATGGGAGTGCTCGAGCGGCGTGGTGCAATACAGGAGCGGGAAAGGGAACTCACCATTGCCAGTGCGATGAACCAGTCGTCCCACCCAAATGTCTTGAGCACGAACCGGCGCACCCAAAGGCGAAGACTGACTACCAGAACAGCAAATCCCGTCATGAAGCCTGCGATCCCCATAATCTCGACATGGTTGTTCTCCCGCCCGGGAACGGGCGGCTGTGGTTTCGGTATCGGTAGCGCCATGGCCCCAGGCACGAGATGGATGACTTGCAGAGAGTAGGCGATCACTTCTGCAACAGGCGATGGGCCCTGGGGTCGATTGGGAAAGGCAAGATCAGCGGCGGCACGGGCGTAGAGATGTCAGACATCTGGAATGGCAGAGTGGAGAGGACGCGAGAGAGAGAGAGGCAGGCGTCGTCTTGTATCACACGAGTCACAACAGACCTCCCGGCGGCCTGGAACGAAGGACTCGCGATGATTTGTGCACGAATTTGAGCCTTGCTGTCTGCCGGCATAATTCCGTCTGAGGGATGCCACTCTGCAGACTACCCAGATTATGGTCACAGAGTGCGTGAGTGCTACCCGGCCGGGCCAGGAAACTCTGCCCAGGAACGCACGCTTCGCAGAGTACGAGCAGGTCACACTCCGAGGCCAATGAAACGTCGGAAAGTGCCACGCTGTGGACCCTGGTAGCAACGATTCTCTTGAGTCCGGCCAAGAGTTGCAGCCGTGCTGTCAGTCCGCAAGGGGTGGCGTACTTTCTGTATCCTTGCCACCCTATTAAGATGAGGCGTCGTGTGGCTTGCAGGTGTGTGTCGCGGGTGTGTCTGGTGGCTCGGTTGATTTCGCATTGCCGTTGAGCCGCCGGGAGTAATGATTGGTCCGCCGGGAACTCCTGACATTAGATGTTGGTCCAACCCGGACGGGCTGCATCGTCTTTACGAGCGGCTCCTTGTGACTGCGAGACAGGACCTGCCTTTTTGGGATCACGGGTGGCAGAATACTTCGAAGGGTCGCTAATTGTTCTGCCGAGGCACATGCTTCCAATGTGCTTGACTGCAAGCGGTGGTCGTTGGTTTTGGAAAGATTAGACTTTAGCGTGTCCCTGGCAGGAAGATGGGGGTGTCACCTATAGGCTAGGTAGGGTACCCATTTACGGATATCGGGCCGTGGAGAAAGAGCAGCACGATCTAGGCTGCTCGGCGGAGATGATACACATATGCTGGGAACATCAAAGGTAACCGTAGAACGTGGTGGCTGCAAGCTCGCGTAGAACTCTGCAGGGCACAAAAGTGGCAACTTTCTGCAGCCCTGGCTACGCGACTGTCGTGCTCGGGTCGAAGGCTGGTTGCACATCGCTGCGATCTCTGTGCGTATCATGGGTGTTTTCATGCTTGCTTGGGGCCCGGCAAGCCCGGCGAACCGTTGAGTGAGATATGAAGTGTCCCTGAAAGGAACTCTTCCTCTACCCAGCTGAGATGATCTAGACGCAGACAAATGGGGGACGGCCCGGCTCGAAGGATTCGGGTGTGGTAGCTGTTGGCTGTGTCCATGCATCCGCGGGCCTTGTCAGGCCAGGGTGGTTCTTCACCGGGCCAGGGTCCCTGCTATTGTTGGTTGGAAGACAGGGGTTGGGCAGGTTGAAGCAACGCAAGTTCTGCAGGACGAATTCAAAGGAAGGATTTCTCCTCAAAAGGTAGCATTTGTATCGGATGGTGCATAAAAGCTGACAGCATATAGTATCGATGAGGGCCATACTCGATACCACCTTAACCGCAGACGAGCAGTCCAGTGCCTTACGATCGTTTGGCACCCGGACTTTGGGGGTCACCCCATGACCTCAGAATTCCACGCTGGCAAGGGTGCAGGATGACCCGGTCTACGGATCCGCCTTCCGGATCTACGAAACCGCTGGGGCCTCTTTATCCTATGCGGGGACAGCACTCTCTTCAGACCTGCCAAGGATTTCATGCCTGTCGGAAATCCATTCCTGCACCACGAGCCCGAGATTGTGGCGCAGAGAAGATTTTCCATGTGACACCTGGATGTGGAGCAGTACGTATCTGCACGAACTAGACTGTCGAGCACTTTCAAGACTGGGACAGGAGCTTTGACCTGCCTGCCTCGGTACAATCCGAACTCGGCCAGATGCAATACCACCAATGAGAGAGAGCAACGAGATGGACTGCAACCTCACACATCTGTTTTCTGCCACGGATGCACGGGTACGACAGTTCCGCATGATCAGCGACTTACGCTTGGCTGTGATCAGAATATTCCTATGCACGGCCCTTTCATCGCCCACACAAGGCCTCAAAAGGAGATGAATATCGTACTTAGGGCATGTTATCCTTTATCCCTTTTGGGCGGTGCGCTTGCAGACCTCCGCTTACTCGATAAGCACGCCACGATAGTTGGCGCCTGAAGTCGTGCAGGCGCCAAGCACAGACCCTGGTTCTTCTCGGCCCGCCCATGCCAGGGTTAGACACGAGAACGAACTTGGAACCTTTTTCGAATCCAGCATTTGGACTTTTGAGGTCCGCCGGTGGTGCTCGTGAAGCGAATAGATTCCCCATGGCACCGAGATAAGCCAGGGTACACCTAGCTAGTCTATATGCAGATTTCTATCGTTAGCATCACCGTACGATCTAACGGTCCATGGGATGAGCGAGCTCGTCATGCCATGCCGTGCACCGCCGTGCCACCGCCACGCATTTGGGAGGCAGATGTGACCCTTTCCGAGCCTGGAGATTTCCCAATCAAAATTTCAGGTAGGCCGGCCAATAGTAGCACGACAATATACACGCAACGCCTCACCCGCATTGTCGGGCTAGAACGCCACCTGAAGAGGGCGGCTGCTCAACCCCATCCCCCATGGCAGCGTCCTGCAGGGACCGCAGCTCTGCGTGCTGCTTGCATGGAAGCAGATGCACGATGCTGACATACAAGCGAGAGTTTGCTCCAGCTCTCCCACGCGTCTGACAGGGGTGGGTTTCCACGTTGCACTCAAAAGACCCTGCCCATCTTCGCAACTTTCTCGGATCCTTCTTTTTTTTCCTGCCCATCTCTTTCCAGATTCAGGAGCTGCAGACTTCCAGAAGCATTCGAGACATCTCGGCTGCACCGGACTTGGAAAAGATGAAGTTGTTCTCCGACGCCCTGCTGGCCATTGGCCTGGCTGCTCCGGCTCTTGCTCTCTGGTTTCCTGCTGTAAGTCGAGCTTGTCTGATAGTAACACACATACACGGCGTTCCATTTGTCTATGGTGGACTTGAACATGGACTTCTGAAGAGAGCCAAAGGCTGACCTCGTCGTCTGCAGCCCACGTTCCAGTCGGACCTCATTGCCGGACTCAGTCTGATCCAGCAGACCGTCTCGGTGGCCGACGGCAGCCTGAAGAAGGCGCTGTCTGCATATGGCGTATCTTCGAGCTGCAACCCGCTCAAGGTGCGGGTTCGGCGTGACTAGTACGTCTCGCGGGATCTTGTATTGTCAAGAAGTCAGAGGATATAGAGGCTGACGCGATGATGGCGACTACAGCGCGCTTTTGACCAATGCCGAGAAGCTCGAATATACACGAGCGGGTAAGTATTTCTCTTCGACTTCGGATGCTTTTCCTTAGTACGATGCTAACCTTTACTGCCGACAGTCAAATGTCTGATGGATGCCCCTTCCAAGATCCCCGAAGGCGTCGCTCCTGGTGCTAAGTCCCGCTACGACGACTTTGTAAGTCCTCCATGGCGTCAGAGCTGCCCACTTATAAGGTGGCTCTTGACAAGAAGAAACAACCACCTGCCACCCTGTGTGGTGACTAACATATCCGTTCCCCCCAGGTCGCCGTCCACATCAACCAGACCAAGACTATCCACTTTACCGGCAACTTCCTGACGTGGCACCGGTACTACATCCACGCGTTTGAGACGGCGCTGCGCGACGAGTGCCGCTTCACGGGCACGCTGCCGTACTGGAACTGGGCCAAGTCGGCGCAGGACCCGCTGGGCTCGCCGTACATGGACGGCTCGGCGTACTCGCAGGGCGGCAACGGCGTGTGGGAGCCGCACGTGTGCACGCGGCCGGGCAACATCAACGCGCCGTGCATCTCGCCGGTGGTCGAGGGCCGCGGGGGCGGGTGCGTCGCCTCGGGCCCCTATGTCAAGTACAAGGCCAACCTGTCGTCCGTCGACGTCTGGTTTAACTACCCAAACATCAAGTCGGGCCCCCTGATGAGCTATGCGCCGCGCTGCATGCGCCGCGATATCCTGCCCGAGTACACGCAGGCCCGGGCCACCGAGCAGCACTTGCTCAACTACTTCACCAACAGCACCCTCGGCAACCTCGAGGCCTGGCAGGCAGAGCTGCAGGGCGGGACAGGCCTGCACTCGGTCGGCCATTTCAGTTTTGGCGGCGATCCCGGCGGTGATATTTATACCAGCCCAAATGAGTTGGTACTCCCTCTCTTGTCTTTCACAATCATCTCCTCCACCACCACCCCCTTCTCATCCACAACTCCTAGATCAAGACAACCCAAAGCTAACATTGAATCTTCCGCAATTAATTCCTCTCTTCTGGTTGCATCATGGCATGGTGGATCGTGCCTGGTGGATGTGGCAGAACCAGAAGCCCCCGGCAGAGCGTCATTTTCAAATCGCGGCAACCCGGACGATGCGCAACAACCCGCCCTCGGACAACGCCACGCTCGACGACATTATCGACCTGTCCTGGGTCACGCCGCAAAAGGGCGGCGTCAGGTCGGCCATCAAGAACCACGTCAGCACGGTTGCCGGGCCTTACTGCTATGTGTACATGTAAGAAGGAGTGGTTGATTTCCCGGAGCGACTATGGGGGCATACAATGCCGAGCCGATGCGGAGTTGGTGCACGCGAGACGGGGTGTGCATGTAATGGCGGCTGTGTTTGAGATGTTATAGTTAGAGCTTTAGAATTATATACCAGCATATGGTGTGCATCGGTGGTGCCAGATTCATGCATAGGGAGATGCCCAGCTATATGTGCTTGCTTGAAACGTACGACCTGGGGTGGTTGCACCCCTCATCGCCAAGTTTCAGCCCAGAATGAATGGGTCAAGTGTGATGTATGTACATAATATGTATGGTGTTATTTACTACACTTTGTAACCTCACCGCAGATCCTTGACAAAGCCCAGCCGCTCGCGCTTCTCGTCACACACGCGGGCAAACTCGAGCAGCACCCGCCATACATATAACAACATGTCCTCCCTCCGGAGAACGCGCGATGCCCAGGCGGCCCCTTGCTCGGCGATGAACTGCGCAGTCTTGTCTCCCCGCTCGTCCCGCGTAAAGTAGTGCAGGATGGCCAGGAGGTCCTGGTTCTCGATCGACGTCGGCACAAAGTGCAGCCATGGCAGCAGGCGGTCGTCGTGCCACTCGGCAAAGAGCGTCGACTTGATCGGGAGCGATGTCGACAGGAGGAAGCTGCGGTATCGCCCGCTGTAGCTGTTGCCGTCCGTGTCGGGCAGGAACTTGTAGCGGAACTGCTTGCTCATGGCGACCTCGTCCCGGAGGGCGAAGAAGGGCTGCAGGAACGAGCACGCCTCGAGAGAGTTGCCCTTCTCGCAGAAGAAGCGTGTGAAGCCGACGTTGCTGATGGACTCGAGCCACGGCCCCAGCTTGCCGTGCAGGTCATGGTCCAGCTCGGGATATGCGACAGGCCTGCCCGCGTGCGCCTGCTCGTCCGTGGCCGGCAGCTCAAACGACCTGGCCTCCTCGAGGCCCTGCTCGACCCGCGACATGTGAGTGCCGTTGAGCATCTCGACCAGCCGGAAGCGCTGGGAGCGGTTCCAGTCGTCCTCGGAGCTCAGGCCGCCCGAGGTGATCCCTCGCCAGAAGACCCCCCCCACTTTCTTCCTCCACTGGATTGATGTGGTCGACTTGGCATTATAGTGCGGCGTAGACCATGGAAGGAGACTGGTGAACTCGCCCAGGTAGGCGGCTCCGGGAAGCAGGATGTCGTTGTTGACCAGCATCTTGCAACCGCTGAAGATGGGCACGGGGCTTGTCGTCATCATCATGGTCGAAGGGCGGATGAGGTGCGCGTGCACGCCGCTGAGATGGGGCATTTCGCAGAGGTCCTTGGCCGCGGTGAAGTTCTTGATGTAGCCGCTGGTCATAACCTCGACCATGCCGGGTGGCAGGTAATGCGGTGGGCGGGACAAGTCGCCTGGCTGGGCCATGTTGCGGCCGCCGCTCCCCTGGCGGCAGGCTTGCCGCACCATGTCCCACATGCCTGAAGTATGCCATTCGGGCTCGACGTACTGGGCCTGGGGGTCGACGGTAGGGACTGCTGTCGTGAAATGCTGCTCGATATCCTCGACGGGCAGCACCTTGCGGGAGGCACGCTCCGACTGCATGAGGTTATTGACGTCGTCCCAGGGGATCATGACGCGGGGCTCGTCGAGGTTGTTGATGGGGACGTTGACGTCGGGCAGGTACGCGCCAGCCTCGGCCACCAGGTCCGTCCAGATCTTGAGGAACGGCGTGTTGCGGTTGCCGAGCTTGCCCGTCGCCCTGGCCTTGCCGCCGCGCACGCTGACGGTCGAGTGCCACGAGGCGGCCGCGTCTGCGAGCTTGTGGGGGTCGACGCCCCAGAAGGGCCCGATGTCTGCCTCGATGCGGTCAAAGAAGGACTCGACAATGACGGCATTGTGCTTGCGGGCGTAGGCGAACCAGGCGTCGAAGCCCGGGGGCGGGTGGCGGCCGCGGCGGTCGCGGTAGAGCTCTGCGGCGGTGTGGAGGTCGAGGGTCTGGCGCTTGAGCCAGCCCTGGTGTGTCGCGTGGCTGTCGACGACGAGCCGCTCGATGGGGTGCTGCGTGTCGCCCCTTGCGAAGTCGAGGTGGAAGAAGTGTGTTTGCGCCTCGTAGAGGCCCGGCCGGCGGGAGAGGCTCACGAGGCTGGAGACGAGGTAGAGCGCGACGCAGATCGAGACCAGCTGGGCCACGCGGGAGCGCGAGACCCAGCGCAGGCGGGCCTGGACGAGGGCTTGGAGGGACATTGTCGGCCGGTTTGTGTCTCGTTGAGGGCGCGGGCGTCGTCGAGGGCGTCGTCAGGGGCAGCAACGCGGGGGGGGGGGGGGGGAGCTGCCGGGGAGGCAGGAGGGATGAGTCGGTTGTCGCGTTAGTGTCGACGTCAGGAGGGCCGGTCGCGGTGCCACATGGTCGTCTGCAAGGGCGCCAGGACGACATGTGTTGCTGAGCAGGCTGGTGTTGTCGCTGGGAAAGATCTGGTGGTGTGGTGAGTGTTGATGTCGCAAGACGAGCTCGAGCTCGAGCTTTGGAGGTGGGAGCTCCACTAGTGCTCAGCGGACATCAGTGCCTCAGGCAGGTACACGGGTACACTATACCTTGATGTGGATGCCCTATAAGCGTTTCTGTTCCAGGGCTAGCTTCACTAGAAGTTATGGTTATGTCAGCAGCATCGGCTCGAGTATCACCGCCTTTCGACCTCCACGAGCCGTGTCACAAGGTCTCGACTGAATACTCCTAGATCATCACTGCCAGACTCCTTGAACATTATTGCACACTTGGCTGCATGCCAATCAGCAAGGACTCAACAACCGCATCTGGCAACTTCCCAGGACGTCCAACGCTGCACTGCAGCCCGTATTTCAGCCCTGTCCAAACGGCAGGTCAGCAGCGACATCGGCCTGGGCAACTGCAACCAAAACATGGAATACCGGCTCTTGGCCGGGCTGCCCTTCCCAGCGCCACCTAGGTTCATTATTGCCCCGCGGAGTATATGAGATGCTGACTAAGACAACAAGACAGCTCTAGAGAGCACACAACTAGAAGGGTGACGACGGCAGCATGCGCAAGCGCCCCAGGCTGCCACTTTGCCTCCGATGTCGCGTTCTCCAACACTTTTATAGTCGCGCCTCAGCATCGCGCGCAAAAACCGCAGGCGCAAAAACACCTCGGCGCAAAAAATTGGCGTGCTGTTGCAGCACACTTGTACTGCTGCACTCGTGATTCGTCACTTCCCGGGGGTAAGCTCAAGATCATGTATTGTCTTATTCGCCCGGCTGTTCGCCAACGAGGCAATTGCCAGCGCAATGGGGGGATATCACGACTGCACCGTCAAATCATGAGTCGGGACACTATCACTAGGCATCAGCAGGAAATGCACAAGATGGCAGAAGCTCATGTTGGTCGTAGGTCAAGTGACCTTACTTCACGGGCAAGGTCATAATGAAAGACAATGCCTGGCTCGATGCCTGAGGTTAGCACTATACTTCCTCCACTCGGCTTGTCAATTCCGGAGAGCATTCCACGCCATATAGTCCATACGTGATGCCCCCAGACCAGAGTGCTGCCATGACACCAAGTAATGGCGGCCAAGAGACTTTCTCCGGGGACAACATCCTCGTCTGGGACAAGTCGCCCCACACAACTGCAGAGCAATTCAGTGTCAGCATAAAGTTCGACACCCGCATAGCAGACTTCTACAGGAAAACAGTACCGGAGCTTTACATGACGAAAACCCACCTTCCCGTAACCGCAGATCGCCAAGGCGATAAAGTGGTCAAAGAGCCGGACATCATCTCCCCAGGCACCGAGTACATATGGCGGGACATATCCTTCCCGGGGCCCGGCACGTGGAAGCTCGTCGTATATCGAGGGGCGATGAGGCACGAAGGAACTGATGGCGCAGTACGCGTGTCTAGAACGTTCCGGGGGACGACAGAGTTCAACATAAGCGAGTAGATGGGCAAGAAGCATGGGATTTTGGCGCCTCTTGTGACCAACAGAGAGACCAGGTCTTTGGCAGAGGACGGCCAGGTTTTGAGAGAATCAGGTCATCGGATATGGGCTGGCATTCTAATTTCTATTCTCAAGCACTTGAGCAGCTACGCATGTAATGAAGTCACGTTTGTTTGTTAGTAGGTCGGATGGAATTCTTGCACTACCCCGGGAGAACATTGCAGGCATGACACAAGCAAGCAGACTCATGTCGCACAGTACATGTGTTTGGGAACGTTGGACAGCTGCCGAGCACGATGTGATCGTGGTCCAGTCTACCAACATGAGCCCCTCGCCGTATGAACTCGAACTCCAGAGAGCCCGTGTCTTCTCCAGCCTCGTCTCGTGTCACGAGCTGCACAAACAGGAATGTTGGAATTCGAAGGACACGACCCGACTTGCAGGCATAGGCATACTGTTGTTGTGGTACCCCGCAAAGAATTACAGACAAATTTCTCTTTGACCAAGCGGATCGTGGCACGCAGCAGCAGGCGAGCATTCCCTTCTGCGTTTCCACATATGTCAACACTTTTCTGTTTCCCGCTTGAACTCTCCGGAGTGCAGTCGTGCATTTCAATCTAAAGTGTGGTAGCTCAGCATTCCACCCCATGTCGTTGAAGCCGTGTTCCACAAGGCTCGCATCAAAGGGAACGTGCCACAAGACATGTTGAGCCTCCCCCGGCGCTGGTGCCATCCTCAACCCGCGAGTACTCGCTGTTCCATGGTGTATGCTCTAGAATGAGACTACATATGGGCGCCATCGCCCTACTCGGCTTCCCCCGTAAACGATACTTCCCTCATCCCAGCCTCAGCCACTCTACGGCCTACAGGAACCCCTTGCCCCGTCATTGCAGCTTCAAAACCAGAAATAGATACCAGGAGCCATAAAGAATACAGTTTCCTTCCACCACCATGGCCCAAGCCATAAGCAGCATACCGTGTGTAGACAAATTCGGTACTAGGGGCGACTGCTTCATCAGAGTCAATCCAGTCCCCAGGACCACCGAGGACAAATTCGACGTCGAGGTCTCCATCGACCCACGCCAGCTCCAATTCTTCAAAAGCGTCCAGGACAAGACGGCACGACAGCTGGCACTGTACCTGGACCCCGGCAATCCAGCGTCGTCCACGAGGCACCCGGACAAGATGGTGGAGGTCAAGAACAAGGTTGCGTTGAGCAGCTACGACCAAAACGCCAAGAAGTACATCTGGAAGTGGGACGGCGTGAGCTTTCCACGGGCGGGGGATTGGCGCCTCTTTGTCACGGCTCATGAGATTGAGGAGTATCGGCAGGACGAGTGTGTCACGCCCGGAGAACAGTTCTCTAGTGTTTTCAAGAGCATCACGGAGGCCTGAGGCTCGTCGCTTGGGGATCGTCATGGTACAGAGCCGGCGAGCAGCGGGAGGCGGAATTTTAAGATGACTATTGGCACCTTCTGCAGAGATCTCACCTGAGGTTGTAGCCATCTCGTGTTGGGACCGAAATAGGACTAGGATGTCACTCATTTGTACATGAGCTTACTGGTAGCGGAAAGGGGTTTTCTCTTCTGCTCGTGCCCTCTCATAACTAAGAATGCGTTCATCCATGAATCCTTGGTATGTGCCGCGAGCCAGAAGCCCCGTCTAAATCTAGTGTGAGCTTTTGTATCGGCTACATGTTCGGACAAGTCCATTCTTTAGACGGGCACTCTCGGCCAACGACGCCACGTGCTGGCTGGACTCGTGGTACAAACGCTGCACTTACGCGCGGTTAAAGATTAGCGTATTGGAACTGTTATGCAACAGACACACAGACATTGGCAATGCTCTTTTTCTCCTCGCCATGCCAGCGGAAGAGCTAGCCAGCAACGCCCAGGACACTTTCGGGACGCAGCGCATACTACTCCAGCCATCTCCACAACATTACGCTGACATCCGAGGGATTTTCTAATGAGAAAAATCCAAAAAGCCCCCACCCTCCCTCGCTTTGCTGTCATAGTCTTAGAGCTTGGAGTTATTCCCAAAGAGGCACGAGCTCAATAACCATGAAGGCGGCCTAGCCTGCGGAGACAGATAGTGTGACAGTTTGAGAAAACCGACTCCCCGATCCTGCGGTCCAAAAGAAACCGCCCTTCCTCCAGACATCTCGCATAATACCTGTGGCGTGACCTCACTACCTGGTGTACCTCTCAATGGGAGTATGGTCAGGTCAGCGTGTTGGAAATGTACCCTTCCATTTCGGAGCTGGAAAGGGCCTCGGGCTTGAGGTTGGCACGTTACACGCCATTTCTCGTAGTGATCACGTTGTTGAATGTGTTAGCTGGACGCATATCTGGGGCTGGGAGGGTCGTATTGTTGCACGTATTGTCTGATGGAAGCCTTAGCAAGCTCCATGTTAGCTTCTGTTCTTTCGCAAGTATAGAGGCCGTTATTGGCAAACCGCATTACGTCTTGGTGGCAGGCACGCCAATCGTTGCATTCTCGATATGCTGTATCTGCGGCCTGCTCTAGAGCCGCCGTACTTTCGAATTCATCGTGTTGAATGGACTTCGGTTGCCTGCCCATCAACATGGTGACACGTCGTCGAAGTTCACCGAAGCATGGAGGCGGGATACGCAGCCTTGATCATCATTATCTGCCACCTTATAAGTGCTTACTTAATTCAAGGGTTGTCTCACTCCCAATCAGCTGCGTATCTCATGCTGGACGCCGACTCCAGGGTAGCGCCGTATCACGGGATTCACAACTTCGAGATGCAGCAAGATATGAGACTGTTTCGACCCTTAGTTTCAACACAAAGAAACTTTTAGTGTTACTGCGGATGAGATGAGCCCCTCCCATCACTCGACTTACGTGCGGTCACTTCATGTCGAAAAGGAAGTCGCCGTGTCACTACTTGACCCATTAACAGTCCCACTGCTTTACAACGCTGGCCCTTTTTCACCACTAGGTTTTGCGAACGCACGCAGAACAGCAAGAGCTTACAAGAGGAGCCTTATTATGCACAGACATCGCGCCCGTCAAGGCGATGTGATGAGCCACATCGGCACCGAAGCAGTGCAATCAATATCCCCGATTCAGAGCACACAGTATCCAAGGGCACCTCCATCCATAGCGAGGCGTAGACCATCTACATCCCACTGCTCTCCGCCGAGTCCCTTTACCCACCATCCCTCACCCAACCATCCTTAACCAAACTCATTCTCAATGGACACTTAGAGCAAGTTTGCCATCCGCCCAACAACAAACATGTCCGACGTCTCGATGTCAGAGCCCTCCTCCGGCAGTGAGAGCAACGCGAGCGACAACACCAACCGTGTTGTACTCGCCGTCAAGACGCATGACGAAGATATCCAACCCGCCCTTTTCAGGGGATGTTACAGGCTCCAGTTCTTCCATGCCTACTTTCTCCGACTTTTGACAACACATGGCATCGCAGGTGGCTGGCATCTTACAGAAGTATGTGGCAAGCGGTGACGACACCCTGGGCGTCGACTTTATACCAGAAACCGCCCAGCGCATTTGGGACGCCTTTCCCAGCGTCGCAGTCGCAATGTGCCAGGGGGCCAACGGTCGAGACCCGCCAGGTCATGCTGCCTACAAAACACGCGGCAAGAAGGTCTCCAAGAAGAAGAAGTCTTGGAAGGAAAGAAGACTAAGGAAATCGCTCACGAGCTGGCCAAGAAGACGCTCGAGGAGGCTCGCTTCGTCAGTTGGCACCTCCCTGGAGACGGGTACGGCCCTGAGGCCATCCAAACTCTGGCGGTGCACTTCAAGAGCAACACAATCGGCAAAGACTTTACAATCATCAAGAATGGGAAGAAGGTCGTGATCTGTTTGCCCGAACAAGAGGCTCTGAGGGCCACCAAGGTTGTCTTCGGAGACATGCTCAGAAAACTGCCCGACAGGATTGCCGACATCCAGCGATGGGTCCAATATAAGGCGAGCCAAAATGCTCACAACGCCCTGATCAACAACTCTCCAAGCAACCTGGCCCCTCTTCTCGAGCTGACCGACTTGGCTGCCGAAGCTTTCTGCCTCAAGCGACGAGATCAATGCCATGAGGCTTGTGCACACCCACCCATCTGCAAATGCAGAACCAGCTCTTCGAGATCAACGAACGGCTCAAGAACGGACAACTGAGCCAGTCGACTCTGGATGCAGCGCATACGCATCACAAACTGCTCCCTATCCACCCAATCACCACCACACATGTGGATTCATATGTCAGCTACTTGACAGCGAAAATGGACCAGCCGTGGGATCTAGTTCAGGAGAACAGCAAGTTTGCCAGCACGGCTGTGGCTGCGTGTGATTCAGGTGCCATCATCTTCAATTTCGGCAAGCGTTCTACAAAGCAAGAGGGGAGCGAGAGTAATTTACTTATAGGTGAATCTTTGTTCATCTACATTCTTTGGCAATATAAGCTGCCAAGTCTTCTGATGTTGCATTCTTCGTATAAATGCCCGAATATAAGACGTGGTAGACGATTCAGCTCGCGTCCCACGTAACCAATACGCTGCTATTTGCGCTGTACAACTGAGCGTAACTACCCATAGCTTCTACCGGGCTTATTCATCAACAAGATTATCTGCGTGGACGAGGAATGCCTCGAGGTCGAGACGACTATAAGCCGTATCAGTATATAAGTGGAAACAGGGGCGATGGACCTAGATGCTTTCATGCGTAGATTTGGATCCTAGGGATTTCACTACATGAGAGTTGTCACGAACATGAGAGCCCATAACAAAGAGACACAATATCAGCACTTACCATAGCGGACAAGTCGGTGCCCTCTCGCGTAGCCAGTGGTCTATACACGGAGGGTGGAATATGTGCGTGCAGGGCAGTCTTCGCACGTGTTCGCCCTCGATCAGGTCCTCGGTACATATTGAGCAAGAACTGTTGCTTTGGCACGAGACGGCTTCTTTGATTCGAACAACCTGGCCAGAGTCGGACGCTTTTATTGCAGTTTCTGAAGATGATGTTTGTCGCGACTTCGAGAATGTCGGGAGTGCTTGTGACAGGACCGTATGTGAACCGCTGCTGTCCTGGTCTGTCGAGTCACGTATGGTATCGAGCTGCTGTAGTGATTGCGCTTGGAGGGAATCATCGCCCTGGCGCTGGTGATCGACATTGCGATAGTCCTCCTGGTGGAAGCTGATCAATGGGAGTTGTGCAATTTGCTCGACCGGCAGGCCATGCGGAGGCTTGGGGGCTCGCGCCATTCTCCCGCCAGCGGTCCTCCTCTGCATTACGGCCCATCGCATCGCCATCTCGTCATAGTTGCTGTGAGGAGGGTATGACACCCTCCGGGCTCTTTCTTGTGCATCCCAGAGGCCAGGCTCTTCTGTGCGCCGCCACCAGATGAGCCGCCGCACGGCGTGGGCGGTAGTGGAGATTGGGGATTGAGGTTGAGGCGCATCGCGAGCGGTTGCCGGTGTCAAAGCCATGGTCATGCTGCACTTTCGTCAATGATAAAGACCGAAGAGTGTCAAAGTTGAAAAGCTCGTGGGCAGGCTTTGGAGGTGCACTCTCCAAGCCTTTCCTCTCTCGCAGGAAGTAAGAGAGAGAAGAGGACGAGCAGTGTCAGACTGGAAGCGCAAGGAGATAAGGCCGAGCGAGAGTCGGGGAACATCCAACTCTCGACACATGTGACCTCCGGGGCCCCCCTCACAAATGGGTGTGGTAATCTGCGATTTGAGAAGTCAGCCTACACACAATACGATAGGCGAAAGGCTCTATTGCGCAGGTGTCTGGACCTCTGGAGGTGCATTTTCATGCTTGAATCTAGGCCAAATCCGGCCTCGTGCATAAGGTATGTATGCTAATAGTCGCCCTCTCCCTGGACTGGACATTCCTCGAGGGAGCTCCTCCACGTACGTCCAAACTAATACTATCAGCCACGCCCGATGCGCAATTATATCCCTCAATACCCTCAAAGATACTCTGTTGCAGCATGAACAACTTTGGCAACCTTGCCGCATTCAGCCACGCTGAGTATGCGTCCAACCCTCTCTACCAGCGCTACGTCGATGCGGCGTTTCTGCAAGCCCGTGCGAGGGGCGCGGCCGCTGCGTTCGACGCATGGGTTCCACTTGGGACGGTGCGCCAGCAGCATCACCACCCTTGTCACCACCCATGTCACCATCCATGTCCATTCGACGCAGACCTGTGGCTGTCCCCGTCCCAGGGCCAGCAGGAGATAGGGCCTCGCCGGCGCCGGTGGCCGAGCGCTCTCGTCCTGCGTTTCCAGACACGGATATGCCAACGCAGGATGCAATCCATGGCGCCCTGCGGTGCGAATGCAGCACCATCGATGCTTTCGAGCAGGTGCTGCTGAACATGCATCGTGACACCGGCGCTGTAATCCTCAACGAGCCGCCGCGTTTCTCCAAGTGCGCAACCTGGTGCTTCGTACGCCCAAGACAACCGTGGAAGCGCTGATCGAGACGCTTGGCAAGGTCGACTCCTTTGATTACGAGCAAGAAGAGGCCCAGGCGGTACCAGACTGGATCAAGCTGTGCCGGGACTTGAGCTCGGGCGAGCAGCACGCCGTGTTCTTGGTGCTGCCGCGACCGGCGGTCGAGTGGAACTACGGGCACATGGGCGTGGCATGCGTCATCTACAAACTTCTGACCTACCCAGGCTTGACCACGGCCGCCCGGTGCCCCAGCCGGAGATGCTCTTCACCGACCGTTTCGGCATCACGATGAACGGCCTGTCGCAGACGCACCAATGCGAGGCAGTAGGGGAGCACCTCATCTACGAAGGCCACCACGCCGAGATGGGTGGGTACAACGCGCGCTTGGCCTCGCACGGCATCACTTACCAAGACTACCGCAACTTCGTTGCCGGGTTTCTCGCCATCGTACAGGCCGGTGACTTGTGGAATTGGTTTAGACAGCAGGACATGAAAACATACTGTCACGACGTCACAAGCAACCTGCGCGCGCGCGGCGTGCCGGTGGTCATCAAGTACAAGTATCGGAACCGTGGACACAAGGACGGCGATGACTTTTCGATTCGCCATCACCCTTTGCAGCTGCCTTTGCGCGGCGTGCGCCCTTCTTAACCTTATCGTGTCTTGCCCTGGTCGATTTCTTCATTCAAAGACTGCATTCTGTTTGCCGGTGTGTGTGTGTGCGTGTGTTCGGCGGGCGTGTTGGGCTCGAAGAGCATGTCAACCAACTCATGCGGCACCCGAGACGGTCCATATGTTTGCTCACTGAAGCCGGATAAAGAGGTTGTTAGTATTTCTTTGTCCTCGGCGTGCCAGCGGGCGAAGCAATGAAACAACGTCTTCTAGGTGAATGTTGGCCCCTTTGTATTGCTGGGTCCTTCGGAGGGGCCCCTTTGTTTTCCGGGACGCCACACCTGATGTCCAAAATGGCAGTTGCCAACTCGTTCTTTGCTGATATAGTGGCACCAGGAGGTGCCGGTATTGCACGCGAACAACAAAGCGAAGGTTTACCGCCCCTGTGTTGCTTCTTTGTCATAAGCCGTCCTCCACTCTGCTCATCTCTTTGTCACTAGCCTTTGCTAAAGGGCAGCGAGGCAGTGACAATCCTCGCAAGTCTATATATACCCAGGCAGATTCGCAGTCTGGAATATGTCGCTTCATGATCAGTCCAAACTCAATCAGTGCACGTTTTCGCGAGGACGCAATGAGAAACATTGACCAGACAGATTTGGAGGTCAGGCTCGAGCGAGCCGTATCGGAGTCGACCGACAGCTCCTCGAGACCCGTTTTGGGGGTTTCGATTTCGCTTGAACCCGAACCACTAACAACAGATGACACATTTGACCTCTGGGTTCATATCACGTCCAAAAATATCGGAGATTGCGCACTGCCTGAGGTTGGTTTCATTCGCCACTCGGATCCTTACAAGCCGGCACACTCAGATTCTCAATACCTGCGGAAATGTATCAACAAGATCGACGGCTTTATCAAGGTGGAAGGCAAATTGGACACCGAACCCAGTAATAAGCGCCTGGATAGACGTTTATATGTCTTCAAGAATGTCAGCATCAAACAGGAAGGAAAATTTGATGTCGTAGTCCTTGGCCAGGCATACCAGGCTAGGACACGCAAGGGCCACGTTACTATTGAGAGGCCCACGGCCTCGTTAAGCGAGCCCCGTCAAATGCTCAGGTACGTCAACGCCGCTCCGGTGTCTCCCATATGGCTTTGAAACTACGTGCGACGCGTTGCTGACAATCCTCCGCATGTGTTAGAATGAACCTCGGTGGTTTTCTGCCAATTACTGAATCGACGACATGGCGGGATCCCCAAAGTAGCGGTACTACTCAAAACCAGAAAATTGACGACTGGAGGCACAACATTGACCCTACAACAGCTGACGCCGTGAAACGGATACCGGCCAGAGGCAAATTGCAATGATTGAGGTTTGAGACGGCTGGGAGGTTCAACATTCACGAAGTCGCTCGTCACTTATTCCGGGCGGTGTTTGGGCAGTGATACAAACGTCACCAGATCTGAGACACTGGTGAGAGAAATTCTACTTGATTTCCACTGCACTTGTTGGATGCGCCTTACTACCTTGACAGGCATCTGAGGACTAGCCGTTTGCTTTCGTGAATATTACACGCCTTCGCCTTCGCCTTTGACTTGGCTTATCGTTTAGCAAATAATTCCAACACTGCTGGGGACATATGATCCCCGTAGAAGTTGTTCTGGGCCGCCAAGATCTTTTCCAAGAATAGAACGATAACCCTGGGGTTACATTGCAACCGTGCATCGTCTCGCACCGTCACACCTTGTCCTAGTGCGTGACAACCAATAGGGTCCACGGTCAGCAAGGCCCTGACGACATATGCGCTGACATCATAGTAAATGCCGTGCATAAGACATTCGGTGCCGCGCGACACAAATGTTCTGTTCTCGGTCATTTTCAGGCGGCCCTGTTTTTCTTTCTTTCCTGTACTTCCCACGAACAATTGATCACACAGTAGCCACACAATGAGTCCAGTCTTCGAGCCCTTCCCCTTGACTCCCCTGACGTCTGCGGCCTTGGGCCACATCAAAGTATCGCTGCAGCTCGCCGACCCCAGCCGCGTGCACTACGGCCCCGGAGACCCTGTCGAGGGCCGCATACGTCTCGACTACATCGCTGCGGGCAGCCTGGCAGGCAGCTTTGACCTTGCACGGCCATGTCGCATATTTGTCACATTGCGCGGCCTCATGCTGGTGCGTGCCGTTCCGGGCAAGATGGTGCTCGGTGTGGCGTCGCGGGACGGGGATTCGTATCTGGGGCGCAGCATCACAACGCTGTTTGAGCGAGAGGTCTGCGTGTTCGATGGACGCATGAGCGGCCTGACCCCGCGGACGTCAAGGCAGGCCAAGTTCAGTGTGTGTTTCCCAGATGGCATAGATGGGAGTCTTGGGTGCTTTGAAGGGTGGGAAGACGACTGGGAGCACGCTGGTGATGCCAAGAGGGATGCGAAACATGCCAGCTACACAGACGGGAGCGATGACGAGCACAGGTCAACGTACAACATGGACCCGAGCCAGCCTCTTCCGCCGTCCATGACCCTCACCGAGCGTCCTGGCCCCCACAAAGCAATCGTCAACGGCAGCGACAAGAGCGAGATTGCTGTGGTGTATGATCTCTTCGCCAAAGTGGAGATGCCAGGAACCGACGTGGCGATGCGCTACCCCTCAGTGCGCGTTGAAGAGGGCGTGTTCGAGCATAATGGCAGCTTTTATCGAGCCTTCTCGTGGGGGCAACCGGTCTTATATGAGCAGTCGTGGCTCGGGCAGCAACGGTACCCCCAGCAGAACGGAGGCAGCCAAGAGGGCACGCAGACGCGGAGCGGACAGGTCGATCTCAAGGACGCCCAGGGCCCCAGCAGCGAGCCTGTATCGGGGCTGCGGGCCAAATTGGCAGCAAAGATCACACACTTAGCACACAGGCATCCTTTCAGCTGGCAAATGCAGTGCCAGGAGGCGGTGCACCAGGGACAGCTATTGGTGATACGGGTCCAGGTCAAGCCGTTCGCGAGCATTTCAGCGGACCCCTCAGATGGCAAGACCATGAAGCCACCAGCACCGCCAGTTTCAATCGAGCTTGCAAACATGTCCGTACGAGCGACTGCTTTTGTCGAGGCGCGGATGAAAATCGGCTCCCGAGGGCAACAGGATCTGGCTGGGGAGGAGGGCGCCGGTGAAGAAGCTCTGGACCTCGACAGGGCTCGGGAGACGCCTTGGTTGCTTGACGGCCGCATGGCCGGACTGAGCAAGAGTGTCTTCTGTGCCGAGGATGACTGGGTGCTTGATGTGCCGTTCTCGACCATCACTGGAAAGCTTACAACCTCTTTCAGCACGCCGTGCGTCCGGCGGAGCTACGTAGTCTCTGTCAAGTGCTGTGTCCGCGTCGGGGGCTCCAAGAAGGAGGAGACTTTTCAACATTCCTTTCCAGTCACGGTACTCCCTCCACTGTCCGCGGATGCCAGTACAGCGCCGCCTCTGGCCCTTGCTGCACCGACGTATGTGGCCGCGAACACGAGTGGCGAGACATTGCCCCCTTACGAGCCGTAACAAAGGTGCAGCCAGGTCATGCTCGAGGGGCCGTGGGATCATATAATTGTATCACGGCAGCGAGATTCCTCTTTTCACTTGGAATTATTGACATTGTGTTACCACTGATGATAGAAGCGAAAGAGAGCGTGATTGTGACGAACAGAGGGGCGCGAAATCTGCCAACAAACACAGGCAGCAACAATAACAAGCACAAAACGAGGTACAATTCTAAAGCAGTTCTTCTTTTTCCATGTAGCGTCGTGTCGGATAACTTTGCTCAATCACACACAAACGTGGCCAGCAAAGCCTTGGCGCGTTCTGGCTCCCACTCCACCACCTTCTCTTCCTCTTTCTCCTCCATTTTCATCTTGACAAGTCGCTCCATTGCGTCCTTCTCTTTCTCGGTAAGAAGAATCAACCGTTTCTTATAATCGCAGTCCTCGTTTGATCCATAGAAAAGCGGATCGACATATTTCCAGAACAAGTGGTCGAAAAGCCAGGTATCGCGCAAACAAATGCTGTGAATCCAGAGCTTCTTATCCCAGCTCTCTTGCATATGCTGTGATAGAGGTTTCTCATGTCCATGATGAGATGCATGGAGTGTGCCTGATCCTGAACCGGCCGTCTCAATACTCGTGTGGCCGCTCCTGGCGGCGTTTGCGCCACCCTTGTCGTCCGTCCTGTTACACTCCTTTTGACGGGCCTCGCATCGTCGCAAGACTCCCACGAATGTGCCAAGTCGGGGCTCGTAGGCATTGATGAATGCCTCAATACCGCCAACCCAGTCTTGTGGTTGCCGCAAGAGCAGCCACCAAGGCGGATCACGCGCGAACTGGGCGGGAGCAGCATACGCGAACTCCCAGTCGACTACGGCCACGATCTTGTCATGTTCATTAACGAGGACGTTGGTGGGCCGCAGATCCTCCGAGAATAACTTGAAGGGGGGCCCTGTGCCCGTCTTCTGGATGCTCGTGCTCCCTTCTGCGGATCGCTGCAGTTCAGATGACTCGACCTGATTGAACAGGGCGGATATGCTGCCCGAAGAGACAAGCCGCCCGAAAAGTCGTCGCGCCACGTACTTATCCCTTACGTCGTCTTCGTCTTCAACGGCGTCATTACGCTGGAAGATGAGTTGAAGCATATGCATATCAGCCATAGCCGAGTACCATGCCTCTGCGTTCGTATACGTCCCGGATGGCAGCAAGCTTCGCGGCATTGAAGTCCAGTCCGCATGAGCATTGATGTTCAGTATCAATGGCCGTCCCGCCACGGATGCGACACTTTGGGGGGTGAGGGGACTCCTGACTTGACTCCTTTTGCATCCTGCCGTTCTTGTTCTCATCAAGAACAAGTGATCCGATTCTGGAGAAATCAAGGTTGTATAGTTGAAGCAGGACGGCGGCCATCTGCTCGTATAGGTACTCGAGCTTCTTCTCGCTGATATCCGGGTACAGAATCTGGCCCTTTTTTGGATCGCCGTTGGGATCGCTTAGGGCGTCACCTAGCGATCGGTGATGGTCAATGTATTCCATAACTATGAAAGGGCCGATTCCGAGAGGGTTCTCAGCGGCAGTGCCGAATGCGTAGACTTCAGGAACAGGGATAGTCGTGTGCGCGCGGATATATTTCATCATAGCTACTTCGTAGCGTATCTTTTCCTCTGGGAAATGGGAGCGGTGCTTTGCTGGGACGCGCAACACGGCCGATTTGCCGTCCTTGTACTCCAAGCGGAAGACAATGTTGAAGGAACCTACCACCGCCCGATGCAGCTCGGCGGGTTCCCCAGGACGATACTTGCGGATGAGCTCGACTATGCCGCGGTAGACGTCCATCTGCAGCACGGATTTCCTCCATGCTTCACTTTTGGCCTCGTTTTGGTCCCACAGCACGTAGTCGGGATCCGCAAAAAAGTCTCTCGTCTTTGGCGGCATGGTGATGGGCCGCAATAGCTGGTCTGCCGCAGTGAATGCCGATCCTGGCTGAACTCGTTGTGGATAGAAGTAACGAGAGTGCAGCTATCAGCCGAGAAGGACAGCGCCGCTAGGGAGGTGATGGTCTGATGCAGCTGTACTCTGCGTACAGGTCTCGCGTTTCGAGGAGCAGCGCGGATGGCTGTATATACTTGGTCTCTCCACGGAAGCGTGTTTATTGGCGAGAACATATCAAGGCCGAGTTTGTGAGGAGGGCGAAGGCTCGTGGACCGTGCATCTGGCGCAAGTGCATCAAATGGACTGGGATGGCCGCCCAACAGTCCTACCAACCAACAAAAGTTGGTCTCTACCAGGCGGCGGTGAGGAATCAGCTTGCTCATGCTACCCCGCATGCGCCTTTGTTTTCACGTATGAAATGGGATGGGCACAGCAAATCAGGTAAATCGACAAGCCAGAATCCTGCTAGCTGCGGTTGGCCGTAACAGGCATTGGCCTCCGCAGTGGTGAATTGCGACATCTTGCTTCGTGTTTGCGCGCATCCACTGTATTCGGGGCCTACTAGAGCTAGATGTCTTTAGTACGCTTGTTTACCATGATGAATTGGCCTTTCCAGCACGCTTTTTGCTTACATTGGTGGGCCAGAAAACTATTGACGGAGAGAGGCGCCGTACGCGTATGTCAAACTGGGAAGCACGCATCCATCAAATTGGCTGCGACTAATTCTCAAAGTAACGTAATCCACAAGTGAGCGGGCCACACAAGTGAGCGGGCCACTTTCCTACTATATTCGTATAGGCCATCTTCTTTCCCCTTTTTCTCCACTAATAATTATGGTACGACTATTAATTGAAGCCGATTTGATTCTAGCGCTTTAGGCGTTCCAGTCTGATCTAAAATTGACTTTACGAAAGGCTGTACAGCTATATAATGTACCTCATATGACCCTCTAACGAAGATAAGCCGGCCGACCTACGTAATAAGATATCCGACTACCTTGCTAGAAATTGACCTCGTACGAAGAGGATAGTATCGTACGATATATAATCGACCTAGATTCGCGATCGTTTCTACTACGGTTAGGTAGTGTTCGAGAAATAGCGGATCGACTCCTCCACGTATGTGATATACTACGCGTCGGAACGAACTAGGCCTTGAACTTCGTACGACGACGACCTAAGCTCCGTACGCGTTTTAATTGAAGAATCGACTACTAGAGAGTCCTCTACAAGGATCCGGACGTATATCGTATGTGGTTTACGCTTGTACGAAATATAATTACGAAATAACGTAATCCACGGGCGAGTGGCCCATACGGGCGAGTGGCCCACTTTCATTCACTATACCGAATCCAACTCTTCTTCACGCGTTTATTCCACCACGAAAGATGGAGACGCCTTCTAAAGAGAGTCAATTGTTCCTTGCTATCCAAGCAATGGAAAACGACCCAAACTTAAGCACCCGACGCGCTGCCGAGATGTTCAACGTCCCCCGAACAACCCTACGACGCCGAGAGAAGGGAGTACTTGCCCGACGCGAAAGCCCTCCGAATTCTACAAAATTAACCAAGCTGGAAGAGGAGAAGATTATCGAATACATTCTCGACTTGGATGCGCGAGCATATCCTCCTCGGCTAAGTGAGGTTAGAGAAATGGCGAATCAACTACTCGCGAAGCGCGACAGGCCAGGTGTCGGAATCAACTGGGCCTCAACCTTTGTTAAACGACGACCAGAGCTCCAGACGCGTTTCTTTCGCAAGTACGACTATAAGAGAGCCTAGTGCGAGGATCACGACGCGATAAACGCGTGGTTTCGGCTTGTGCGGAACGTAGTTGCGAAATACGGTGTCGCGGACTCCGATATTTACAACTTCGACGAGACAGGCTTTCAGATAGGCGTTATCGCGACCGGGATGGTCGTTACAAACGCGCAAAGACGTTCGAACGTTAAGATAAAGCAACCGGGTAATCGGGAATGGGTTACGGTCATCCAGGGCGTCGGCGCGACCGGATTTTACGTCCCGCCGTTCGTAGTATTTGCCGGCAAATATCACCTCTCAACCTGGTACCAAGACGACGCGATTCCTCGCGACTGGAGAATTATAACGTCCCTAAACGGCTGGACTACAAATGAAATTGGTCTAGATTGGATTCGGCATTTCGATCAGCATACAAAGTTGCGAACAAAAGGCGATTATCGCCTCCTCGTCCTCGACGGCTACGAAAGTCACCACTCGGTCGAATTCGAGCTCTACTGCAAGGACAGCAAGATTATTACGCTCTGTATACCTCCTCACTCGTCTCATATACTCCAGCCTCTCGATGTTGGGTGTTTTGGTCCGCTAAAGAAAGCATACGGTCGGCAAATCGAGCTTAAGATGAAGGCGGGTATAACGCATATCAGCAAGGAGGACTTCCTCCCCTCGTTTTTAGCAGCATTCCAACAGACAATGACGGAAAAAAACATCTAGGGAGGCTTCAGAGGGGCAGGACTTGTACCCTATGACCCAGAAGCAGTCTTATCTAAGCTCGATGTAAAGTTCAAGACGCCAACGCCCCCAGGGACGCCTCGGAGGTCATCCGAGCTATAGACTTCCCGAACGCCTACTACAGCTATAGAAGCCCGTTCACAGTCTGATTTTATTAAAGGTCGAATCTCTCGTCACCAGGGAAGCTCTCCAACGTCAATTATTGAAGCAGTTGAGCAGTTCACGAAGGGGGCAAAGGGGATTATGCATAAGTTTACCTTAATGGAGGCAAGGATGAAAGCCCTTAAAGACGAGAATGCAATACTTAGCAAGCGTCGTAGGGCGAAAAAAACACGTCTTAGGAAAGGCCAAAGCATGACTCTAGGCGAGGGACAAGATCTCGTAACCTAGAGAGAGGTAAATGCTCAGGTAGTACAGGAAATGCAGGAAAACTCTAGGGGTGAAAGTCGATCTGTACTAAAGCAGCGGTGCTGTAGCGTCTGCGGGAAACCCGGTCATAACGCAAGAACTTGTTACATAGTTACTCTTGGGTCTGAACTAGAAGATAGCGATTGAGCTTAATTGATTTAAGGCGTTGGGGCTGTGTTATCGAGGGTGATACCTGCAAGACTTGGTTGGGTGTGACAACCCGACCAACAGGTCGCAAGATCGGGCCAGGGACAAGGGCAGGTCATGCACGCGGGACGGCACACCCCAGGTTACGTAAGCATTTCATTATGTCAGCAGGATATGTGGATCGGAACATATCCAGCGATCCAAGGATACACCTCCTTGAAACCACGATGAAGGACAAAGGATATAATGCGAAGGATTCCCTAGATAGACAGTCATTACCTTTGTACTTCAGCGATCAATCTAAGTATCACTCTCACCCTTCACTTGGCCTAGTCACTCAATTGATCCGAGTGTGATATCTCGCAAGAGACACGAACGACAACCCCCGAGACACGACAAGCACGGAGTCAGTATTGCATGAGGTTGCTATCTGCCTTATTCAGAACATAAACCCCGCCGCGCCGATCAGACGGTTGACCCCGGAGATCGGATCGTGACATTGGGGTGGGCCACTCGCCCGTATGGGCCACTCGCCCGTGGATTACGTTATAGGATCTACGATAACGATATCTATAACTTCGATAAAACGGGCTTCGTAATAGGTAAAATCTCCGCTAAAACTATTATTATAACCTCTAATTAACGTGGGCGGCTAAGAGCCGTATAATAAGGTAATTAGGAATAGGTTATAGTAATCTAGGGTATTGTCACGATCCTGCCTCCGGGGTCAACCGTCTGACAGGGCGCTGGGGTTGCTGTTCTGCAAGATAGGTAAAGCCTGTGCAAGATCAACTAACACTCTGCTGTCGTTCTCTCTCTGGGTTGTCGTTCGTGTCTCTTGGAAGAGATACCAGTCTCGGCAATTGAGTGACTAGTTCAAGTGTGGGTGAAACTGATACTTAGATTGATCGCTGAAGTACAAAGGTAGTGACTGTGTATCTAGGAGATCCCCCGCGTCTATATATCCTTTGTCCTTCATCCGTGGTCATGACACTGTTCCCGACGGTCGGGGTCAGGTCATGAATCCGGTCCTGATGGTCATGCATATATTGGTGACCATCTTCCTTGGCGTGGTGTTGGTCATGCAGATATGCATGACTGGTACGTACCTTCCTTATCGCCCTTTATCGTGCTTACATAAGAAACCTGTGACGGCACTGCCACATGATCCGCCCTTGTCCTTGGCCTGATCCTGTGGCCTAGTTGTTTGGGCTCTTCGTGCCCGTAACAAACATCCCCTGTTGGTTGGCCGTTACAGGTTTACCTTAACTCCTAAACTGCGAATAGCCCCCTACTACCCAACTAAGTAATCGCGCTTTTAGAAAACGGTTAGATAACGAACGAGAGAGGCTTAGAATAGGTAAAACACTTTAATTTCTATATAAAGAGTCGTATAACGTAATCCACGGGTAAGCGGGTCACACGGGTGAACGGGTCACCTTCCAGTAACTCGTACGACAATATATAAAACAATTTAACCACAACGCCTTAAATCAATTCAAACTATTCAGAATCCTCTTCTTCAGAGGCAGATACAACTTTCTGACACGTACGAGCATTATACCCGGGCTCGCCGCAGACGCCACATCGTCGCGCGCGCGTTTCGGGCCTCCTCGTACGACCACTATTCTAACTCGTTTCCGCCATTAACTACTGCGTCGCATCGATTTGAGCCTTCAAATCCTTTGCCTGATTAATCGTGAGGGACCCTCCTTTCTGTAGCTGCTTTCTTTTCGTACGACGACGGCGGCTGAGGCGGTCATTTGCATCTCGAAGTTCGGCGAGCTCTTGGCGCATAAGGTCCTGCTCGTTGTCACGATCCGATCTCCGGGGTCAACCGTCTGATCGGCGCGGCGGGGTTTATGTTCTGAATAAGGCAGATAGCAACCTCATGCAATACTGACTCCGTGCTTGTCGTGTCTCGGGGGTTGTCGTTCGTGTCTCTTGCGAGATATCACACTCGGATCAATTGAGTGACTAGGTCAAGTGAAGGGTGAGAATGATACTTAGATTGATCGCTGAAGTACAAAGGTAATGACTGTCTATCTAGGGAATCCTTCGCATTATATCCTTTGTCCTTCATCGTGGTTTCAAGGAGGTGTATCCTTGGATCGCTGGATATGTTCCGATCCACATATCCTTGGATCGCTGGATATGTTCCGATCCACATATCCTTGGATCGCTGGATATGTTCCGATCCACATATCCTGCTGACATAATGAAATGCTTACGTAACCTGGGGTGTGCCGTCCCGCGTGCATGACCTGCCCTTGTCCCTGGCCCGATCTTGCGACCTGTTGGTCGGGTTGTCACACTCGTGTACCATCATTATAACTCCTTTTCTCAGCTGCCGTAGGCTCTCAACAATGGACGACGGTGAGCTATTCTGGTGTCGTACGATGCGATTTTCAATATACTTCGTCTGCGATTCGGTCTCAATTAGGTTGTTCGGCGTCTTTGAAACCCATGGGGGTGGTAGTCCAGCAGAGGAACCTGGTGGTGGAGGCGTATGAAACTTCATATCTAGCTGCGAAATCACATAATTCGGGTCGTACGGTACTAGGCCTGTCGCTCTGAAGCCTGCCTGGATGTTTGATTTGGTCATTGCAGCGTCGTACGCCTTATAAAAGGCTGGGAGGAAGTCCTCCTTTGAAACGTGGGTTACGTGCGCCCGCATTAGACCTTCGATTTCTTTACCGTACGCCCGTTTCAGAGGTCCAAAACACCCAACATCGAGAGGCTGGAGCTTATGCGACGAATGAGCAGGCATACAGAGCGTGACAATATTCTGTTCCTTGCAGTAGAGCTCGAAATCGACGGAATGGTGACTCTCGTGGCCGTCGAGGATAAGGAGGCGGTGGGTACCCTTCGTACGACTCTTTGTATGGAAATCAAAGTGTTTTACCCATTCTAGGCCTCTCTCGTTCGTCGTCCAACCGTTTTCTGAAAGCGCGATTACCCAGTCGGCCGGTAGAGGGCTATTCGCGGTCCAGGAGTCGAGGTGGACCTTCCCGGCGAAGATAATGTATGGCGGGATTGAATAGCCGTACGACGCGATACCCTGGATTACTGTAACCCATTCCTGATTGCCTTGTTGTACGGCTCTTGGCCTCCCGCGTCGATCGGAGGTCGTAACGACAGTTTCGGCGGAGATCTTGCCCATCGCGAAGCCCGTTTCGTCGAAGTTATAGATATCGTCATCGTGGATCCCGTATTTCGCGATTATGTTTCGTACGAGCTCGAACCACGCGCGATACGCGTCCGGATCCTCGCAAAGGACCCTCTGGTAATCGATTCTTCGATTAAAACGCGTACGGAGCTCAGGTCGTCGTCGTACGAAGGTTGAGGCCCAGTTCGTTCCAACGCGTGGCGCGTCGCGTACGCGGAGGAGTCGATCCGCCATTTCTCGAACACCACTTAACCGCGGTGGAAACGAACGCGAATCTAGGTCGAGTACGTATCGTACGATACTCTCCTCTTCGTATGAGGTTAATTTCTGGCAGGGTGGTCGGGTGTCGTGTTTCGCAGCTCGGCCGTGGTATCGTTGCTGGAGTGTCGTACGAGATACATTATAGATCTGCGCAGCCTTTCGTACGCTTAATTTTGGGTCGGATTGGAGCGCATTTAACGCTAGAACCAAATCACTTTCAATTGATTGTCGTCCCATGATTGGAGGTGGAGAAAAAGGAGAAGGAAGTGAACCTCAATTAAATTGCAGTAAAGTGACCCGTTCACCCGTGTGACCCGCTCACCCGTGGATTACGTTACGCTAAGACCTCGCTGAACTTTAAGATATAAATAACCGCCTTAGCTACCGTTATCATACGAAAAGAAAGTAGCTATAGAAAGGAGGGTCCCTTACGATTAATTAGGTAAAGGATTTAAAGGCTTAAAGCGATACGACGTAGTAGTTAGTAACGGAAACGAGTTAGAATAGTAGTCGTACGAGGAGGCCCGAAACGCGCGCGCGACGATGTGGCGTCTACGGCGAGCCCGGGTATAATGCTCGTACGTATCAGAAAGTTGTATCTGCCTCTGAAGAAGAGGATTCCGAATAGTTTCAATTGATTTAAGGCGTTGTGGTTGAATTCTCTTATACATTATCGTACGAACACCTGGAGGGTGGCCCGCTCACTTGTGTGGCCCGCTCACTTGTGGATTACGTTAGTTCGTATTTCCAAATGTTTCGAACGTCGCCACACTACTCGAGCTCCGCCGATGCATGTCGATGCTCAAGGAGCCAGTCGATGCCTGATGACTGACGTTACAATTTCACCCAGTCCTGATCTTGCGCATGAGCAGTAAAGAAAGCGACCACGGCGTCCCTCCCTCGCTTCTGAGCCCAGTCCTTTGGGGTCTCCCCATCCTCCGTGGTCGCGTTCATGTCCGCTCCATATTCAAGCAGCAACGCGACAGCCTCGACGTGACCCCAACCCGCAGCAGAGTGCAGCAGCGTGTATCCATTTGGCTGCCTCGCACGCACATCCGCCCCCCGCTGCAGCAACAGCTTCGCCGTCTCTACCCGCCCGAAAAGCACGGCCTGTGCCAGAGGCGTGAGCCTCAACCCTTCCCGACCGCAGTTCACATCGGCACGACCTTGGTCGAGCAGCTTGCGGACGACCTCCGTGTTGCCTCGGGCACTAGCCTCGTGCAGAGGCGTCATATCCTGGCTGTCGTACACATCGGCCTGCGCGCCGCGGGCAAGAAGCAGCTCGACGACGGGCATCGTCCCGAGGCGGGCAGCAAAGTGTAGTGCGGTCTTAGTGCCTCCGGCGATGGGCTTGTTCACATCGAGCCCGTGATCAACGAGAGCTTGGAGCATTGACACGTCCTCTAGCTCCACTGCCACTCGCAACGGATAGCGGAATATGCTCGTATCGATGTACGGCTCGAGCTTGGCGCCGCTGGACAGGAGCAGGCGCGCCATACTTGTGTTCTTCAGAACCGCCGCGATGAGGATGGGAGGGCCATGATCATAGTGGTTGACGTCGAGGTTTGCGCCCATATTGATCAGTTGCTGCGTAAGGGGCACTTGATCGTGCAGCAGAGCCCACCACAGCGCCGGTTGGCCCTGGTCGAGGTACATCTTCCCTCCGCTGGTGGTGTTTGTCAGAGTGCGGACCCGGAAAGGCTCACGGATAAAGTCCCACAGGTCGGGGCAAGAAGTATCGACTAGGGTCTTCATGATCGCATCGAGGCCTTGATGCCGTTCGATGAGGTCGAGAAGGTCGCAGCCGTGATCTGGATGTCTCATGCAAGCCGCCAGCACTCTCTCAGGTAGCGGAAGCAGGTCTTCGCCCCGATGCTGCAGCAGCGTTTCTACTAGCCTCTTGGCGTTCGTGGGATTGCTTGCTACTGTGATGAGCATCTCCTCATCGATCACGACTTGGAACGTGCCCTCCCCCAGCAAGGACTGGATGATGGTCTCGCCCTTGATGTTCTTGTCAATGGCCGCCATTACCACCTCGCGCAAAGTCTGAGCATCCAATCCCTGTTCCAAAACGTGTGGCAGCATCCATTTCCACGACCAAGTGCTGTTGACAGCCTCAAGCACGAGGTTCCTTGTGAGCTGGACCTTTTGGCCAGTCTGCTCGTAGAGCAGCTGTGAAATCTGCTTGCCCTGCTCAGAGTTTGCCAAGATTGCCCGACTGACGCCTTCGGTGAGGATGACCTCGCGTGGACGATGGCGGATGAGTGCTGTCATGGCCTGGAGGCCTTGAGTCGGGTTCTGCGCCGCACCCGCCAGGACTTCCTCGCTGACATGGAAGCTGCTGCCATCGAATTCGGTGAGGAGCAGTTCAGTCACATCCCCGCCACAGGCTGCATTGCGGACCGCATCGTTGAGGTTAGACTGCGTGAGTTTGATGTACTCCCGTCGCTCCGCGAGCATCGCAGCCAAGCTGGCAAAGTCACTAGACTGGACAAGCAGGCTGAAGACGCGCGAGTCTAGGCTGTAGAGATTGTCCAGGAAGGACGTGATGTCGCTGTGGAAAGATCTTGGCAGGCACTCCACGTCGAGGTTGCAAATGTGCGCAATCGTGTCCCGTATGATGTCGTCGTCCGTCTTCTTGTAGTCGACTACCATGCCTGGCTGCCGACTGCTTGCTGGCGAGTTCTCGCAGAGCCCAAGCAGCGCGTAGATCCGATCGCGGTCGAGCGTCGCCTCGGCCTTGCGAAACTTTTGCAGCAGGCGGTACAAGCTCCGTTCGTTCTTGCGGTCCTGGCTGAGCCATGAGGATGCCCGCTTTGGCGTGGGCATGGCATCGAGAATGTCTCGACGTTCTGCCCCGACGTCAACGTGGAGCAGCGCGGGAGACAAGACGAAAGTCTCGCACGATACGGTTCGCGCACCGCATTGCACGACACCTTGCTTCGCGGTCCCGACCTCGTGGATGATCCAGACCCGCTTGAACCATGATCTCTGCAAGAGCTCGTGCAGCCCGTTTCGCTGCCGCTCTGCAACCGCTGAGAACTTCTCACGGAGCTCGGTCTGCACCTCGTCCCAGATAATGTCCAGAAGTAGCTCGTCCACGTGTTGCCGACCAAAGTCGGTGATCCGGCTGTCCAGCATGCCCAGCGCCGTCATGACCAGGTTCGTGTCAGCCGTGGGGTCGCCCAGATAGAAAATGACACTGCTGGCGCTGGCGTAAATGTCCCGCATCTGCCGCACCTGGTGGCTCTGCTCGTGGGGGTTGTACTGATCAATGCAGATGGCGTCGATCCAGAGCATCCGCGTGGCAGTGTCAGCAGCGCCGCCTTGCGGCGAGAGGTGCTGCAGGATGGTGTACAGATTGCGCGTGACGGGGAAATCAGCACCGTCGACCTGTATCGTGTGCGTCGCGGCGTCAGAGCCCCAGGCGTACGAGACAGCCTCATATGGCGGGATTGTGTCGCTTTCATCGCCAAAGATATGGTCCTCCAGGCAGCACTGTATCTGCCTCTCTGGAAACGACAGCGGGTGGAGCTTGAGCAAGCGGAAACACCGCCTGTCGAGGTCGAGAGTGGCATGTGCCGCTGGACGAAGAGGCAGCGATTGCCGCACCGGCTCTTTGGCGTCATCTTGTCCCGCCATTATCGCGGTGAAGTCTCGTCGGTAGTTGTGAGTGCGTCGGTAGAGAGTGCTGACAATAAGTCGCAGTCAGCCCCAGCCCGTATTAATGTAGGGGTGAGCTGGTGGTAATCCGCCAGGCTGATTGGTCGCTTCACAAGGCTAACTCAGTATGCCGACGGAGCTCTTAGCAGGCAGTAGTAGTTGCTATTTTTAGTCATCAGCCCAGCAATCAGCCAGGAGAATACTTGTCTATAAATGAGATCTCACTCCTATGATGCCAATAGCCCTGGTCACGGACCTGACCCTCATCACTTGTCGAGCATCTCCCGGAGCAAGTACTGCTTGTTCATCAGCTCGCAAGCTCTGCTGGGGACCGCCACCTATTGTCCTGGCCCTGCTGCTGACTGTACCCATCGTTATACCGATTGCCTTGCGCGTAGCCCCGGTCATCGTCGAGCTGTGCAAGAACAGCAAGCTCAGTGTTCCCGCCAGCACCGGCACCAGCCCCGTGCCCAGTATACATCTTTGTGGTTGACAATCCATCAGCCGGGTCATAGTATTGATGCTTCGCGGCCTCGCCTGCGCCAGGAGCCGGAGAGAAGGCGCCAGGCCCATTGTGCGGCCCTCCCGCAGCCCACGCTGCTCCCGTCGCGGCTGATGGTGTTGCAAGTGCCCGCTGGCGTCTCTGCTTCTTCCGCCAAATCCAGTACCCCGCGAGGAGAAGTGCCAGGACAACAACACCAGCAGAAACCCCAATCGCGATTTGGGCCCCAGTTGACAACCCCGACGAGCCGGAGCTGTTGTTGTTGCTGTTGTTGTCTGCTCCGGTCGGTATCGCGCCGGCGCCAATATCGCCGTTTGGAGCAGTCGAACCGGGCGCGATGTCCGAATCCCGCCAGACTACCTGCACTAGAGGCGCGTAGATCGAGTACTCGGTCAAGGTGACGTCCTGACCGTCAAAGGGTAGAGACATCTCCATCGTTCCGGAAGGACCAGATGCCTCGCAGTTGGCTATGCTGACGACGCCTGTAGTGGCGACGAGCTTGCACGTCTGGTGGCCGTTCTCAATGGTCGCAGTGAAGCGACCGCCTGTATTGATAGAAACGGGGGTCAGTTACTCTGCAGTCAAGGCTCCGTCCGTAAGTTGAAGACATACTGAGACTCCCTGGTGTAGGACAGCATGCCACAGCCTTCTCTCCCGAGGTCAATGGGTACTGGAATGCAAAACCCGTCCGCTGCTCCGTGGCTGCTGCAACGGACTCAAACCCAAACGGGCAGACAATGCCTGGCGAGTAGACGCCCCAGCCATTCAATGCACCGCTGGGGGTTGCGACACCGGCGGTCGGCGCAGGCCAGCAACCAGCCCTGTCCGTCACAATGCCACTGCCGACGCATGTCTGAGCCTGCCAGCCCAGCGAGCAGGTGCCGCACTGGTCGTAGACAACGTGGCAATCAGAGTAATTGTCGGCACGCGGGTCGCGAGTCGTCAGCGGGCCGAGGTTCGTTCGTGTTGGCGTGGGTGTGGTCGCTTGGCGTTGAGCGAATGCCTCATGATCTTGGGTGCGTCTGAATACGGTGGTCGGAGTGGGAGTTGCGAATGTCATGTTTTCAGCTTATGGGGCTGCTTTCTTGGAGTAAAAGGCGTGCAATGACGCGGTACCCTTCAATATCACGAGATGCCAAATGGAAATACAGCTGGGAGAAAGCAGTGGCGAAAGGATGGCGCTGCAGGCGAGGTTTTGTGAGGAAGGCCGTCACCATGCGGTGTGGCTGGCGCTGGGATGCGTTGCCAAAGCCTACGGGCTATGCCGTGTATTGTGCGAGGGTTCCGGAGCTAACAATAGATCCTGTCAGCTTATTTATTTCTACAGGAGGCCTTCTGCACTCGCTAAATTACTTCATGTTAGGATCGCGGGTATCACAATCCTTGCCACGTAGCCGACGGCTGATAGCCTATTAAGCGAGGATCTTGCAGGCGATGGGTAGCCTAACCACGCGATTGTACGAGCACATCATCTGCTTTCCCTGATTCAGCCCGCTTACGGCTATGGGCAAGCTCTGCCTACTTCCCAAAGTTCCCCTGTCGGATCCAAGCGATCAGTGCTCATGAACCTATGGCCTCCAGGACCGTCATCGCCTTGCTATACTTTGCAGCCAACCCGATCTCTAGCTTCACCCGCCCGTCCGATGATGGCAACTGCGTATCGGTCGCCATGCCCAGGAAGAACTCCAAGATCTTGAGTGCTGGCAACCGTTCCACGTCCACCTCCGTAGCCAGCCTCTGAACCCACTGCGCGAGTGGCACAACCATGTTACCAGGAGCCCGTGCCTCCAAGACTTTCGGGATGAGTGAGCTCCATTGTGCTCCATTGGGATTGGCTAAGTTGAAAACTTGCTCTTCAGACATCTCGCCGCCCCTATGCTGCTGGGAAATCTGATGGATCATAGCAGCCATGGTGTCAACCAGGATCCAGTCAATTGGGCCACCGCCCAAAGAGCCTGGCAGCACCTGGAGAGCGTTGGACGTCTTCATGAGGCTCGGAAACCACTCAGTGGTGTTCCAGGCGCCATCATCGGATGCCAAAGGTCCTGATACAGCATCGTCAATGGCGCCGACCTCGACGAGGAAAGATGCAAATGGACGGTGCAGATACACAACGGGCACAAAGTCACCTGCCGCTGACTGATTCCAGCCACAGGCAGCACGCATAAGGTCTATATGCCAGACTTCCACAACATACAGCAGCGCTCTCTCTCTCAGAGCTTGAATCGAACATTACAAAAGTCAACCTTCTCATGCTGTTCCGCCTTGCGCGGGAGACTGGCGCAGGCATCGCAGGCGACCCTTGCACGGCAATCACCGCGGATCACACGCCCGAGCAGCGCGAAGCATTGTGGGAAGAGCTTTACGCGCGGGGCGGATTCCATCTCCAGGCCAACAACTACCGCGACTACCTGATCGACGAGAGGGCAAACCGGCTGCTGTACGACTTCTGGGTGAAGAAGACACGGGAGAGGGTGCCAGATACGGGAAAGGCAGACGTTGTCGCGCCGTTTGAGCCACCCTACCCCCTGGGAACCAAGAGGAGCAGTCTCGAGCATGACTACTACGAGAGCCTGAGCCGCGACAACGTCGAGATAGTCGGGCTCAAGGTGACGCCTATCCAAGAACTCACAGAGAAGGGGATTAGGACGGCGGATGGCGTAGAGCGCGAGTTTGACATCATTGTGCTGGCCACCGGTTACGATAACTGTACTGGCAGCCTCACAAACATGGGCATCCGAGGTTGCGACGGCATTGACTTGAAAAAGAGGCGGGCGAGGGGTGTGAAGACGTTCCCGGGGATGGCCACAGCGGGATGTCCTAACATGTTTATGATTTTTGGTCCTCAGGGTACGTCCAAGAACCACCATTCCCCTTGCCGTTACCTTTTCTCCTGATGTTACAGCTTTCCCTAAAATAACTCTTACTGACCACAAACACACAAAACAGCCCCGACTGCGTTTAGCAATGCCCCTGTGTTCATCGAGATGCAGGTAGACTTCCTGGTCGATGTCCTCAAGAGGCTGCGCGACGAGGGTGTGCAACGCATTGAGGCCAACAAGGCAGCCGAGGACGCGTGGTACGAGACGGTGCAAGGTATCAGCAACGCGACGGTGTTTGCCAAGGCAAACTCGTGGTACATGGGGTCCAACATCCCCGGCAAGAAGAGGTAGCAGCTCACCTACATTGGCAGGTTGAAGTCGTACATGGATGCGTGCACAGACGGGACGCGGGATTGGTCAAACTTTGATGTCAAGAGCATGCCCAGAATGGAGATGCCCGTTGTTAGATAGCGGTGAACGAAAACTGCCATTTATCCCATGTCCCTGCGGGAAACAGTTCCTTGGTTGTGTACATCCGCACGCTTGGGGCAGCTCACGAGGCTCTCAGAAGAGGCTTTCAACCGTGACACATACCGCTCGCGACATTTACCGTGCCTTACGAGAAAGACGTCCCTCCGACTGTTTAATGAGCGGCTCTCGGTCAATTCCCGAATTGACCAGGAATGTTAGTGGATGAGAATACGGTATCCAAAGGTAGTCATACAAGGGTCCTCTGTCGATCAGGCTGGGCCGACGCCATTGCCGCCGCCGCTGACGCAGGGGTTGGACCATTCGGGACAATTAGTGCGTATAATAGGCAAAGTCTCCTTGCGGCAGACACGACAAGGCCCTAGAATTGCCAAGCATTATATACTTGGCAACAAGTGAGAGAGAGGGCTCAGCGCCGGGGTCCCCTTGCTGCAACTGCGCACAGTATCACGGCCAATTGCCATTGACTTTCTTGCTCTATTGGCCCGCTTGTCACCTTGATTGGGAAATGGGCCAGACTTCAGTCCTTGTCCCACCCACTCTCGTCACAAATGGGTGACGATCAGGACATGCTGTACATCACGCCTCGTATGGCCGCCTTGATTGAGCAAGTGTGGGTTTGGATGACACAGACTGCCGTCCACTATACGGACTTCTGAGCCAATCACCATTCCTTAGTGTCTCCCGCAGATGTGAGAAACTATCAAATCCCGGCTGCGATCTGTAGGTGCAATTGGCTCACGCTGTGAACAAAGTGAAAGCGGTCCATCAAACAATGAATTTGCGCAACGAAGGTCCGTCGAGACACAAGCATCTCGATTGCTTGGAGTAACAGGGGTTGGCGTTGGGGTGCATCAACATGATACTACCCAACCTCAGCTTTTCCGCGTGATTATTGTCTTGAATGAGCCTCACCGAACGATCGACGTCAGCTGAAGGATCAGCATCCATGCGTTGCTCCATAGCACCCGCACGGCACCTTTGGTACGCTGTTGGCTGTAAGTGGTCAGGGGAACCTTCGATGCCCAATTTGGTTGAAGCAGAGGAGTGAAATGGCTGTGAACGTCACTTTCTACAGGCGATCCTCGCTTCATGGATACCATCAGCGCGCAATGAGAGACGATTGTTTGCGTGGCTACGATCAAAGAATCCTAGTGAGCGAACTGGCCTCCTGAAATGTCCCAGAATTCCTCCAGTATAAAGTCATCGTCCTCCCTCATCATATTCACAACTCATGCAATGTCCTGCAGCAGCAAGCAACAAACGCCCGTCTTCACAAAGAACATTTATCTCCGCACCGCCATCCACTCCCAGGTCCCAAAATGAAGGCCTTCACCATTGCCACCTTTCTCCTCTCGGCCTCGACTACAGTCCTGGCCGACTTTCTTCTTTACGACGGCGCCATCGTCACCGAGGCAGCAGAACCCATTGTGCAGACTCGCGCAGTGTCTCTTGACCAACGCGGCAACTGCGACGGCATCGACAACTCGCCGGAGCTCGACGGCGCTGCCGGCGAGTACAGCTACCCGTGGCCGGAAGAGACCTTCAAGGTCGGGCTGTGCAACATTTCATTGCGCTTTATCAAGAACGGCAACGACTACAACGTCTACGATGACGGTACGGGAGGCCAAGTGGGCGTGTGCACCCGGGGCAGCAACGAGGTCAAGGCTTGTTTCTGGGGGTTCATCTCGGCCGAGTACAATGAGGCTTATATCTGCTCCGGCGCGTGCTAGGTTTGGGGCTTGCTCGGTTGGACGTGAATAGCATATGTGAAGGCATGAAGCATTCGGCGTGCAGGACTTAACAAATTATATTTTTCAATTAATAAAGGGGTGGGGAAAAGTTGGCGGTACAAATTGCAATGAACAGCGTGACCAGATATGACAGACCAGTTCCAAACTCCAATCAAGTAGACGCCAACTCGTCAGCAGACATTGCGCTTGAGCTGAACCCCGTGATTGGGCGCAATGACATTCTACCACAAACCTTCGCCTATCGCCAGGTCAAACTTTGGTGTTCTGACACTGTCTGGCTCAAACTGAAGCCATTCATTCCTTCGGAGACTTTGAAAGAGGCGTAGGAGTTCCTGGCTTGGTCGCCAATCACCGACCTACCACTGTACCACCCTTTCCCCGGCTTCGCCACCATCAAGCTTCGCAGCGGCCAGCGAGCTACTTGCCGGCCCAAGTGGTACCTCTGCGCTTCTTCGCCCTCGTGTAGCTACCTCATGCCGTATTCTGCCGTCTTGCTCTCTAATGGACACAGCCAGAGTCAGGTGAACATCTCGGCGTCCTCGAGGCTCGCCATACGGTCCGGTCGCAAGGGCCGCCGATCCGAGCAGACGCTGCAACACGGAATCCCAGAGCAATGCTGAGGTTGAGACAAGGGTGCACAAGGAGAAAACGCCACTTAATGCATTCCTGATAGACACATCATGCACATTTAGTAGTTCAGTCGAGTCACAAATGCCCATTGGATAGGGTGGGTACGAGAGCTATAATCCAACCATTCCCAACAGCCACACCGGCAGAGTCATCACATTGCACAAGAGAGATGAGCATAATAAAATAGGATGACTCACTGAACATACCATGAATTTTCAAATTGTGATAGTCGGAAAGCTAATGGTTGCATGTAAAGTTAGACCACGGGGTGCTACTCGAATGTCAAAAGGTGCACCTGACAGTCTCAAATCTCCTGACGAATCTTAGGCTCACTTCTGTGGGTAAGCCGAAAATGCTCGAAGTGGTCGGTCATTGGCCGAGTACCACCATGAGTCCGCTGCACACTCTGTTTCTAGTGGAGGCGCTTTTGTAACGTCAAGTCAAAACTTCCAAGATCTCGGCCATGCCCATATTCGAAATCCCGCCATTCTTGGCGCCCCAATGCCTCAAAGAGGCTCAGGATCCGCTGGCTGGGCCTCCATTCGCCGACCTGCCACTGCACAACTGGGCCGCCATGATTGCTGCTTTCATCTTCATCGGCAGCAATGTATTTGACGCCCCAACGGTGGGTATCCGGCGGCGCCCAATCATCCGGGTCTTCGACATCATACTCTTCTTCTCTGCTCTCTGACGGGCTCCACCACAGGACGGCAAACAATTCAGCCACTTCCAGTGCTGGCATGTTCTTGCGACTTAGTGCTTGGGCAAACGCTGCCAGTAGAGGCTCGATCCGCTCCCTGCAGGGCTCGATTCGAAACATGTCGGGAACATAATCAGATGAAGAGCCACCATAGCGATCACCTTCCCACTCCTCGTCCGTTGCTTTATCCTCGGCTCGGTCGGGCTCGGGGGGGTAGTGACCTGTGTTGGAAATCCGGAACCCGCCTTGATCTGCGTCGTGCGGGTCTTCACCACGAGGACCAGTGAAGTACCACCGTCCATCAGGCCGCAGCAGATGAAACTCGATCTGCAGGCGGCGCATGTGTACCCACTGCTCCTCCGCGGGCGCCGTTGCGGGCGGAAACATGTCCTCGGTAATCAAGGCCCGTACGTCGAGTACTTGCAGCTGCGTGGCGAGCTGTCGCAATCCCATGGATACTGGGTCATGATCCGCCGGGTAGATCAAGTTTGGTCTGGGGATGCTCTGGTCTTCCTTAGGGATCTGGCATGGGGTCCAGAAATGCAAGCCCACCTCGGTCAGCGTGGCGGGGATCCGCCCTCCAGCGAGATACTTTTCCGGCTCCAGTATGGCAGCACCGAACTCGTGCCGGGCGTCTCGCAGAGGGCCCTCCCAAGGTCGTGAGTGATGTTCACGCATTGGCTCGCTGGGTACAGTGCACGGCATTGGACGCTCCCACAGCCACGGCACATACAGCTCCTTCACTGCTGGCAGGTGAGCGAGACAGTTGAGGAGCAGCAGCGGAGACAGAGGGCGCATGTCCTGAGACTCGACAGCGCTGCGGCTGGGCGCTGACCTCAGGGCGAAAAGGGACACAAAGTCGAGGTCCTGCAGAGTCTCCGCGTCATGCAGTGAAAGCCGGCGCGAGTGGAATCTGCGGTGATTGCAAGGCGCATCGCCTTCAAAGGATTGAGTATCGATGATTATGGTGGCGCTGATGTCGTCATCTGGCTTCCCAAGCCCCGCGTGCTGTAATCCTAACTGTTTATAAAACGCACGAATACTGTTGGAAACATGATGGCTGACGGCTGTGGTCTCTGCGACGATTTCTCGATAGGAGAGAGGATCTGTTGGAGAATTGACGATAGTCGGCAGCGTCACATTGTACTGGACGCGTCGTAGTTCTCCGCCTTGAATCCACTCTTGTATTTGGGCGCGGGCTTGCACCTCAAGTTCTGGCGCAGACGAAAGTAATGCCATGGTAAGCGTGGAATGCCTGAGCTGCTGTGTTGACAGTCACGTCAAGGGCAGAGTGTGTGCTGCTGAATTGGCGCAGAGAAGTGGGAAAAAAGAAGGTTAGCTCCCCTTGCGGCGTTTCCACTATCTGATACTATCAACGGTATGCGGTAATTAATGTCGTTGATCTATCGCTTGGTCCGGACACTGCTCTGACAACCGGCTCTCACTCTTCACAGATTTGCTCGCCCTGGCGTTCTTGCCATTGCTCGCCAAGTCGATATTTTTGATCTTCCCCCGACTCCGAAACGAGAAAATGATGACAAATGGGCAACGAAATTAATCATTCAGTCGCACTATGCTTGATACAAGACCTGTCCGTCACATCGTCCGCTCGCGGTGTTGACTGATTTCATATGTCCTCGGTAGTTCAGCGCGACAGCATTGTGTTGCAATGCTTTGTTTGGCCTCCAGCTGCTGCTTGGGAAATGGCTCTTAAGTCCATGGGTTGTGGTTATATCACTTGGCACCCCACTGTCAACTGGTCTAGATGTTAAACTTCTCAGTGGTCATATACGGTAAACGGGGATTGACCCTATCCGCTGGACGCGCCTTGCCACACCCTGCCATCCTCTCAAGAGTCGACGTTCGTTGGATGCATCTGAGGTAGCCCAAAGCTACAAGCAATGCCACAATCCACCATCCGCTATCGAAGCAGCGGCTGAAGGTGGCTGCTCACAAGCCTTTGAGGCTACAATTTACTTTTACTGGCGAATGAGAGGTGCATTCGTCTGCTGCAGTTGAAAGTACAGATTTCAATCGCATATTAGTTCCCCAGCTAGCGGCGCGTTTTGGAAGATAGCATGGAAGTCTGCCATATGGTGTGAGATGGGCGAGAGCTTGTTCTAGGGCTAAATGGCTTGACCCAGCCACTCAGGACAATGGCATTCCATGTGGGAAAGCTCTTGTCTGCGAATTACACTACATTCAGCTCCTCAGTGCTACATGAAAACATGGTGCCTGAGCATCAAGCTGAGAGTTCGACTTTGCGCAGGACTAAAGGCAGCCACGCCCATTGTATTGGCCGTCTCGCTGTATTCATCAGAAGCAGATCAGGCCCACGGTACCATCTAAAAGCGCTGGCGTGGGGAATTCCATGCTCCGATAACAAGTCTGCCTCACGAACCAATCACGATTTGGCAGCATCCAGTCTTTACGAGGTGCGAAGGCTGAAATAGGACAGCCCCAGTGAACTCCATCTAGGCCCGGCCGGAATGCGCTGCGATGCTGAACATTCATTCTACGAGCTGAAAGGACAATAGGACGGGCCTTCAAACCGGTTGGACTAAATGGGGCTCTTCTCCGCTCCCCAGAGGCTGCAGAATCGCTGCTCCCTAAGTACCAAGTGTGAATTGGACATCATGATTTGTTTTCATTGCACGTAAAAGTCCTAATGTACTCGTCGGGACCCGCCCTCGAAGTGAGCGTCATGGTATTACTGGATTCATTGGTCCGCACAGGGCTTCACCAACCTCATTCCTCATCGCCGCTCCCCTCGTCAGGATCCACAAACAAGATAGGATTCGCCAGCGTCATGCCCGACCACTGTGTCAAGGCCTGCTGCCTACCCTCCCGCATGTCGTAGTCCTCAAATGTGCCCTGCAGCGCAGCCTCATCCTCGCCCGCCATTTTGCCAAAGAACGCCGCGGCCGGCTTGTTCGCTGCCTCGTGGCAAATGACGACGCAATCGGCCAGCTTCGCACCCGGGACGTGGTTCGGGATGACATAAGGGTGCAGCTGGCGTCGCCGCCGCTCGCGCGGGAGGTTCCACCAGGACGTCATGACGGCCTCGAACAGCTCGGTGCCGTAGCCTTGCCTTTGGTAGTCCCTGGCGATGAGGAAGTCTGCTTCCGGCCAGCCAGATCGCGTTGTCCTGATCTCGCGGCGTTAGACACCGCCGGACGTTTTCCAACCAAGTAAGCACGAGGGGGGCAGGAAACTCACCGGCCATGGATGTCTGGTAGGCCACCCTCCCCGATAAGCTCCCCTGTCTCTGCGAGGAAGGCACCGAAATACCAGTGGCAGTCGTCATACGGAGGGAGCAGCTGCTCAATGTTGTGGATGGTCTGCTCCAGACTCTCGCTACAGGCAGGCAGTGTCAGTATGAACGTCGCAGATCCATGGTGCTTTGGATTGTCGCGGGTGCGTACTCGGGACGACCTCTTACGATCGAGTGCTGCTGGAGTTCAGCGTCCGCGCGGAGTTTGTGTAGCGCTTCGGCGTCCTCCCGGACAAATGCACGTATCAGGAGCCGCGACGTGCGCAGGGGTGGGCGCGCCGAGACGGGCGGCAGGTCGGAGGGCTGTGAGACCTGGTAGGAGAACCATGGGAGGACGCTTGCCTCGTCCAGCTCAGACTTGGAGTACTGCACGGTCACCATTGGAGTCCTCTGTGGGGAGGCCGTCATTTCCTTCCTCGTGTGTGTCCTGCCAGGAACAAAAAGTTCTTTCGAGTTTGTGCTTTTCGGCCGGGGATATCGGGGCTGGCGGTTTTTCGAGGCCCTGAAAGAGAGAGAGGGGGGGGGAGAAAGGGAGATAGAGCTCCCTGATAAGTAGAGAGAGAGAGAGTCGCGGTGAGAGAGAGGCCTGCTGCGATGGTTAGGCCAGGTGCCAGCCCAAATCAAGCATGTTTGCCAGGACGCTGGGCAGGGTGGTTGGCGACACGTCCAAGACGCAGATCCGGCAGATGGCCGGGGCCTTCTGTGGAAGGAGCGCAGGTCATTTGCTTCCCGTGACACAATGCTTGGACGACTGGGGCCCTTGCAGGCTCTGGCACTGGTCCCGGATGATGTCCGCCTCGAGCCGCCCCTGGGCGGACAACGGCCAACAGCATGGGTCTCGGTCCGGGATGGTGCGCAGGGCCCGTGTTGGTCCAAAACACGAGGCCCCCGGTTGCCCTCTTCCGCGACAGCAGGGATGGAGCTGCATGGCAAACTTGCGACCCTGAGGACTCCGACAGAGTTGGTCACTTCTCGAAGCCACTATGCATGCGGACCCGAGATGCCCGGTCCGCGGCTGACCTTGATAGCATCCGGTGGTCAAGGACCCTTGTCGCCCAACCGTCCTAGAGCGGGAGAGCGCTGTCAGTGGAGTGGGCCGTACGAGAAGGATCAGGACCAGTGACGGGCACTCAGGATGTACCCGCGTGTCCACCAAGCTTATGTATTCTTAGTCAGTCGAGTGACCTGAGAAATAGGGGAGAACATGGCGAAGATCAGCGGTACACCGGGAAATTCTATGAAGATCCACGTAGGCCGCACATCAGAAGGAACCGTCGAGCATTAGATATCCCTGTCCAACAAAATCGGTACGTGGCCCTCTCTCGCGCTCCGGGGTATACTTGCACGTTGGATACCGTGGAGACGTAACGAGGGACTGCTCTAATACCCTGGCCACCCTGGCGTCAGCACTTTAATTGGCGGCACGCCTTCCGTTCCGACTTTGTTGGCTGTTGTTTGTCTGGGGGGCCCTCCCTTGCAACAACGGCGCCGGCAGGCAACATTGCCCAGGATCTTGTGTCGTTATCTGATATACCTGGCAAGTGTTGGTTGGATCTCCTGCTCGTTTGAGAGTTGCTCCAACTACTATGCATTTGCTTGTGCGACCCATTGAAATCTCGCTTCCCACATGTTTGGGTTTGCCTGTGGGAGGGATTCGCGGTAGGGACCGACGACAAGCAGCGAGAGTGTGGTGGATCAAGTGCGTAAGCGATGGAGGGCTGCTTGCCGTATATACCTGAACCTGTTGGCTCCAAGTTGGTCTGCTTGGAGTTTTGTGCATGTGCTGCATTACCTCTTCTCCAACATGAATTCCTCGTCCGCGTCGAGTGTTTCGGCCTCAGAGTCCGGCTGCTCTTCGCCCCGAAGTGACTTGTCATTCCTGACTGCTCCTAGCCCAATCCGCACGGATGCTGACGGCCTGGAGCATGAGGGTCACCTGTCGATCCGCATGCCCGATCTTTTCGCCTCGGTCATGGGCATGGAGAATCGAGTCAACCCGCACTACCAAAGGGTCAAAGCTCGAAGTGATGCCGACATTAAGCGGTGCGTTGATTCGAGTACACATTCCCTCATACTGGAAGGACATGACCTTACGAGCATTAATCGTCCCACAGGATACTACGGCTGGATGACAAAGTGGCGTTCAGGAATTCAAAGGCCGACTTCGCGTTCCTCACTGCCTCATGGATTCCCGATGCCACAGAGGATGCCTTGTACGTGATACAAATATGGCAAGAATGGGTAAGTGAATCTATCCCGGCCGTGTCCGTGGTCCAATCACTGACATGCATAATGGTTGCTTAGGTCTTCTTCTTCGATGACCGTGAGTGACGCCCGCCCCGACCCGTGCCGCGCCGCCATAGCGCCGACCGTGCAAGCCTACCACATCACTCAAACTCGACGGACATTTTGCTTACCGAAGCGACAAATAGAATTTGATGAGGGCCACCTCAGCCAGAACCCGCTAAAAGCTGCGGAGGAAGTGGTTGAGGCCCTTACTGTGCTCGACACCAGTTACCCGATCCTCACAGAGGAGAGCGCATCGCTGGCATATCTCCTCCAAAAGGTTTGGCTCGAGTTCAAGAAGGTGAGTCATTGTGATTGGGCGGCCCAAGTTTTCGGCAAGGGCGCATGGTTCTAACAATCTTTTTGTGACAGACGGCTTCAGCAGGTGCGCTCCTTTCGATCATCGATATTCCCAATAACTTACGAGCTAACGAGATCCAACCTTTGTGAGCAGAGCACCAATACCGCTTCAAGTTCTACCATAAGAAGTACATGATTGGCCTCCTACGACAGGTCACAGCCAACATCTCGGACGTCGACCACGTGAGCCGCAGCTTGGACAGCTATGTCGAGTACCGGCGGGACACAATCGGTGCCGAGGCACCTTACGTCATGATGGAGTACGTCTCTCACCGCACAGAGCTCACTTCGGTGGGCGGGCCTATCCACGCGCACTAAAATGGGCGGGAACATCCAACATGGAGTGGAGACTGACTTGTGATGCTATGCAGGTGGGCATACGGCATCTCTCTTCCAGCACACGTCATCTCGCACCCCTCTCTGGTTGCGTGCTGCCTTGCCGCCGTGGACATCACATTCATGTACGTGGATCAACTCTTATCAGTTTTTCGGAATCCCGACCTACGTGAAGGGCTTGAGGTCGAGACGACTTGCTGAACAAAGACCGGCGACCTAGTGACAACGACCTGCTGTCTCTGCAGAAAGACTTGGTACGTATATCTCTACATCCTCCGCCACACACCAAAGTACACAGCATCGAAAGCGGAAACCCCAGCAATTCTAGCTGCCGGCTGCCAACTACCCCAGGCTGCACGAAGGAATCCATTATGACGGCGCAAAGTTCCTGCATGATGCTTTCCGTACTCGTGCATTTCAGCATCGACGACAGAGACAAGCTAACCAGAACCAGGACTTCGACGTCAAGCACAACATCGTCAACGTCCTCTGCTCCCTCCCCGCGTCCAGCGGCGGGGTATCCACGATCCAGCAGGCCATCGACAAGGCCAGCGACATGCTCGACGAGCGGTACGCGACCTGGCTCGCCGCCGTCGCCGCGCTGCCCTCACCGCCTGCCCCGGGATCTGTAACAGACGACGGACGGTGCTACACCGAGAAGGAGCAGCAGCATGGTGGCGACGGCGAACTTCAGGATAAGTGGTGGGGTCCCGAGATCGACGCGCAGGTCAGGACTTTGCTGGAGCTGTATATCCGGATTCCGATCGGGACTTTACACTGGAGGTGAGTACTTCGCTCGGTTTCTCCCACGCCTCCCACGACGCTACTGCTGGTATCAGACACCACGGAATGCGCAGGGCCAGGAAGGTCTTAATATAGCACCTCTCGCTAACTCGGACCACGAACAGTTTCCGATCCGGACGGTACTTTGGAGATAAGGGCCAGGAGGTCAGGGAGACGAGGGTTATGAGGCTGAAGATGAAACAATAGCGGTCATGAGCCGTGGCTAGGCCGTGCCCGGGGTGGGAGAATCGACCGAAGAGACGAGAGCTGCTGGGACTTCTGCCCGAGCAGCACTTGATGTAGCGCTGCTATTGTAGGGGAAGGGGAGGGGGGTATCTTGCATCGCAAATATAGAGAGCATTCATACAGGCCGTTCATAGAGCGTGTGCGAATTCACGGTCTTTTCGATTAGTGATGTCGGTACCTGGGTAGCTCGTTGCTCCTCATCCAGAGACAACGACACAGGACTTTTGTATAGTCGACTCTACCAACAGCGATGCAGGATCAAGTACTGTCTTCGCCAGCCAATCAAGTGCACAAGATTAGTCTTGGCTCTCAATAAAGGGTCACATCGTCGGCAGTCACGCAGTAGCCCTGGCTGATCTCCCGAAACGGCATTCTCTAGAACGCTCAGATATATTGCAGCATCAATGCATATTACATCTCCGACAAACCCTCGAGAGGACGTCCGGCAATTGCGATCAGGCTACGACCTGGATCTCGTATCTCGCAACCTCCCACCCCTCGACCTTGCTCAGGTCGGCAAACGGCCTCGAAGCAGCGATGCGCATCCTGGTAATTGTAGAGTAAGCATTAGCCTTGCCCCGTCTCTCTCCCAAAAGCACCGATTATGGAGGGGGAACACCCAAGGGGTTTTAAAACTAGACTTACGTGTAATTGCCCGGCTCCAGCACGCGCACCGCCCCGCTGTCACCGTCGGCACCAGAAGGCGGCACGAGGTGGCCCAGCCAGGCGACGCGGGACTCGGCGCGCAGGGCGAAGCCGTTGCGGGCCAGGTACCTGATGGGGCTGTCGATGGTGCTGTTGCGCACGACGGCCGGGTCGGCCGGGTCGGAGACCTTGTCCCAGTCGCGGCTCCAGGGCTTTGTGAGGCCGACGAGGCCGGACTCGGCGGTGGGCGGGTATGTCCAGCGGGACTCGTCCCAGTTTGACTCGAAGATCTGGAGTGTTGCACACAAGGCGGCGTTAGTCTAAGAGCCTCCAGCTGCAGAGGCTCCGGCGGCGGCTGGAGGCGACCTGGATGCCGGATGATGGAGGGGTTTCTTCTTGGTAAAGGCCATGAGAAGATAGAGTAAAAAGAAACTAGTCGCCGATGGCCTGACTTACATCCCAGCGCATCTCGTGCACGCCCCAGTCTAGCTGGTAGTACATTGCCAGCCAGCTGAAGTCCGGAGACGACGAGTTGAAGTTGTACCTGGACCCATGAGGATCATTGTTAGCTCTTTGCTACGACTACACAGGCCATTGCAGCCAAGAAGCTTGGTATCTTTATGCCAGGGAAACGAGCCGGGGACTTACGTAGCGTTGACCCGAATGTTGTCGTACGTCTTCTGATTCAGGAAGATGGGGTACGCGCTCTCATACGAGTTCTGGAAGACCTTCTTCTCCTTGTACAAGTCGGTGGCAAGGCCTGCGGGGATTTTGTGATTCACTGTCAGTACTTTGAGGAAGCTGAAATAAGTCTACTTGGAGACTTGGGAAGAGTGGGAGAGGAGAATAACGCACCCATGTACTGCACAGACAGCCGGTCGCCATTGTCACCTGCGATCTTGACCTTGCCGTTGTATAGCGGCAGCACTGTGGAGTTCCAGCCTTTGTTGACGGGGTTGGCGAAGGTGACACTGTTGAACGAGTTGTTAGCAGGACCCTTGGCTTCGGCAAGCAACCATCTCTCTCCCGGTTGCGGCTCCAGCTGCGCGACGCGGCAAATAAAGGATTCTTCCCAGGCAGAGAGCAACGTGGTGAAGCATTATTACTTACGTCACAGTCTTGGACTCGCCCGGTGCCAGCGTCACCGGCTCCGGCAGGACAACATCGGGCGTGAAGTCCATCGGCACGAGGTCCTGGAACTGTTGCATTCCCCACGTGTGCCAGGTGTCGATCCAGGGGCTGTACATCTCGAACCCAGCCGCGGGCTCGAGGGTGAAGTTGTACGTCACCGGGCCGGCTGTATTCTCGTTGGTGATGGTCACCTGCTGCTCGCCCTGGAAGTGCACAGTGTCGTTGAGGTTGAAGCGGGTCACGTCGACCGAGCTGCCCGCGAACACGGTCCTCCAGGCGTCCACGAGCCCGCTACCCATCTGCGCGGGGGGCGCGGAGAAGGAGCTCGAGACGGCACCGGCATTGTTCGTGTACGGCAGCGTGGCGCCGGACGCGACGACGTGGCGGTGGAAGTCCTTTGCGACGTTCGGGTTTGTCTGCCTGCCGCCGTGGACGCCCACGTACAGCGCCGCAACGCCCGCAATGTAAGGGGTGGACATGGACGTGCCGGACTGGACCATGTACTGGTTGCCCTCGCCGGACCAGGTGCTGAGGATGTTGCCGCCAGGCGCCGCAACGTCGGGCTTGAGCTGCAGGTCGTAGGTGGCCGCCCAGCCGCTGAACGAGTTGGGCGTGCCGCCAGCCGAGTCGGCCACGCCGACGTACGCGGCGTCCGAGGGCGAGAGAGAGAAGTCGACGGTGACGGTCATGTTGTCCTGGCGGATCGCCTTGAGGATGGCGGCACCCATGTCGGCGGGGATCATGCCCAGCGTGCCGGAGGGCAGCGTGTTGCCCGGCGGGACAAGACCACGGTCGTCGTTGTAGACGAGCACGTACTGGCCGCCCAGCGCGAGCAGGTTGGCCTGCTTGGCGGAAAAATTGCAGCCGCCACGGCGGACCAGCGGGATGGTCCCAGTGAGGTTGCGAGGGTCGTCGGCAGCATAGGCCTCACAGGCATCGCCCGCGCTGGCCGGGTCTGTCGAGGCCATGTCAACCACGTGCCAGCCGGTAATGTTGGTCGGGAAGTGGTCGTCGCCAACATAGCCGGCGAGGGTTGTCGTGTTGGTCTCGCCATCCGCAGAGATGTACGTCAGGTGGAAGGGCGTCGCGGGGGCAAGATCGGCCTGGACAGAGGCCACGGCGAGCGCACCGGGACTAGAACCGCCTCCGATGCCAATAAAGGGCCCGCTGGCACCCTCGTTGCCGGCACTGATGGTGACAATCACGCCGGCGTCGACGATGCGCGAGACAACCACCGCAAAGGCCGAGTCGCTCCAGCCCGCGGACGAGCTGAAGCTGAGGCTGATGATGTCTACGCCGTCGCTCTCGGCGCGGAGGAAGGCATCGATCATGGTCGCGTCGTCACTGCCCTCGCTGACGCTGCCCGTGATCTTGTACGCGTAGAGGGTGGCGTTGGGGGCCACGCCGACAAAGTTATCACTCATAGCAGCCTGTAGCAAAGTTGAAGTTAGCGAAACTCCCAGCCCATCCTCGTTGTAAGCGTCCTCGTCACAGAACATCATGATAAACCACGTACCACAATACCCGCTACGTGTGTGCCATGGCCAAAGTCCGGCAGGCTGATCGGGTCCGCGTCGGGCTTCTTGGGCTCGCCGCTGAACGGATCGGCGTCGCCCACCAGGTCCCAGCCGCCGGCGACCTTGAAGCCGGGGCCGAAACCGCCGCCGAGTGCCTCGTGGAGGTACCACACGCCCGTGTCGACAATGGCCACTTTAACGCCCTGCCCGCGGATGCCCTGCGCGTGCAGCCGGTCGACGCCCGTCGCGCGGTGCGTGCTGTACGGCAGCGCACCACCGTCGCCGTTGCCGCCGGACACCACATCGCTGCTCTCGGCGATGCTGCTGAGCACCGCGGCCGGGTCCTCCTGGCTGACGGGCTGGTCGAGCACGATGCGCCGGTTGGGCCACACGTTGACAATGTGTGGCTTGGCGGCGAGCACGCTCACACCGCCGCTGTTGCTGCTGCTGCTGGTGATCTCGACGGCCGCGCCCGAGAAGAGGCTGGACTCGAAGTTCTTGAGCACGCGGATGCTGCCATCGCTGCCGAGGTCCCGTGCAGCCAACCCTGCTGCATCCTGTCCATCCACAAAAGCTGAGTTAGCCAGAGCTGATGCCTAAACATCGAGCGAGCAGAGCCCTGACAGAGAACGCACCTGGGCGTATTCCACAATGTACTGGTTGGGAATGTAGTGGATGGCGTCGTCGGTGGACGGGACCGTGCCGGCCGCAGCCGTAGCCACAGAGCCGACGGTCCCGAGCACGAGTGCGGCGATTGCCGAGTGGACGGCGCTTCGATGCATCTCGAAGTCTTGGCGCGCGCGTGCGAGTGTTCCAGAAGACCACTGCTACTACTATGCTATGCGAATAACGACAGGCACGACGTCTATAGCGACGTTGCAGCAGAACAATAAAAACATCGTCTTGGCCGGGCCCACGGGTCTATTTTATTCATCTGAGCTTGCCCTGGACCGAACGAGCCGCCCGCACGTGTGCGCGCGAAACCCGTGCCTCCCGTATTCGAAATGAGCCGTTATGCTCCATTATGCGCTGGGGGGCAGGGCCCCCCGGCCCTATCGCAGTGCCGTGCCCGGCAGATACGAGTTGGTTTTGCGGGGACGACAGCGACGTCGCGGCCCCTGCAGGCAGGACTGAGGACCTGGCAGATGGTCCAATTTCTCCAGTCGGGCGGGCCTTTGACACATGGGGCAGCTCGTCTCTCGGCGACTAGACTCAAGACTGAGCGATCGGCACTTGGACAAACCCCCTGGGCCATCGTATTGTCGAGCCGTCCCTTTTGCTAGCGTCAAAGCGGGCAGGTAGACACGGCAGTCAGGCATGGCAGGGATGGCATGGCATGGCATGGCACGGCACCTACATGTACGGTACGTCATTGGTAATGTTCCACAGGAAAGCATCATTGAACCTCCAGTCCAGATCGCCCATCAGGTCGAACGGATCTTTCAGGCCCGCAACATCAAGCATCCCTGGGCCGCCAGTCTGGTGGTGGTGCTGCTGCTGCACGGGCATTTCACTCTCGCCGCCAAAGTTGTCGTACAGTCCTGACTCGGCAGCAGTAGCAGCAGCCGCCGCAGCATCGAACGCATCGCTCCCGCTCTGTCTCATGTGCTGGTTGGCTTCAGTGACTGCATCACCTGTCCCAGCCGAGTTGCCGTCCCGACCCAAGGCCGTCATGGCCAGTGCGTCCAATGCTGTGCCGTCGGGGTTGCTTTGCCTATTGACACGGGCATTGCTCTGATCCGATCCGGACACCCGAGCGAAACCACGATCGTTGTTGGCGGCGGCGGCGACGGCCGCGGCAGGCGACTTTGCAGAGAACATGTAGTGGTCGCCCGCGCCACCAGGACCGCCGGCCCCAGGGGCTGGCGATATCCGCTGCAGCAGCTCTCTCAGGCCCGTCACCACATGACATGCCACGTGCTGCTGGCTGGCGTTGTCCGCGACGGGACCCAACGCGCGCACGAGGGCTTCGACGTCCGCCAGCACAGTCTTGGTGTGCAGGTTGAGACCGTACTGCGTCAGATCGCGAGGCAGATGGAGCAGCAAGGTCCCGCTGCGAGACGACGACGGCCCGGGAGCATCAGAGGAGTTCCCGGTCCGTGTGGTGGCGGGCTCCTCCCCATAGGCGACGGCTAGCTTGATCAGGAAGCTGGCGCAGACGGCAATCATGGCGTGGATGAAGATGGGCATGCCGATGTAGGCCTTCTGGATGTCCACGTCGTCAGCTACCAGCCGCACCGTGCTCGTGGCGGCCGCAATGGCATTGTTGGCTGCCTCCTGCCGGTCCCAGCTCATCTCTGAGCCTCCGCCGGTGGCCCAGGCCGGTTGCTGGTCCTGGTGGGCTGCAGCGCTGCGGTGGTGGTTGTGGTTGTGGTTGTGATGCTGCTGCTGCTGGTTGTAGCTCGAGACTCTCTGTGATGACTGAGCGGCGGCCCGACGTGCTGAAATGCCTCGCAATGCGACCGAGTTGAGCTGGAAGCGAGCCAGATGGTAGTACAGCGTGGTTGTCTTTGACGGCAGCAGTATCGAAGGACTCGCAGGATCAAGATTGGCGAATCCGCCGGAGATTGGGGTTGCCTTTTGCTGGTGCTGCAGGCGCCACTGGTCGAGCGAGATGTTGAACAACTGCAGCCTCTCAAAGTCGTCCGACGTCAGCTCCAGATCAGGATCACAGCCATACATAAAGTACGAGCCCGCGAGGATCTGGAAGAGCTTGACCTGTGCGACCAAGCCCTTGTCTCCCTTTGACGAGAGCCCGCTGGACAGCAGCTTGTCTGCGTTGCGGATCGACGCGTCATCATGCATCATCGGCGGTCGTCCATATGCCAGCGCAAACTGATGATCGCAGACGTAGAGCACGTACCAGAGCTGAACCCGCTCATACGATTCCACGGAGCCCCGGGCGAACTGCAGAGACGACTTGTGCAGATTCATCTCGGTGCCGATACGCACAGCACGGCTGCAAACCGCCCAGCTCAGGCTGGTCAGGTAAAAGGCCCCGATGCACAAGCCACGAATGTCGTCGAGGTTCCTGGATCGTAGCAGGCACGAGGCACGCATGAGCGAGACAAAGGCATCGTAGGTGGCTCGCAGAGACTTCTCGCGGTCCGGCATGTGCAGTGCGGCGACAGTTAGGGTCGTTGCCACGAGCAGCGACGACGACTTGCGTGCCTGCTGCAGGCTGCGGTGGGAGCAGAGCATGCCGTCCCACAGAAGCGGGTTGATTCTGCATCGGAAATGCTCAAACAGCAGTTCCGCCTCGGCCAGTGTGACTATGCCACGGCTGATAAAGTCGGGTCCGTTGACCGAAGCCGGGTCCACGTGCATCAGCCGGGAGCTGCCCGGGTCGGTAAGGCTGTAGAGGTTATTCATGGGCAGTGGCACAAGATCCGAGTCGTCATCCTGCTGCAGGTCTGTCGACGGGCCTTCGGGGACAAAGTTGCCCGAGGGGCCATCACTTGACACCCTGCTGGCCGTGACGGTCCCATTCGTGGTGTCATTGCGGTTTCTGTTGTTATAGTCGGAGGCGAGGTGGTCATCACCACAGGAGGCAGACGGAGAGAGAGTCTGTGCGGTGCCGGTGCTGCTGTGATAGTTGGCGAGATGCGGTAGCTTGCTGTGCTGCAGCAGATGTTCGACCGCAGCGCGCAGCTGGTCGATGTTGGCGGTAGCATGAGCCTTCCATCTTGAGCATGGGAAACAGAGTCAGTCTGATAGCTTCGTGCCACGCGCGTTGGGAGGCCTTTGTTGTATCGGTCACGTACATAGCATCTTCGTCAATGAACTTCTGCGCAAGATTGTGTGGGACACACTCTATGCCGGCTTTGAGGCACCGGGTGCAGGACTTGGTACCCGGTTGAACAAAGCACTTGACCTTGTGCTTTTTGCATTCGGCGCCTGCAGGACCCAACCCGTCAGCATCGGTGGTGGCCAATCAAATTCAGAAGACCCGCTCGAAACAACGTACATGCCCGTGTTAACTGTGGCTTGGATGAAGCAACCCCGTGAATGTCGCTGCTGCGCCTGGACGAGCGTGGCGTGTCGACATCCCCTCGCTTTCGCTTGTTGCCAGGTGTTGACATATTGTCAGGCCGGAACAGCCTACCTAGTCCTTCGACTGGAATCGGTGGATGATGCGAGCGCTTCAACCTCCGAAGAAAGACTGGGGCTGGCCGTGTTTTACGCTGTTGCCGTTGGGGCGAGATCATGTTAAGCAAAGTGTGGGAAGAGGGGGCCGGTTCGGCGGAACCGCCGATATCGTCTTTTGGTCGTAGTGCTGGTCTGGGGGCACCACCCCACACACAATGCCAAGTATGCGGGGAGGGGATAGGGATAAGGTTATGCGGCGAGACTGGGCGAAGACCCGACCAGAGCACAAGGACGACTACCCGTGCCGTGGGCTAGGGATATGGTAGCGCTGGCCGGGACACTCGATGTTAACAAGCTCTTGGGTTTATTGCCATCCTCTTGTTGCACAGCATGACAGACGAACTTGCTTGGCGCAGTCCTCTTATTGGATCCGTTCCATTATCTACCGTTGTAGACGTGCATAAAACCAGAAACGGCTGTCTGTGTCCCGACAATGACAAACTTCAAATGCATCTATGCTACTACTCTAGCAACACGACGGGATATCCACAACGGTCGACGTAAGCAACGATTTCGCTTTGACAGGGCTGAACGGCGCCGCTTCGCCCGCCCCAGTACCATCTTTGAGCGAATCCCGCAGAATGATACGCTCTGCCATGGTCGTCGCAATACTGAATGCATTTTGCGTACTCGTGATAGCCGCCAGGTTCTTCCCAGCAATATCAAACGCAGTACCGTGCGCAGGTGTGGCCACGGGGATCGGCAGGCCGCCCTGGATCGTGACACCACCATCGAACCCCAGCAGCTTCATCGCGATCTGGCCTTGGTCGTGGTACATGGTCACGATACCATCAAAGTGCTCCCGCTTCAAGAAGATTGTGTCGCATGGGAACGGTCCCTGCGCGTCGATGCCCAGTTCCTCGCGTGCAATCTTGACCGCGGGTCGGATTGCCTCAATCTCCTGCCGTCCAAATGCGCCGTTCTCACCGTTGTGTGGGTTCAGGGCGCATACTCCTAGACGGGGGGCGGCCAGACCAGACTCCCACCTGTACAGAGTATTCATCGTTAGTATGTGATTCAACCAGAGCCCATGCTTTTTGTTCCGCCTACCTCAGTCGGTTCAGCAGCTGAATCGCCTCGACGGTGCTCTCGGTGGTGATCCGAGCGGCAACGTCCTCAATGCCGATGTGGCTCGTCACCCTGCCCGTCCACAGCGGTCCAGCAATGTTGATCTCGCTGGTGGTCCCGGCGTAGTTGAGCTGCTTCGCGAACCACCGCAGCTCGTCCTCCTCCTTCATGCCCGCCATCTTCAGCGAGCTCTTGTTGAGAGGTCCAAAGACAATCGCATCAATCTTGCCCTGCTCGACGAGCTTCAGCGCCCGCCTCAGCTGGTGCATGCACCGGGCACCACTGTCGCGCGACTCTTTGGCACGCTCCGTCTTGTAATCGCCTGACGAGTTGTCATCGAGAAGCTGTGCGGCGTTTGGCCCCGCCGGCGCAGTCGAGACAAGTACCTTGACATTTCCGGCATCTTGCACAGCCGATTCCAGCTCACACTGGTCTGCCAGCAAGAAAATATCTGCCCTCTTGGGGTTTTCGGGATTGCTCAGAAGTTTTGCGATCAGCTCGGGGCCAACTCCAGAGGGGTCGCCAAGTGTGACAGCGATGCGTGGCCGCCGAGTTGGCAAAGGACTGTCAAGGTCGATGACTGAGCCCATTTTGTAAGACTGTGTTTGGGGTTTGACAGGAGAGTAAGGTGTTGAAGAGAGAATAGTGGGTGACCCTCAATAGCCGGTAAAACCAGGGTTGTTCTTCGACCAGGGATAGGTGTTGGGCCGACTGTTGGCAATGGTCCAGTCTTAGCCGAAACGAAGAACTCGTTGTTGTCGATATGACTCCAATATGTATCTGCTCGAAACATTTGTGAGAAAATGCGCAGGAGCCTCGTTCACATGGCCTGCAGACCAAGGCAAAAAGCTGAGGACGTGATGGATCACCCATCGGCGCTTTCGCCGAAGTGCTGGCCGCCGATCCCGGCTTGCAGGCCTCGCTGCTTGCTCCGGGCACTTGGCGTTCGAAGCTGCATGTTTTCCCCGCACGATCCTCCCCGGCTCGGCGGGTCCCTCCGCCTGCTCACCCTGTGATTTTATGAATCTTCGTAGTGGGATTGGCAGACGGCAAGAGTTGCAGCGAGGCCGGAAAGACTGCAAACCTTGTTGCTCCGCACCGTCGGCGCTTCTGCCGAGCCTCAAGATGCGGACAGCCCGTGGTCGTCTTCTTGATTGGACGATAGGTTGAGATCTTTGCCCCTCCCCCAGTCTCCCCCATGGGGTCGACAAACTTGACCCCAGATCCCCATGGAGAATCTGCCGGTCTCGACTTCTTTCGCATTTGTGCTTCTTGTCTTCGGCTCAAGCCGATATCTTTAGCCTGCTTCAAGGTATCTGGGCCGCGCTGCACCGCATCTATATATGTGTGGAATTGCCCCTCTGTCGTACTGTTGTTTGACTTGCCATAGCATCATCTTCCCGCCCTGGGACAGGAAGACCTTGGCCATTATATCCATCCCGTGTCGCGTCCACCCCCCTAGATCTCCAAGCAAAATGGCTACCTCCGCTGAGAAGACTGGTCCCCATCATGTCGAGATGGCGCCATCTATCCACTCGCAGGAGGGCTCGAACTCTGACAAGCATGCCGCCGACGACATCCTCCAGGCGCAGCAACTTGCCAGCCAATGGCAGGAAGGCACCGATGCCGAGAAGAAGCTGGTTCGCAAGCTCGACTGGAGGATCCTGCCCTGCTGTTGGGTCCTCTACTTGCTTGGCTTTCTGGACCGAGCCAATATTGGGTAAGTACCCCCGAACGTCTGTTGTATTGTTCTTGGTGTTGCAGCGTACTGGAAGCAACCCCATGTGGTGGCACGGCTAACGAATACGACCATACCAGCAACGCCAAATCCGGAGGCCTCGAGAAAGACTTTGGGCTCACTTCAGAGCAATATTCCATCATTGTCATGATGTTCTTCCTTTCCTATCTGGTTTGTGAGGTACCATCGAACATGATATTGACTAGAGTTCGGCCGAGCATCTTCTTACCTGGGCTTGGACTCGTATGGGGCACGTTTGCTGCTCTCATGGGCGCGACACACAACTGGCACCAGCTTGCCGGGATGAGGTTCCTTCTTGGCGTTGCCGAGGCCGGGTTTGCGCCCGGGTGTGCTTTCTTCCTGTCGACTTGGTACCGCCGGTACGAGCTGGCGACTCGCTTCTCCCTGCTCTACACCTCAGTCCCCATTGCTGGTGCGGTCTCTGGGCTGCTCGCGGGGGTCATCACACAATACATGGAAGGTGCTGGTGGCATTGCTGGCTGGCGCTGGCTCTTTGTGAGTGGTCTCGCTGCATCCCCTCTTTCATTACCATGAGTGTACGCCCCGCTGACACTTCTTCATTGGGATAGATCATAGAAGGCCTGGCCTCTGTTGTCGCAGCGGTGTGCATCTTCTTCCTCATGCCCGACTACCCCTCCAACAGCAAGCGCTTCCTGAACGAGGAGGAGGCGATCCTGGCGTGCAACCGCCTCGCCGTGGACGGAATCGCCCTCGCTCAGGGCGCTTCGACCAAGAAGCTCGGCCACTGGGAGGCCTTTGTCATGACATGCAAGGACTGGCGTGTTTGGGCACAGTGCATCATGTTTGTGCTCGTCACGGGCTCGCAGACGATGCAGTACTTCATCCCTACGCTCGTCAACAGCTTCGGATGGAAGGGCTATGTTGGGCAGTGTACGTATCGCTCTCGCTCGGGTCCATGCCCATAGCAGATTGCTAACGTTCATCAGACTACACGATTCCCGCGTACATGGCCGCCCTGTGCTACGTCGTGGGCTGTGGCTACCTCGCCGACCGCTTCAAGACCAAGTGGCCCTTCATCACTGCCCTCTCCGCCATCGGCACTCTCTTGTTTATCGGCGTCATCGTGGCCTCCGGCACGGGCGACCGCGTCGCACAATACGTCCTTACAGTCTTTGCTTTTGGCACCATCTACGGCTGCTCGCCCCTGGTCAAGACGTGGCTCGCCGACGTGATCCCCCAGCCCGCGGAGAAGCGCGCCATCGCGATCGCGCTCATCAACTCGATCGGCAACGCGTCGAGCATCTACTCGACGTGGCTGTGGCCCAGCACCGACGCGCCGCGGTACATTCCTGGTTTCGCGACGACCACGACGTGGCTCGGGGTCCTGTGCGCGCTGAGCGTGGGCTTCGCGGTGCTGTTCAGGAAGTTCCCGACCGAGAGGAGCGATCATACGCAGACGATGGCGGGGGAGATTCGGGCGCAGAGGGAGGCGGCGAATGCGTCGAGTCGGGCGTGAGGAACTTTTCGTGTCCAAGGACTAGGGGGCTGCTGGATGGACGGATGGATAATTCTGACCGACGATAGTGAATGCGAGTCTTCGGGGCTTCCCCATGCAATCATGACCAACCACGCCGAGTCCCTCCCTGCATGTGTACGTGTGATGCAGCCGAGTTAGAAGGCGCAGAGGGTCAGAGGGTCAGAGGTCTAGAGGGTTAGATGCCCAGAGGGTCAGAGCCAGTTGCCTCGAAGCTACATCCCCCAACCTTCCAGAGTTGACACCGCATTTCAGAGGTTTGGATCAGGCTGCATAATTGGTGGAACTTGGACGGCCTCGCATCAGAGCTGAGAACCTAAACGATAGACTAACTCCAAGAATTCCACGGAGTGGCATTTAATGATATGGCAATTCAGAGTCATGTCGTCCTCGTGAAGGACGGTCATTTGTCTCATTGGTGGCAACTGAGACAATGTACTGAAAGCCAAGCATTGAGGCTTGCTTGCTTGTTACGCCACAGGCTTCCTGGGCATGACTGCTGCGGCTCAACGAATATCCTTGCGGCACCCGGCTTGGCCGGCACTCGAACTACGCGAGTGCTGTGCCGTGCCCGGGCTGCCCTAGAACCCCCGGGCCCCCTGGCAATTTCAGCCCAGGCACATGCGCATGGCGCAGGTGGACCCAGACTTCGCAAGGTCAAGTGCCCCAGTTTCTGGGACAAGGAAACAAAAGACATGCCCGGAAATGCTGTGCTCTCAGCCTCATGCTCCCCCACGTTATTCCCGTCGCCTCGGACGAGGATTTCCCTCCTATCAGAAACCCATTCGAGATCGAATGCGTAGCTTGGGCTGAGAAGCCACATGGCTAGGGCCCGAGCTACTCAGTCATGAGCTGCGGGATGTGCGTCAGCTCGCACGCAGCCCCATGGGCAGGCACCGATCTAGACGCGGGGATAATTGCCTGCGCCGCATGAGGATGCGGAGAATCCCGACAAGACACGCGAGACGGGGCCAATGCATGCCTGCTCCAACACGGCGGACCACGCATGTTCCCCCACAGCGCGCATCAAATCACACGACTGCATCGACCACTTCCCCAACCCGACCCTTGCTTTCAGCCATCCAGGCTAGTTGGACTGCTAAGGTTTGGGGAAACCGGCGGGTCCGTTAGTCAGGGAAATGATGGAGGAGGGAGGGATTCGCCTCCCTTTGTGGGGATTTCGTCAGCCCATCCAGCAATTGTCTTGACTCGCCGGGAGGGAAAAGTGGGAATTACGTCGCGGCCGGTCTAGACAGCAACTGATGGGTCCCCCGTCCGGGGAAAATTGCAGCGCTATCATCATGGGGAGACAGGGCCCATCCCAGCACGATAACTGAGAGATAGGCGCGATGGGGCACAAGTGGCCGAGGCAGGTGACCGGGAGATATCGGTGACGGGCGCTCAGGGCCCTTTGATCGACCAAGCTTTATAGCCCAGCCGCCGCCCTCAAGCCCCCTTTCTTGTCCCGCATGTTGGCTGGTCTCTTGTGTGGCACGCTTTCCTGGTCAATTGGGTCTTACAAAGCAAGAACCAGCTACCCTCAAAAACCTTAGCCTGTCAGCAACCCTATACACCTTTGCAGTGCGTCATACAACAACCAAACAACATGGCTGCCAAAGCCGACGATACCATCGACCATGTCGAGGCGGCAGCATCTGCGCCCGAGGTCGTTGCGCCTGCGACGACCAACGACATTGAGAAGCAGCGCAAGATCCCCAAGAGCGCGGCCGAGCTCCAGGCCGACAAGGCGGCCGAGTTCCTCAAGCAGATGGGCCACACAGTAGTCCTGACGCCCGAGGACAACCGTCGCGTGCTGAGCAAGATCGACTGGCGCATCCTGCCCATCATTCTGTTCGTATACTGCCTGCAGTCGCTCGACAAGACCTCTCTGTCGTACGCCTCCGTCTTTGGGCTCGTCGCGGACACCGGCCTCGTCGGCGACCAGTACTCATGGCTCGGGTCCGTCGTGTACCTCGCGCAGCTCTTCTGCCAGCCCCTCGTCGCGTACAGTCTGGTTCGCTTCCCCATTGGCAAGTTCTGTGCCGTCATGGTGCTTTGCTGGGGCGCCGTGCTGTGCTTCATGGCCGCCGCGCACAACTTTGCTGGGCTCATGGCAACCAGACTGCTGCTTGGCATGTTCGAGTCATCTGTCGGTACGTTTGTTCCCACGGAGACCGGTGTAGAGTGAAGGGCCTAGCTGACAGTCGTGTACAGCCCCCACCTTTGTTGCTGTCGTGCAGATGTGGTATCGCCGCAGAGAGCAGACCAAGCGCAATGCCGCGTGGTACGCTATGCTTGGTGTCGTCAACATTGTGCGTATTGCCGAACTATGAGTACCGTTCTGGGACACAAACTGACTCAGATGGGGGTTCACAGCTCGGAAGTTTATTGACCTATGGCCTGGGCCACATCAAGTCCGACGTGCTCAAGCCGTACCAGATCATCTTCCTCTTCTGCGGTCTTCTCACTGTGGTGTTCTCCATTGTCATCTTGTAAGCACAAACATGCTCAAAACATCTGTCACGTCTTTATCGATACTGACAGCCTCATCACTCGCAGCCTCTTTATGCCCGACTCGCCGATTGAAGCAAAGTTCCTCAATGACGAGGATAAGCTCGTCGCCCTGGAGCGCCTGCGCATGAACCAGATGGGCATGGGCTCCGGCGTGTTCAAGTGGGACCACGTCCGCGAGGCCATGCTCGACCTCAAGACCTGGATCTGGTTCTTGCTCATGTTCATCATCTCGATCCCCTCTGGCGGCATCTCGACTTTTGGACCTCTGATCGTCCAGTCCTTCGGCTTCGACTCGTTTACCACCATCCTCTTCAACATTCCCTTTGGCGCGATCCAGATGATCGCCACCCTCGGAGGCGCCTTTCTCGCCGACAAGATCAAGATGAAGTCGCCCGTCTTGCTTCTCCTGTGTCTTCCGCCCATCGCCGGCTGCGCTATGCTCATCGCCTTCGGCCGGAGCCCGTCCGACCGCGGCCCCCTGCTTGCTGCATACTATATCCTGTCGTTTTACCCCGGAATTTCCCCACTAATCTATAGTTGGTCAGGGCAGTGCACTGGTAATTCTCCCCTTTTTCATTATTATAGAAGCTCACGATGTCGTGGAATGGTGTTGCGAAAGGCTCGTGGTGTTGTTGAGGCTCCCACTGCACAGTATATCGATGCCGTACGGTACGGTGCTGCACAGTGGGTCTTATCGACCTTATCTAGTCCCAAGTGGGGCTTGATATCTGCAGAGTGGGGCCTACACCCAGTCTCTCGGGTCGTCAATCACACCCAGTCCGCCGGTGCAACCAGACCCAGCCTGTCGGGCACATCCTTCCAGACCACCCATTTCAGACTGCACCGAACGCTTGACTAACATGGACACTTCCTCCAACAGGTGGCGACACGAAGCGCAAGGTTACCACAGCCATGCTCTTCATCGGCTCCAACGCCGGCAACGTCATCGGACCCCTGTTGTTCCGCACCGACGAGAAGCCCCGCTACGACCGCGGCCTACGCGCGTCCTTGGGTCTTTTCGTCGCGCTCGCTGTCGTCACCATTGCGGGCATGCTCTGGATTCGTATCTTGAACGGACGACAGGCCGCCAAGCGTGTCGCGATGGGCAAGTCTGCGGTTATTCAGGATCTGAGTATGGCGGATTCCAAGCAAGTTGCCGATGGTGAGGGTCCGGCCATGCTGAACCAGGTTGCCGACGAGCATGTCGGTGAGCATGGGTTGGACGACATCACGGATCTCCAGAACGAGGATTTCATCTATGTTTATTAGATGGTGGTTCTGTGGGATTGCCGAGGGAAGGAGTTTGTTGCCGGGGAGGGCCCATTGCTCCTCGCTGTAGCGTGTTCTTCATCTCTGGGTGATGCAGCGAGAAGCAGTATCCCTCTGGATCCAGCATGACTTGACGTCGTAAATATTCGCAGTTGTTCATATAGTTCCTGCACCTTGCGAGACTTGTGCGTACTAAGCCTCTAGGTTACAAGGACAGAATCAATGGAGATGCGCAAGAAATCATGGAAAAATTGCGAAAGCAATCGACATGCTTTGCGAAAAAAGCGATCAACTTGGCTCATCGTTCTCATGTGCGTAACCCTCTTGCTGCACCTCTGCACCTCTGCACCACTGCAGTCTCTGCAGTCTCTGATCGTAAAGATGGGCTGAGCATGAATAAGTCTGTATCAAAAGTGCCTCATTCAGCAACTTGGTGCTGTTTGAGTATACAACTTTGGTGAGGTCTAAGTAGTGCTCAGAGACGATCCGGCGCGGAAGCGTTTGCGTCGGAACTTCGGATGTGCAGACCGGAGGCCCCACCTGAGAAAAGGCAGGTGCGGACGGGACCAGGGGTAAGCGCCGTGCCTTCCATCGGCTCCGGCCCTTTTGTTCCACCTCGTCCGACATCGCGCTCCCGGCCGGACGGGCTTTTCTCTGGCCTACAAAGTGGTCACGTCGTAACCCCTGGACATACGGGCTTCTCTCGACCTAAGTCTCTCCTCATCGATCATACAATACCCACCTCCATTTACTGCTGCTCATAGACCTCGACGCACCCGCTGATACCCCGCCCCCACCTCGCCTTTCGTCGCATCATCGTCGCCTTCACTAGACCACCACCTCCACAGCCATGGATGTCGCCGCCAGCGTGCAGCGCCTGCGCAGCGGCAAGTCGGCCGAGTTCCCTGCCGAGGCCACGACGCTCGCGTTCGCCCAGTCTCTCGATGCCCAGGACGTCATCGGCCACCTTCGCAACGAGTTCATCATCCCCACAAGGAAGTCGATGAAGAAGACGGCCCTGGACGGCACAATACCAGGACAGAAGGCCACCGCCGCCTCCTCAGAAACAACAAACGGCACCACCAAAGAGGAGGACCAGGAAATCATCTACTTTGTCGGCAACTCGCTGGGTGCCCAGCCCAAGGCGGTCCGCGAATATGTCCACGCCCAGCTCGAGACGTGGTGCTCCATTGGCGTCAACGGCCACTTCCGCACCCTCGACAACTCGCCCCTCACCAGCTGGCTCACCATGGCCGAGGACTGCTCCCGCAAGTTCGCCCCCATCGTCGGCGCCAGCCCAGACGAGATTGTCACCATGAACTCGCTCACCATGAACCTCCACCTCATGATGGCCAGCTTCTACAAGCCCACCCCCAAGCGCCACAAGATCATCCTCGAGTGGAAGCCGTTCCCCTCCGATCACTACGCCATCGAGTCCCAGATCACCTGGCACGGGCTCGACCCCAAAAAGTCCATGGTCCAGCTAACCCCGGACAACGCGAACTTCTACATCTCCACCGACCAGATCCTCGCCGCCATCGACGAGCACGCCGAGGAGACGGCTCTGCTCCTCCTCCCGGGCATCCAGTACTGGTCCGGCCAGCTCTTCGACATCCCCCGCATCACCGCCCACGCCCAGTCCCTCGGTATCGTCGTCGGCTGGGATCTTGCGCACGGCGCCGGCAACGTTGAGCTCTCCCTGCACGACTGGAACGTCGACTTTGCCTGCTGGTGCACATACAAGTACCTGAACGCCGGTCCCGGCGCGATTGCCGGCGCCTTCATCCACGAGCGCCACGGCCGCGTGACCTTTGACGAGTCCACGGGCGCCCCGATCTTCCGGCCGCGCCTGACGGGCTGGTACGGTGGCGACCTGTCGGTGCGGTTCAACATGGACAACAAGTTCCTCCCCACGCCCGGCGCGAGCGGGTACCAGTGCGCGAACCCCTCGGCGATCGACATGGCCGCGCTGTCGGGCGCGCTGTCGGTGTTTGAGAAGACGGATATGAAGACGCTGCGCGACAAGGCGGTGCTCATCACCGCATATGCGGAGTACCTGCTGGACGACATGGTGGCCAGCGAGAAGCGCGACACGCCGTCGTTCCGGATCATCACGCCGCACGACCCCAGGGAGCGCGGCACCCAGCTGAGCGTGCTGCTCCGCGAGGGCCTGCTGGACCGGGTGCAGGCCAACCTCGAGGAGGCGGGCATCGTGTGTGACAAGCGCAAGCCTGACGTGATCCGGGTCGCGCCCGTGTCCATGTACACGCGGTACGTGGACGTGTGGCGGTTCATGGAGACGTTGCGCAAGACGTTGGATGAGGAGGAGACGCAGTGATGGACGTAGAGTAGATGATTGAGAAATAGACATTTGTACATGAATAATATGACTAAGACATATATGGGCGTAACTCTGGCTGGTGAGCTACGGGGTGCTTGCGCATGGGCTTGCTTATCGAACAATATTTGATTTACCCTTGACATCTGCGACGTCTCGGCACATGTCACTCAGCCGTAAACACATCAAACCCCACGCTTAGGACCTCAAGCATATTGCCCCACGGATCCCTCACATAGGCCGCCTTGATCCCTCGCTTGGGATCCGCGGTCACAATCTCCCCCTGCAACTTCCCGCCCGCCTGCACAATCTTCTCCACGCGCCCTTCGACGTCCTCGTCGGTAACACAGACATGGAAAATCCCCTGCTTCTCGTAAGCGAACTCATACCCGTCGCCGTCCCCGTCGCTTCCCGTCCCCTGGTGCAGATGATTTTGTTGATGATGAGCAGGCTCGAACCGCGGCCTCACAAACTCGAAAATCTCAAAGCCGACGCCGTTCCCGGCGAGCAGCAGCGCCACTTTGGCCTCGTGCAGCCGGGCGCCGTAGATGCGGAACAGGTTCGCGTCGGGCGTCTCCTCGCGCTTGACGTGCCGGATCGGCTTGGCCAGGCGGAAGCCCAGGACGGACGTGTACCATGCCGTGACGACCTCGACGTCGTGCACGGACAGGGCGATGTGGTTCAGCGCGAGGTTGGGGGGCATTGTCGGATTTTCGGAGGGGAGCGGCCAGGGATTAATTGTGCTTCTCGATGGTGTTGCTCTTTGCAGTTCTCCTAGTTGGACTTTATTTCCCAGTAGACTCGAAGTGTGACGATCTCTTGTTTCGGCTTGTAGTTGTTCAAGCTCGTCCTGCACTGTTGCGCTGGGCAAGTGGAATGCGTGTCATGAGATTGGGATAGCTGAAGGCGTAGTAATCTGCGGCACGTCAAAGTGAATCCTTGTCAAGTTAATATAGTTACCCCAGGAAAACGAGGGGAACTAGGGGGCCTCAATGGATAAAGTTAGCCAGCCTGGAAGTACGTTCTTCCGGCGTGAGGCTGAACTCGGCTCCTTGGGACTCAGGATCCATTCTTCTGTAGAACCATGCGCGCAATATGTGCATCCTCCTGGAGTACAATGAAAAGCCTCAACAAGCCCACGGAACCCTGGTGAAGAAAGCAGCCACCGGTTTACCTGCTTCATCATGCCACAAAATCAAGCCGGCATGGTCTCGGACTCCAAGCATCTGATCCTGTTCGCTCCTACCGCCCGACCTGCTCGGTACCGGTTGTTCTACTCGCCTTCTACATGAATGTCTTTATTTAGTCATCAACTCCGCTGTACTAACACCAGACTGCGAGTTGTTTGGCATCGCAGCATTTTCGACCACCACAACTCCTCTGGCCTCAGCCCTGCTAATCCTCCTCTTCCTCGAGAAACGGCACCAGCACCACGTACAGCAGCCCGCGATCAGAAGGAACATGCAGATCGGGAAGATGATGACGAAGTACAACAGCCCATTTTCACCGCCGCAGCAACCATCATATGGCTGGTAGCAGGGCTCCATGGCAGCGAGGGCGCTATCCGTTGGCAGGCCTGGCGCCCAGCTCCTCAGCGCGGTGGTGGTGCAGAGACCCAGCGGGGGAGGCGACGGGCTGAGCTTGGAAACGTCAGACTGCATCCATTGAATCTCCCATGCTTTGTGGAGGTGGACCTGGTCGAAATTGGTAATGGTGTATGTGGAGAGCGCGTCCTCGTTGTACCCGCGCGTGGTGGCAGTCAGGTAAACTGTGCCCCGGCCGCCCGAGACGCAGTCGTAGGTTTCGCCTTCGACCTGATCGTACTTCGCACTATTTGGTGTGAATCCTCTGTGGTCGCAGGATAGCCGGTGGGGGATCACCCGCCGAGGCCCACGTTAGCATGGGGGAAATATTGTGAGCTTTGGGGAGGTGCTGCTAAAACATGATGATGCGTCGTTCTATGGCCAATAACTTACCCCGCGCAGCATCTCCCCCAATAGAGGTTTTGCGGGTCATTGCTTCCGCCCACCATCGCCGGGCCCATCCACCACGCCGTCCAACTGCTCGGGCAGACGGCGGGGCTGTATATTTCGCCATCGCCTTCACATGTCCCGCTCGAGTCGGACAGATATAGTGTCACCTGCGTGGTTGTTGGGGGGGCTTTGTAATCCGGCGAAATGGTCTGCATGACAGTGGTGGTGATGAAACGGCCGGTGCATTTGCTAGGCTTGACGTAAGGCGTCGTCATCGCGCGGACCGTTCTGGACGACGAGGGGCTGCCAACGGTGGTTGACATTTGGTCCAGGCTGGAAGGGAACTCGGTCGTGGAGGACGCCTGTACTGACGTGGGCGAGGCTGGAGAGGTGACGGCAGTTGCGCTCGCGCTCGACTCGCTGGCCACCATGCTGCCTGAGCGCTGTGCGTGCTTGTAAGGATGCATCATGGCACTGTTGATGGTGCACGAAAAGGGACCGGCCGATTGTGCCAGATTCCCTCTGTGGTCAAGCACCGGACGATTTGCGATGTTGACTAGTGCTTAACGAGCAAAGCTAACGTAGTGCTGAGGACTTGTGATGTTCAATCTGTCTCGCGATGAAGGCCTGTCGACGAGGATGACCCTGTGGGCCATGGGGAATGGGGAAATGAGAAGTGTGTTGGTTTGTATTTTGCGCGTCCTTTATCGTGGCTATCCTATGCCATGCCGTCTGGCCAGCAGAAGAGCAAGGGGGCAGGGGTGTTGCTGGTTCTCCCCTGCCTAGTTCCCATACAGTAGCTTGACCTGCTCACTGCGACCGAAAGCAACTAGGGTTCGGCAGGGACAGAACAGGTACCGCGTCTTCCCTAGCAGATGGTAGGATCAAGAGCGGGCCATCAGGAGGGCCTCGGCTTGGCAAAACTGCTTAGCTGATTGCTTGTCCATTGCTTGTTTCGTTGAGCCTTCCACTTTCCTTCAACGCAATCTCCGTTTTCCCGGACCTCAACATCCGCCCGGCAGGGGTAGGCTGGATGCCTAGAGTTCTGACAAGTAGCGGCGCTCCCTCGCCTAGCTCGATAGCATCAAGAGCCCCTGTCCAAACCTGGCCCTCGTAGCGAACATGATGGCACCTGGATCGACACCATCCCCATGTGCAACTACATGGACCGTGACAGCGGCCACGGTTGCGTGTTACCCATCCTGGACTCCGGGGCCGTTGGCGACGACAACGGGCTCGAGAAAGAATGCACTTTATCGAGCATCTATTCGACCGTGAACTTCCTCCGGCACGACGTGCAGCTTTAGAAGTCCATCACCGGAGAGGTGGCGGCGTACCAGCTCACCACCTTCCAGAACAAGCCGCGGGACTGCACAAGAAAGGCGGACGTCGATAATACTATCGAGGACGACCACTCTATTAAATAGTGGGACACGACCCTGGCCAGGCCCGGGCGAGTCCTCGTCTACTCGGAGTACTCAGACCGTTGCTAACCAGGAGACCGATCCGGCTCTATACCACATAGGCATGAGCGGCAGTGGCCTATACCACTTCCCGACAGTCACCGAGGTCCATGCTAGAAGTCGGCTCCCGGTCGATCAAGATACATTCTTCTGAACAACCATGCATGCAAAGGGTGCACCCTCCAAAAACAGGCAATCGTCAATCCAGAGAAGGCGGCTACCAGTCAAATATAGCACTTATCGTAACAAGTGACCGAGAGAAATGCTGCAGCATAGCAGACAGTATGCACAGCAGACAGTATGCACAGCATAGCCTGTCTGCTCAAGTGTCAGCACTAAGCCAGACCTTGTCTCGCCCCACTGCATAAGCAGGCAACAGTATAAATCACGGTTCCATCCCTGACCCCTGAACTACACTTTCCAGTCGGTCTTGCTCTGTGGGGCCATTCTAGGCGGAGGCGGGTTGACTTCTATCCGCTTGAATGAGGCACCATCAACATCAAAGAATCTCGCGCTTTGCACATCGGGACTCCCTATCGTGTTAGCAGCGGAGACTCACGAGAACACCCTTTTGACAGCTCGTAACAGAGCCTGGCCCTCACAGCTACACCGCTTGGGTCTCCTGCGCACCCGCAGCGATTACCACCGCTCGTCAGCTGGCATTTTTCTCACAGACAAGAACCCAGAGCCATGGCATCCTCCGCCACAATAACACCACCAGCACAGGGGGGTGACCTCCCACTCGCGAAGCTCACTCTCCCCGACGACCAGATCTTCACCCTCCCGGACAACCGCGGGACCCTAAGCTACATCGTCTTCGGCGACGCTTCGGCCTCTCCGCACCGGACAGCCTTCTTCAACCACGGCACGCCCGGCTCGGGCCTGGAGGCCGCAGGGTTCGACAAGCTCTGCAAGGCCCGGCGCATCCGCGTCATCGGCGTCGACCGGCCGGGCATGGGCCGGTCGTCGTTCCAGCCTGGCACCGGTGGCGGCGGCAACAACACCAGCAGACGCATCGCCGATTGGCCCGCCGACATCCTCGCGCTGGCCGACCACCTGGCGATCCCGTCCTTTGCCATGATCGGCATCTCCGGCGGCGGGCCGTATACCTACGCGTGCCTGGCCGAGCTGCCGCGCTCGAGACTCGTCGGCGCGTGCATCGTGGCCTCGGCATATCCGGCCCACTTGGGGTTCGAGGGGATGATGCTGCAGAACAAGATCGTCTTCACAGTGTCTTCATGGAGCCCGTGGGTCGTGGAGAAGCTGTTTGACTTTGCGATCGGGCGGGTCGCGCGGGACACGGCGCACCCGGAGCGGCTGGCCAAAATGCTGGGCGACGGGTTCAACGTCAAGGCGGACAAGGAGGCGTGGCAGACGGGCGGGCGGGCCAAGACGGAGGCCGGCGTGGACCCCGCGGAGTTCCGTGCGTTCATGGTGGAGGATGTGCGCAGGGCAGTGATGGGAGGTTGTAGAGGCGGCGCGTGGGACATTTATGCCATCACGACGGACTGGGGGTTCAAGCTGGAGGATGTTGCGGACAAGGTGCAGGCACTGGCAGGGACGGACGAGGACAAGAAGAAGCTGGTCGTCTGGCATGGGGCGCAGGACGTCAATTGCCCCGTCGGCTGGGCTCTGAAGGTCAAGGAGGTTATTAGGGACGCAGACTGGAGGATCTCGGAAGCTGATGCTCATTTTAGCGTCACGGTCAACCATCTCGCTGATGTGGTGGAGGTCCTTGATAGAATGCTGGCAGAATGAGAGGTCTGGCGACGAGATGTAACGATACCAATGATAGACGAGGCTCCCTGGCGTCCCATTATCTCTAGGAAGCAAGGAAGGGAATGGTGTAAAAGCTGTATGAGGTAGACAAAGATGAGCAAAGTGTGTGAAAAGATGAGGTTTTCGAACAACAAGTTTCCACGATGCAACCTGGGGGGTTTCGGTCTGTAAACAGACAAGAAGAGACGAGAGGCACAAACGCTCGCGCGACGACCCAGATGCTAACATTGTGAGCAGCCGCTCCGGCCGCTGCCGGCCTGGCGGCGTACATCCGGTCCAAGCCAAACGCCCGCGGAGGCACAAGCCCTCAGGCCATGTTTGATGAGATGCGGCGGCTGGCAATATTCTGGTGACATCGCATGCGCCCATCGTCTTCAACGGCGAGCCGGCCGCCAATATCTGCGCCCTTCTGGGCGGCACCCCAAGACCAAATCCCAGGCGCACCATTCTTGCAGGCCGCCAGGAGGCCGAGGCGGAGGATGAGGACGGTGGGAGCTGCCCGTTCCTGCCCATCTCCTTCCGGCCTGGCTCTCCCGCGCCGGTGTGCACGGCCAACTGCGGCAAGCTCTGGTCCGGCATCTACGGCAACCCGACGACCGTTCCGACGGTGCAGCCACCCGACTTCACCTCGCCGGTGCCGACTGCCACCGTCGACCCCAGCGCATTGCCGACCCTCAACCCCGTTCCCACGGGCGCCCCGATCCCCACAGACTGCGCATCCGTGTCGAGCTGGACCACCTGTACTCTGGGCGGCCCGCCGGGGGCATCGGCCTGTCAGACCTTCAGCACCTGTGTCTCCACCAGGCAGCCACCGGCCCCGGAGCCCACAAAGATGACGACGACAAAGACCCAGCCCGCCAACCCATGCGCGACACCGATCCGGGACAGCCCCGAGTGCCTGGGCGGCGACTACTACAGGTGCGTCCAGGCGCCCAACGTGTCGTGCGGCCTGCAGTGCGCGGGCAGCAACAAGCTCCAGCAGGCGCAGTGCACGTCGCAGTGCATCACCAAGGCCGGCTCCGACTGTGCCAGGTACTGCGCGGACAAGGTCGGCTGCGACACGTGTATCGCGTCGTACAATCATTTCCTGGGCGGCGACGAGGCCGGCGCTCGCCTGATCCGTAGCAGGAAAGGTATGTCGCGTGGTGACAGGATTCTGGGATACTCCAACGCCATGCATGAGGAGCACCTTCAGCTAACGAACCTTGTAGGAACGCCAAACTACTTCTGCGGATGTGATCCAATCTAGACAACGGATCAGCTTGGTCTCGCCATCCTGCTGTGCTTCCTCCTGGCGCCGGAACAGGAAGATTATTTATCGATCATACCAAAGCACGGCGATCTTGTTTCAATGTTAGACGTCTGTGCATGAGACCGTCGCGCCCAGCCTTGTTTCGTGATCTCTACGAGTACCCACCCCCCCACTACATCCAAGGTCCATTACATGTCGGCCACGCCGATGTCGTTCAAAGTACCCAGCCATTTCTTGGTTTCTTGATCTCATGCGTATTCAATAAAATTCGGGGCATCAATTGGGCCACCTCCCGTTGTGATGGAGGGAATATATGTAGTTCGTTCTTCTCGGCCCCACAGTCCCCGACGTCCAACCCGCAACAGGTACTCCAAGGGCTCAATGCAGACTGGACAACGAGCAGAAGCAACCAGTGCGGCCCATGATCCTCCAAAAATAGATTATCCCATAAATAGTATGCGCATTGTCCGCTACGCTTTACATGGCCGAGATGGAAGGCGACAATCCTCTCCTCGGAGATGCGGTGAGCCTCATCCTGAACCACGCCGAAAGAGTCTTGTCTCGATATGTGGCAAGGCAAGATGGGGCGGACAAGCGGGAACACGGGGAGGACACCGAAAGTTCGTTCAGCTGCTGCCCGAGGCGGGCGCCTACATTAACGCGCATGGCGCCCGACACGGCAATGCGCTGCAGGCCGCTTTAGCGCAAGGACATCAAGCAATTGTTCTACTGCGCCGAAAGAACGGCGCCGGTGGACGCGAAGAAGCCCATCAAACAAAAATGATTATTAAGCCTGAGTCAGGACCTATGTTTCAGGCTCCTGAGCCAAATCTTGCTGACGCTCGGATGCGCACCTGTTGCAGCGGCCGCTGATTTTCCTGCTGTGAGTGGCAGCGAAGCTTTCGCTTTTCCGGAATTCCGATATTTAGGTGGATCCCGCGCTTCGCTTTAAGAAGAATATCCGTTTATACACTGTGAAGTGCCGCGCCTACCACGTTTTGATTCTCAAGGGACAATATTAATTTGAAATGGTGCTTGTATATAAGCCCCAGAAGCATGTCGCTGTACCCCGTCGGCACCAAAACTAAAGCTGCAAACTGCTAAGCTGCTTCCGTTGCTGATTCTCGCTTTTTTTTCTCTTTCAACCCGAACTATTCTTCAATTTGGACTCTTCTTCAACCCGAATCATTCAGTACCCTACCATAGCACGTGCACCCGTCCCCGGAAACATGACTACCCAACGAGTCGACGTTCACCACCATTTTGTCCCGGAGTTTTATGCACAAGGTGCGTGGAAGGCGGTTTGCATCCGTTTTTCTGTGAAAGGGCTGACCTTGCCGTAGCTTTACAAGCTAAAGGCGGTGACCCCTCGGGATGGGTGACCCCGGACTGGAGCCTGGAGAAGGACCTGTCATTCAATGACCAGCATCGCATATCATTCGCCTTTCTCACCATCACTGCTCCCGGTCCTACTATTCTCCCCCTCGCCGAACAGGTTGGCTTTTGTCAACAAGCCAACAAAACGGCCGCCGAGATCCGCGCGGCCCAGCCAGCCCGCTACGGCTTTTTCGCCTCTATTCCGTCTCTGCTTGACCCTGAGTCTGCCCATAAAGAGATCATCCACGCGCTGGATGAGTTGCAGGCTGACGGCATCATCTTGTACACCCGCTACGGATCGGACAACCATTACCTAGGCCACTCGGATTTCCGGGCCACCTGGGACCTGCTCAACAAACGCGGCGCTATCGTGTTCATTCACCCAACGCACCCGGTCGATACCCAATGGGCCAGCCCCTCGCTCCCGCAGCCAATAATTGACTATCCTCATGAGACTACTCGTACAGCCGTCGACCTTATTGTCTCCGGCATCATGCATGACTATACCGACTTGAAGATCATCCTCTCTCACGCCGGTGGCACCTTGCCCTATCTGGCGCTGCGTCCAGCCACGGTACTGCCGTATCTTCCATCTCCGACTGCGCCCGTTCCAGCAGAGGGTCAGTCGGGCCGCGACCTTACGAACCAGTTCATGGAGGACGCCAAGCGGTTCTACTTTGACACAGCATTATCGGCGGGGTCCCATACTCTGTCTCTGTTGAGAGAGTTCGCGAAGCCGGATCACGTGCTTTTTGGTAGCGATTTCCCTTATGCGCCGACGCCCGCTATCGCAGATATGAACGCGAGACTGGACAGCTACGGCGCAGAACACGAGGCATTTGTCCAGTCCATTGGATCTGGGGCTGCATTGAAGTTGTTCCCTCGTTTGAGCAAGGTCCTATCGAACGATCACCATGCTTAGCTCCCAATGGATCGCTTTGCAACTACGTCGCCAGCATGGTCGTTGTCTACAGTTACTTCTGCATCTGCGGCGTGCTAGTGCTCGGTGATGACCATGAACAGCCTCCTCTCAAACGATGATTTGGCACCATGCTAATTCCAGCAGATGCATGGCTCGGGGCGCATTTGGTTGGTCAACAAACACGTGCATCGTGATGCATCGTGCCATTGCTCCGCTGGTGTTGTCGGGCCGCTTTTCCTTGCTGCCATGGATTCCATCATAGTCCTGGGAAGTGTGATCGGGTGTATACTATCCTGAAGTCGGTACTCGCACGTGTTAGATAGTCACATCGATCTCCAAAGAAGAGGGTTCCCTATAGTTTTAATTAGTTTAACGCGTTACTGTTGATTTCTTTTATGCATTATTGTGCGAGTGCTCGCAAAGAGGCCCACTCATTTGTGGATTACCCGAGGAACTATCAGCACAGTTTATGATAATACTCTAGCTGCGATCGAAGTTATTTCTGCGTGCGCCTGCGCATAGCCCCGAGTATCCGTGTATGGGCAGGATGTGGTTATGCGATAGGGTGCATGGTGAGACAACAGCGGCCAGGACATAGGCGACGTCAAAAGTCATTATGGCGCCTGCGCATCGGAGTGTCCCAATCTTCACACATTGCATTTGCCGGGTGATGTCTCAAGTGGAGTACGGACAAGAACCTCTTAAGATTATTATAAGTACATCATCGAATGAACGACTGTTCCGTAGTCGAAGTCAAGTTGTCACGATCCTAATTCTGGTAGTCAGGTAGAATCGGGAATGCTGGGGTATGTTCGTTGGTGAAGGCAAGGTGCCACGTCTAAGCAATACTCTCGGTGTTATCGTCGTAATCTTAGGGTTTGTCGGTTGTGTGTCTCTTTGGGAGAAATCACTCATGCAAACAGGGGACGATAAGTCTCAAGTGTGCGTGTAGAAAAATACTTAGATTGATGGTTAAAGTATAAAGGCCATGACTGTCTATCTAGGGGATCCTCCTTCAACCATCCTGTTGTTCTTATGCCGACATCCCTGTCTCGTCAGCCCGCCTCCTCTGCGTCGCATGGCCGACTGGTGTGTGTCGGGAAGCCGACTGCCAAGGGTCGGCATCTGCTTGTGTGATGTGCTTGGCGGGACTCCCGCACACAGGTATTCCTCCGGTTGGTTTGGCCTGGTTACCTAAGGTGCTCTGCCATGTGCCCAGCTTGGCCCTCGATGAGTACATCAGCTGCTTCGTCATGCCTGCGCCCGATGGCCGCATGTTGGGTTGTTACATATAGGAACCGGAACCCCGGAGTATCCCGCCAACGTGCTGACCCTGCCCTTTCATCTAGCTGTGTCTCTCCATGCTAGATTTGCCGCCTGCTCAAGAAGCTCGCGGCTTCAAGACAGACACTTCGAAGCGAGGTCCAGAATTGCCGAAGCCATAAACGAAGGCATCCAAAAGCTCCTGGTCCTTGTTTGTCAGAGTGCCGTCGAGTGTAAAGTCGAATCGACTGGTCAAGAGCGCCAGCGCAATGGTCAACTCTGCGTGCGCGAGACTGTAAAAAAAACACAAATGTCAGTTACTCTTCATGTCAATGTGTCAAGCTTTGTTTCAAAATCCATCTGCTCACTTGACTCCTAGGCACTGTCTGGCACCCTTGGAGAAGGAAACCAGCCACTTATCCAGAGATTTTCCGTCTCCACCAAGCCACCGGGCTGGGTCAAACTCATGGGCATTTTCGCCCCAGATCTCCTTGTCCCGATGGACTGCGTATGCAGACATGCTGACGGTGGTCTGCATCAAGGACGATATATAAATTAGGCAATTGCTACACCGGCGTGAACGAATGGCTACACCGGCGTCACTCTTATACAGGCGTCGCTTTTACGGCCTTTGATTGGTCCATCCCTTTTTGTTAGTGCATTTAGATTCTGCCAACAGCGCCCGTTGTACCTCGGGCTTACCTCTCCACCGCAACGATCGACGCGCCTTATGGAAGCTCTTCACCAGCTAGCTACTACACTAATTACCTCTTTGCCGCATGTCGAGCCTACTTAGAATGATTTTCGCGAAAGATACGGTATTTGTTAAGGTCACAGGGCTGGAGTGAGGTGTGTTGGACCCCTGCTGAGACCAAAACTCGAACACAGGCTGTATCAGATCGCGCCAACAGCCTCATCTAGAATCGGCATCGCAAAGCAGGTCTTTACTTTCTGCCCGAAATGAGACCCTTCTTTCCTTCTTTCATAGTCGAATCAAGTACTCTTTTACTCATCTTCTCACCGTGCGTGCGACACTCCCTATCGCGATCGAGGCCGTCATGTCCCAGCCCGAGTCTCCATCTAGCTCCCTAAGCAACCAACGACGACGAAGCTATCAATTCCGGCCTCGAAAACGACAGCGGCAGGACCAATCTGATAGTTCAAGACCACCTTCCTCTAATAGCACAGGCACGAGCATTGGCCGACACTACGGCGTCGGCGACGATGAAGCACTCTATAATCTTTTCGCCTCATATCCAGAGACGTTGACGACCGCGCCACGGCCCCGTGGATCGCGCGGGCTGAACGAGCCACCATGGGGGCTACGATTCGATCAAGAGATTCACCTTTCGAACGATTTCCCATCCCAAGGAAGACGGTCCCAACGAGTTAGAATCCCTATACCAGGCCCAGAAACGGACCAACTACCTCGCTCCTCTCCACCGCAATCAGTACAAGAGCATCCCTCTCCCACCAAGGCCGAGTTTCATTCTGTTCTCAAGCTAGTACGCGAGGTGATTGGGACACACCGGAGACTAACCCTCGAGCTCGTCCGGTCATACGAACAAGTCCGCCAATGGCGTGAGAGATGGGGTTACTCGCCGCTTAGTTCAGATGCACTCGAATCACCTCCGCCCTACTCGCCTCCCCGAGACAGGCACTCTCCGACTATAGCTTCACCGCCCTTGCCCGACCTCTCGTCATCGCCTGTCCCTGACGGGATCCCGAACCCAGCTATCCCAGGCGACCCAGCGCCGTCAGCCGAAGTCCTGTTCGAGTGGGTGAATACTTTCGCGAAGGCTAATGGCTTCGGTATTGTTCGACGAAATGCACATTCATATAAGGGTCGGAGGATCCGGTACACTTTTCAATGCGATCGATTCGGAGAACCAGCCCCTAGTCAAGGCGCAGGACTTCGACGACGGAAGTCTCGAAAGTGTGGATGTAAATGGATGGTTGTTGCCGAGGCGTTAGAAGAGGGGAAGTGGCTCTTACGACAACACTCGAAGCCCGAACACAGCCAGCATAACCACGGCCGCAGCATCGGGCCATCTGCTCATCCCTCCCATCGGAGACTCACCGAGCCTATCAGGACAACGGTCGAATCGACAAGCCGTCGGGTCGGAATTCGGGCCCGTGACGTACGTGCTATCGTCCAGGAGCAGCATCCCGAATCATCCTTTACACGGAAAGACATCTATAACGCCAGATCTCGTATCAACCGAGACAAGCTGGATGGCCATACTCCTACTGCAGCACTGATCAAGCTGCTTGACGAGATGAAGGTTCCCTATCTCGTTAAGTGGGGAGACGATGAGCCAAACCGTCTTGTTGGCCTTGTCTGGACATTTCCTTACTGCCTCCAGATGTGGAAGCGGTTCCCCGAGGTGATCAGCTTCGACAACACATATAACACGAACCGCTTCAAGCTTCCCTTATTCCAAGCAACGGGACAGACATGCCTTGGCTCTGTCTATAACGCTGCCTTCGGTCTGATAGATAACGAGAGGAGAGAAGGGTTCCAATTCCTCTCCGAGAGCATTCGACAGCTAGCAGAGCAGCACTCCATCCGGCGACCGGATGTGATCGTCACCGATTTCGACGACCAGATGAAAGCCGCATTGAACGACCAGTTCCCCGATGTACAGCAGCAGCTGTGCATCCACCACATCAATTCGAACATCCTGCTTAAGTCAAAGCAGAGGTGGGTTAACGCCCGCAGCAGCAGCAGAAGTAGCCCTGGTACCAGCGACGGAGAGGCAACTACCCCGCAGCCACAAGCTCAACTAACCCCTCAAGACCGAGAGTTGGTTCACACGCCAATAACCGAGGCTATCCCTCATAACTATCGAGGAGTTCTCATCATGTGGAAGCTCGTCTTATTTGCTGAGACGGAGGAGGCCCACGACGAGGCATGGGCAAACCTCTGTAAGGAGTTTGATGACCAGCGAGCTATCCTGCGGTATCTCCATGGAACCTACATGCCCGTCAGGGCCCAATGGGCCCGCTGTTTCATCCGGAAGTATCGCAATTTCGGGGTCCGTGTCACCTCTGGTACAGAAGCAAGCAACAACAACATCAAGAGCTATCTTCTGAATGGTATGAGCAATCTTTATCGCCTTTTTGAGGCTATGCAGGACATGATGAAGGACCAAGAGCGGGATTTCAACGATGCCTGCGCAGCGGATGAGGTACTTACCGCACGAGAGTATATGGGGTCCAGCTCGGAGTATCTTGGCGAACTCCGAATAGCGCTCTCTTCGAAGGGTCTCGGACTGATCACGAAACAATATCGGCTGGCAAGGAAAGCAATGCCGACAGGAAAGAATCCGTTTCCTGACCCTCTCGGGGATTGCGGCGAGGAATGCTCGGTTTCGACCGAACTTGGAATCCCCTGCTGTCACACAATCTACTCAAAGCTGGGAAGTGGCACGCCTTTCACCAAATGGGAGGTCCATCCTCGGTGGCGCCTACGAGAGCCATCCTCTCGAGATCCATACCGACGAATCCTCGACCCTAAGATCGCCACTGCTCTCCGGGGCAGACCTAAGAACACCACGCAGGTTGTTCCAGCGCGGCTAGCCATCGGGGCAAGCAGCCAGCCCAGTAGCCAGCCAGCCAACAAACCAGCAAGCAAGTCACCACGGCGCAGACGTGGTCGACCACCGGGAAGTCTCAACAAGTCAACGCTAGCTAGGCCTCCACTGGAAGTGAGCCAACAGACCAGCAGCCAGGCTAGTAACCAGGCCAGTACCCCATCCCAGCGCCAAACGCGCAGCCGGTCAGTTGTTCTTGGAGCTGGAAGAACTACAGGAGTACGTGCCAGCGGGCGGCAGACGCAGCCTAGCATTCGTAGGCGAAGGAGTCAGTGGGAGCTGCTTGACAGCGACGAGGAGGTACTTCCCTCGATAGTAGTGAGAGGATAGCGATATGGAGAGCTGGCATCTAGAGCATACTTGAATTGGTCTTGTTCTGCAGATCTTGTTATGAGCTCGATTTAGACCTGGGTTGACCCTATTGGTTCTTTACCGAAGCTGAGGGACTTGTTAAGGGAGCTGGCTTCACCGCCTTTGCGCCGATGTACCTGTGGGTCGAAGGAAAAAAGAGCGAATCAGAGGCCATGGAAGTGACGCCTGTGTAAGAGTGACGCCGGTGTAGCCATTCGTTCACGCCGGTGTAGCAATTGCCATAAATTAGTTCCGCGTTCACTATAAATATAATAGACTACCGTCACAGGAGACGGCGCTACCAAGAAAATATAATTTGCTCAGAAGGACAAATGGCGAAGGGAGAGAGACGGGAGGAAAGAGCAATTAAATCGCATTGCAGGATAGGAAAAGGTTCACTAACCCCAGGAGGAATGATCTTGCCGTCAACGACGAAAGGCTTAGCTCCAGCACGCGCAGGTGGAACTATGCGAGGTAGGCGTCCAGGCACAGCATTGGCATAGCGTACCGCTTCCTTGATAGTCGCAGTCTATTTGGAGGGCATCTGCTTGTTAGCATACTAACTTCTCGTCCTTCCAAATGCTCTTGGTGCATCTCCCCGGAGGAATGGAGGCTTCAGATTCTATTGTTCCCGTCTCACCAACCGTCTGGTTGGTAGGACTCCTTGATTTTGGCGTGGAATGATATGTCGACAGTGCAAACTCACCAGATATGGAAGTCGCTCTAAAGCGAGCAAGTCAAAGTCCTGCTCCGTCAGGAGGTTTGCCTCGCGGATTTCCTTCTTCAGTGCGTTATACACAGGCGGACTTTTCAGCATTTGCAAGAAAGCGACGGTGAGTGTAGTGGCGGTAGTGTCAGAACCGGCAATAATGATGTTTTGGGCCTCAGCCACAAGATCAGTGTACTCAAGATCTTTGATTGCGTCAAAGACAACCATCCGTCGGTCACCAGCTGCGACGGTACCGATGGGCTCCTTGGTTTGGAAGTAATTGCGGAGGATGTTTATAATCAAGTAGGCGAATCGGGCGGCACGTCCATTGGCACCACCTACCGCTGCTTGAAATGAGAGTGGCGCCTTGGACATGACTTTCCGGAGGACCGGGAAATATATAAGCTCCCATGGGCCACTCAACATCACATCTAGGACCTTGAGAAAATTGGTCTCGAACCCTGGGCCCTCGGCTTCGTCCAGCTGGCCAAGGGATTCGCCGAATGAGACTTCTGATATAATATCTACTGTCGCGCATCTGTGAGATGGAAAGGATTGTCAAGAAGTTAGCGAACGCCACATTGGCAATGTGATCCGAGTTTCAATCATAGTGGGAGAGCGCGTGTGGTCAAGTATTTTCCGAGCCAGATGGAGTACGTGCTCGGGCTTGTGTTCCTCCGCAAAGTCACTAAAACTTACCTGATCGCGTTTGAAAATTGTAATGGTTTACCATCAGCATGTTCGCTGATCATCTCACAGAGCTTGTCGAGCTTGTCATAAATTAAGTGCTGGAAGCTGGAAATTGATGCCTTGGAAAAGAAGACCGAAAGTTTCTTGCGCCGGGCCCGGTGCAGCATTTTGTCTGGTTCCGTAGTGACGGAGTGTGGTAGGAGAAATCCGTCGTAAAAGGCAGAATCCTTCAAAAAGGCGTGATCTTGAGAATAGATGGTGTGGTATTGTGACGAGTCCAAAATGTGGATCTCATTGGGACCAATGCGAAGAAGGTTTGAGTCTGAAAAAGGTCAGCAACCAAGCTAGTATGTGTGGTGGTACACAGCTCAAAGCCCGGCATTTCTGTGCCCCTACCACGAAGTAGACCGATTATAGGTAAGGCTAGAAGGCAAGCTTGTGTGACTCAAAGGCACGCACAAGTGTAGTAGAATATAAACAAGACGTGGTCGAAGACGACGGACGGCATTTCAGATACCCGACGCACAAGCTCGGAAGTACCCAAAAGAGTTTGGATACAGAAAAGATGGTCACGTGCGTAAAGTCTCTCGCCTTGTAATTGAAGGTGAAGGGGGCAATGGGGAGTAAATCATTTTGAGGTCAATCGGGAAGTGCTACTTACTGTACTTGCGATGTAATTCTATAAATCTTTCAGGTGCATGACCAGCCTTACTCACGCTATAGAGCCACAAATTGGATAATGCAGCTCGACGGGGCCCTGGAATGCCTGCTAGCGGATGCAGGTAGAGCAAGTAAACGGCACGGAGCAAAACGGTTGCTCCCGTGCCCAGGAGGATGGTGTTCAAGGATGGCCATACAATGTCCCCCTGAACTGGAATGAGAGTCATGATGAGATCGTGAAAGACTTGTGGAGCCATGGCTGTAGCTGAAAGGGCCACTTTGGGTCGAGGTGCAGAAGATTATTCTGAACTGAAATAGAGCCAAGGATGACGGGAGGGATGTTGAGAAGAGGACTTTTGAGGAAATATGAGGAGGATTATACGAGGAAGATGCCTAGTCCCCGACGAGAAGAAGTTTTATAGTTGCGACGACCCAAGTCCTATACCAGTAAGTACAAGTGGTAGGATCGTATGGAGGTCTTCTTGGTCTCGGTAACACGGAGCTCGATAGTTGCGATGACGTACGTTGGAACTCCGCGAGCGGGATGCGGGGCCGGCGGGCGCGGCATACCGACACGGCGTACCGACACGGCCCACCGACACGGTTGTTCCCGCACAGTGGCACGACGCCCAGGAGATTCCCAAAGAGTTTGTTGTAGCCTCCATCCTTGTCACATGTAGACAGCAATGAGGCCCAGCCAACGTACTGACATGATACTTGATGGCCCCGACAGAAGCAGTGCTCAAATTGAGCATGTCCTAATGGATGGATCGTGGTGATGTTGGATAACATTCATGGCGACTGACGAATACGAATGATACAGAACAAGCCTGTCCCCATCCCCAGATTCCGCGAACATAACCGACTCCAAGGCACGGGACTCCAAATTGCTCGGTGCCTACGCGCGCAGAATAGAGCTAACTCCCGCCATACTTGGCATCGAAAGAAAGATGCATAGCAAAAAGTCACTGACAGAGTCTGTGCAGATGCTACGGATGCTACGGACGCAGGCTTGCGCTGCACTCCACGTCTTGCAAGTTGCGATATTATCTCAATTGGGACTTCGGACGCCCTCAAGTCGCCTCATAGTAGCACTCGATCAAAAATTGTTCCTCGTTAAGGGATTTAAACTGTGCTCGTTCCAATTACAGGACCCAAAAGAGCCCTGCATCAGTATTTATTGTCACTACCTCCCCAAATCGGGATTGGGTATTTCGCGCGCCTGCTGCGTTCCTTGGATGTAGTAGCCAGGGCGGCGCCCTGCGCAAGGTACGGTGATGTGAGGTGGCACGCGTTTCCGAGGACAGCAATAAAGCCCTTGTTTCAGTCTGTTACTAGATATTGGGGAGTCAAGGGATAATATACGCTTGAGTCTTACCTTGATCCACACCACGAGCTCTTTATGGTGGCAGAGCTTCCACTTCAAAGCACTCGGGACGCTGGAGATGATCTTTGTTAACCTAGCGAACTACTTAGCTCGAGAATATTCTAAGAAAAGACAGGCCGGTCGCATGCGTCTCATCCCAGCCTTCGAAAAGCTCCTGCATCTCAGCTAGGTCGCCTAGCGTTCGACTCCGCTAACCATCTGCGCCTACGACGATATCTGCCTCAATGGCCTCTGCGCCCTTGATGTGTACGACTGCCTGCTCGAAGTCCACATAGGTGACCTCAGCGCCTAGACGCAGGTTGACTCCGTCCTCCTGAGCTGCGACCCAAAGCACCTCGTGGTAGTCTGGAGCGAGAAATGACCCCGAAATCGAGAGTATCAGCATTGCATGCTAAAAAATGGAGTAGCTGACGCTGACAATCTATCGTGTTCCTCTGTCGCCCAAAGAGTACGCCAAATTTACATCCATATATTGCCAAAGTGCTCCAGCATCTTCTGTCCTCCATCGATCCGGAACGACAGCTTCCCGTCTCTGTAATGATTGTCGTCGACAGAGTCAATAACGACACCCCCTTTCAATGAGCTGTGAGAGCAGGCCCAGTTGTTCGACGACTCTCGTAGCACTCTGAGGTAACTGAATTCCAGCGCCGATCTTTCCAAGGGATGGTTAGGACTTTCGGAAATGGAGGGCTTGCTAGGTGAGTAAGATATGTACTGACAGGAGCAGGGGCCGGAGCCTGCTCCAGCACTGTTACATCCAGGCCTTCTTTTGCACATTTCAGCGCGCACGCTAGACCTCCAATGCCGGCACCGAGAATTACCACCTTCATAGCTTATGGTATCTTGCTGTTTGTGCAACTTTGATCGTTATCCTCCCTGAGTTGGATGGCGGGGAGGAAAGTTGTCTGGACGGTAGGCAAAGGCTTTCGGGAAGTCGACTCAAGTATACCTTTCGGTCAGGGGTGCAGATTGCGTTCACTAGCACAAGAGGTTACATTGCTAGGTGTCGAGCAAGCAGACGGCAGCCCCAGTTTCTTTGTAAAGATGCCTTCTGTCCAAGCCCCCCAGAGGGATTGGGGACATGCTCATCCAGGTGTAGCTTTATCCCGTAATGCGCGCGGCGTAAGCTGGAAAAGCCGGGCCCAGCAACCACGACGGGGATGATGGCTCCTCCGATCAGCGCCCCTCCACCGTTACATGTTGCTGGCGGGAACTTCCAGCACGATAAAGCCTTCTCTGTTCGAATTTCATCGTGTCCGACACGTCGGCTACCTACATTCAACCCAGGATAATGTGCCTTGTGGGTAGGGAAGCATGTGCTCTGTGACCCTGTTCAAGCAGTACAGACAATACGCCCGCAGGGCAAGACAGGCCAGTGCTGAAGAGCAACAAACATACACTCATACTGCCGCCTGACTCTCACATGCTTGTTTTCATTGTTCGCGACCTTGCTGACTCATTCTTCTTCATACTGGGCTAAACGAATTTCACTCAAAACCATAAGTTCTTTTCCACAGGCTGCTTTCAGCTCACCAACAATCCCAAAGCTGCGGCAGCATCTTTGCCAGCATCCTCAGCCTTTCCCGTGACGAAGCCGAGTGGAAGTGGAGGACCCCAGATGTAGAGAGAGTCCGGGCCCTCTGGTGAGCGAGTAAAAGCTGTATCTTGATTGACCAGATCTCCGTCGGCGTAATGCTCCACGATATTGCCTGTCGTGTCGAACCTACAATAGTACATCTCACGTCAGCAAGGTCACCCTGTGATACAAGGACCGTTGGGATCTTTGTTCCCCGAATGAAAGCTCGACTGACCAGTAGTCGAAGACTTGACTACCGAGGACATGTCTTCCTATACCCCAACAATTTGTATACCCCTTCTCGTATAGCCATTTATGGCCAAGAGCTTGCGTATCCGTGTCATTGACTTCATAGCTGGAGTGGTGCACGAATGCTGGTTTTCCATTTGGACTGACGCCTAGAAAGAAGCTCTGCACAAGTTGAGTCAGACGCGCGCAGGGCCATGTGCTGTCTTTACTTACATGATGATCGGTGTAGATTGGTCCGAGATCGATGTGCATGAAGCAAGTCACGTCCTTGCCGGTCTCCGGATTGAACACTGCGTCCGTAGGCACCAAGTTGATCAAACTGGTGTACCAGTTGAAGGTCGTCTCATACTTGTCATGAGGAACCATGTAGCCATAATGGCCCAGTTTGTGGACAGGACTAGGCCCGCTGTTAAACCTCCGGAAGTGACCTCGCCTGGGCTTCTCGTCTACCAGGTTCACAATCGGCTTCTCGTCACCAACGATACGATTCGTCTCCATCGTGGCAGACCCCATAAGTCGCGACTGCCCGTGAATAAAAGAGACAAGGAATCCGTTTGGGTCTTGGATGCTCACACGTTTTGCTCCACCAGGACCATGGTCTTCCTCAATCGGTGTTGCATTCGGCTGCGCTGCCGCAGTTTCCAGATCCTTCCTTGACTCGACCTCCCACGTGGCTCCAATGAAAGCACGACGCGACGTGAGCGACTGCTCCGCAACGTAGATGTACTGGTCCTGTCCGTATCCGCTGAAGTATATGCGCGACTCATCGCGTTGCCTCTCGATCATCCCAAAGTCCAGGAGGAATTTGGTGGCGGATTCGAGATTGGGGTGCTGGTAGTGGACGGATGCAAGGCGAAGGACTTTAATCTTTGGTTGCGAAGCCATGGTTGGAGGAATGCGCTTGGGGATTTTGTAATATGTCAATGCCAAAAAATGCCCATGTGGTTGAATGGACGTCCAAATGGCTCGGGGATGGAGGAAATCAGTACGATCTATAAACCTCATCCAGTACTTGGTAGGAAAAGGTTGAGCAACTTTTCCACCCACGAACGCCTGCACGGTCAAGGTCGGCATTCGCGCTCTCGCCGTGCTGCAGGGTACCTTAGTACACTTTTCATTTGTCCGGGCTAACCCTGTAAACTATATAGTATCCACCAGGTTTCGGACGGAGTTTCTTCACGGACTTCTCCCTCAGGTAATGTCAGTCGCAGCGCACAACAACACCATATCCTGTACTTGCGATGACGTTCAAGCAGCTTGTTCGGTTTGAGGAGGGCGGGCAAGTCCACCATGGCGAACTAAGGGAGGTTGACGCTGCTAAAGGGTACACAATCGAAGTCCTCGCTGGCAACCCTTTTCACGGGCTGAGCCCAACTGGCAAAGTTGTGACGGTGCCAAAGGTTCGTTGTGACAAGGAAGCTAAGGCGCAAGTCTTGTTGTGTTGTGGCCGCTGACCGGAAACTTGCGCACTGCAGCTTCTCTGTCCACTGGAACGCACCCCGATCATTCTTTGCGTGGGCCTGAACTACAAGAAGCATGCCGCCGAAGCCAAAGTCAGTACCATGCGGCAGGCCTGTCAGCCAGCAGGCGACCAATGCTGATAATCTACGTCACTAACATTCTTCTCAGTTGGAAGTACCGACGTATCCTGTGTTGTTTATGAAGCCGAGCGACGCGCTGGCGGGTCCGTCTGATCCGATTCGTGTGCATCCCGACGCGCAGATTCAACTCGACTACGAGGGAGAGCTCTGCGTTATCATTGGACGCGACGCGAAGAACCTCACAGAAGCTGAGGCGTTAGACTACGTGCTGGGCTACGCAATAGGCAACGACGTGTCGGCTCGGAACTACCAGGCTCCCTCCGCTTCTGGCGGACAGTACTGCTACGCGAAGTCCTTTGACGGGTTCGCGCCTATCGGGCCTGCCATCTGGTCTCCTGCCGTTGTCCCTGATCCGCAGGCTCTGTACTACCGAACCAAAGTGAACGGAGAGGTGGTGCAGGAGACTTCCACGGCGGACATGATCTGGTCTGTGCGGCAGCTCCTTGCCCATTTCTCCCGTGGGACCACACTTCGTCGCGGGACTGTTATCATGACAGGGACGCCGTCTGGAGTAGGATTCTTCCGTAACTCGTTCCTCAAGGACGGCGATGTCGTGGAGGTTGAGGTGGAAGGTCTCGGAAGGGTTTCAAATTGCATACAGTTTAGCTAAGGTAGTCATCACAACAGCCACTGGAGCATCTTTGACCATCTGATGCATGTGCACAGCGGAAAGCATGATCTCTCCATTAAAGAGTCAAAAGCCCTATTAATCCAGTAAAAGAAGTGTAAAATGGAGTTACAAACAAATTCCACTAGTATCAAGTGCTGTTCTTTGAATTTCTTTCGGTCTTGGCTTCGGCATAGGAGCGTGCATCGTCATCGCCAGGGGCTATCCAGGTACTGAAGTCTTATCTGACCTTTTCGGAAGTCACTTCTTTGGATGGAGATCAAGTATCCTTCAACACATCAACTGCTGATATGTTGCTTTGAAAGTGTGTACAAATCTGCAGGTTGAAATCTGGATGGACAGGTCGGACTTGGTGCAAGATGATTGTGCGGGGGTGGGTGGAAGTATGGAGGGTGGGCACGGCGAAGAGCGGCAATCCCCAACTCCGCGCCATGGACTTCTCAATTCCACGGACGGCATTTCTCTACTTCTATAGTTCGGATCCTAGGATTGGCCGCGGAATCATGCCATGTTGCTTCCACACTGCATTTGCACTACCCCTCTGCACAGCAACCGGCCGGTTTGTGCAAGGCCCATGGCTATCTATAATTAAAACTGTGTCCCACAAGCTCTGTTCTGCCCTTCACGCATCGCCACACCTGTTTGACAAATCCAGGACAGTGCGAAGTAAATCGCGGTCCTCTATCTTCTTGGATTTGTTGGCATCCTGAGATGCACTTGTAGCTTCTCGCAGAGTAAGAGTTCAGAAAGCTCAACATGTGGGTGGACCTTCACTGACGAGATCTTTCTCTTTCTAGGAGGAGGAACACGAAGGAAAATGGAGCGCCGATCGAGCGCAGTGGCTGTAGGTTGGCGCCACCCATATCCAGAAGGCAGCAGACTCGATGCCTTTCGCCGCCACGTGAACCGCGTGTACAGGCTGCGCCTCCAGACATATGATGACATCCACACCTGGTCTGTGGAGAACCTAGAGCAGTTCTCTCGGGCAACATGGGACTTCTGTGGCATCATCTACAGTGTTCCCCCGGAGAAGGTGGCCAATGGACTCCCCAACATGTGGCCTCGTCCTGAATGGTTTCCGGGCGCGCGACTCAATTACACCGAGAATATCCTTGCAGCCGGCCTGGCAAACCATCCTGACCAGATCGCTTTATCAGCACTTCGCGAAGCGGGCACCCACTGCCGCCATTTGACTTGGAGCGATCTACGACACCTTGTTGCACATTACGCCAGTGCCATGCGAGCCGCAGGCATACAGAAGAGCGACCGAGTAGCAGGTGAGTCTCGACTGGTACGCAGTCGATCCTTTTGCTCATTGGCCCTCTCAAACAGTCTCACCTCCACGGCCAGCCGAAAGAACATGACTGACGGAACCACTACTGTCTTCACAGCCATTCTGTCAAACTCCATCGAAGCCGTAGGCCTTCTGCTTGCTGCTGGATCCATCGGAGCCATTTTCTCCTCCACAGCACCCGATCTAGGAGCCTCCGGCATCGTTAGTCGATACGAGCAAATTCGGCCAAAGATCTTGTTCGTCGACTCCGAGGTCTTTTATGCTGGGAAGCACAGAGTTTTGCACAAGAAACTGGCAACAGCGATCACCCAACTAAGGCAACGGGTCCCAGAGTTGCAAAAGGTAGTCACGGTATCAGGGTCAAATTCATTCTTGAAGGAATGGTAAGCTTGACCTATGTGGATGACTACTCGCTATTCAGATGGCCGTTCACTTATCCGATGCTTGACTTCTTTAGTATCTCCCTTCGACAATTCTTGGATGTGCCGATCGAACCGTTGAGCTACGCCCAAGTGCCATTTGATCACCCTATCTACATATTGTACTCGTACGATGTTGCCCTCCCCCGGCCCCACCCCCTATTCTCACAAGACCAATCTCAATCTCTACTAACGACACAGCAGATCTGGAACGACAGGGACTCCTAAATGTATGTATAGATCAGAACCAAAATGGGGGGATATCATGCTAAGCACCAAAACCAGGCATCTGCCACTCCGGCGGAGGTGCACTCCTCCAGCAAAAGAGGGAGCTCATCTTGAGCACCGACTTAAACAGTGACTCAACATATTACCAATACACAACTGTAAGTAGTACTAAATACCATTGAACTCTCTCTGAAGCACCAGGTTGACAAAGGATGAAGACTGGCTGGATGATGTGGAACTTTCTAGTCGGATCGCTCAGCGTCGGATCTCGAATTGTGTTGTATGATGGGAGCCCCCTACACCCAAGTGCAGCATTCCAAGTCAAGCTCTTGGAAGAACAGAAGTATGTTTGCCCTGGCTTGATTCCTAACTACATGACGTAAAGCTTGAGCTGACGGTGTCGCTCAGCGTGACACATTGGGGCACTAGCCCTAAACTATTGACAGCCTTGAAGCTCTTGGGTTTCAAGAGGACTGAGCCGTTAGAATCACTGCGCTATGTTATTTCATCTGGGTCCCCTCTGTCCTCCGAGGTGGCACACTGGTTTAGAGATAGCTTCCCAAAGCGCGTTGGCTTGTTCAGCGGTTCTGGCGGAACAGATCTGGTGGCAGGAAGTAAGCATTGCTCATTAGTTTCGTCTTCCACGCATGGCGTTGCCTGCTAACGCGAGTTCGCAGTAATCAACGGAAATCCCATGGTGGAAATATTTGATGGGGAGCTCGCCTCATCTCAGTTAGGCATGAATGTGCAGGTGTGGAATGCACATGGGTGCGACATTGGCATGACAGGTGAACGCGGCGATCTCGTGATCACCACGCCGTTCTTCAGTATGCCAGTCTGCTTTTGGGGCGACAAAGATAACGAGAAGTACCGCAAGGCCTATTTCCAGAAATTCCCGGGGGTTTGGTGTCATGGGGACTTCGTACTCAAGAACTTCGTCACAAAGGGCTACGTGATCCTTGGTCGCAGCGACGGCGTCTTGAACCCCGGAGGTGCGTAAACACAGATACTCTGTCTGATGCTGATTCGATTCCAGACGTGGAAAAGAAATGAAAGGGCGGGAAGCTAACGGAGCCAGCAGGGATCCGTTTCGGAACTGCGGAAATATACGCTGTCGTCGACCAGATCGCTCAAATCGAAGACTGCATCGCCGTTGGGCAACGGCGCCCAGGCGAAAATGATGAACAAGTCCTCCTGTTCCTCAAAACCGAGGCAGCGGACTTTGATGGCCTTCAGCAGAAAGTCAAGGCCGCTATCCGGGAGCAGGTCGGCCCCAGGCAGGTTCCCGCCTACATTTGCCAGGTTCGGGATATACCTTATACATTGAACGGCAAGAAGATTGAAATGGTGGTCAAGTCTATCGTGTGCAAGGGGAAATTGACGAATTTGGACTCTGTGGCCAACCCAGAGTGCCTGGAGGAGTATGCAAAATTCGCGGACCTTCCACTCTCATCAGAAGCAGCCAGATTGTAGGGGTTGTACGCATGTTTAACGTTTGTGTTCATAGTGCTTGCATTTATTAGCAATTTCTTATATGCTGTTGACATGAACAACATTGTGTTCCCACTTCAGATAATCCTACACCCTGGGCCAATCCTCAAACCTCAAAACGCCAGGTAGTTGAACGGCTGGCAGTCGTCACTCAGTCGATCGAGATCTAGCTGCAGATCTTGGTCGATGTTATACACGTGGTCCGGAGTCAGAGATGGGTTGCCCGGATTTGCATTTGCCAGACTGTGCATCTGGGCGTTCCCCATCTCCGTGTAGTCTAGGAGCGTGTCAGGAATCTCAAAGACTTCCTCACGCGATTCGAAATTTCTTGAGACGCCATTCGAGAGTCCGCTTTTGTCGAAACTTGTTCTCTCCACCGTTGGCGGACTGGCATTGGCATTTGACCTTCCTCTTGCGCTTGGGTTCGCGTGTGGGAAGTATATGGCGAAGTATTTGGCGAGCTGAGCATCTACTTCGCCCAACGAGGTGCCTTGACTCAGGATTTTCAAAATGTCTGAAACGTCAGTTGATCGACAGTTTTGGTCTCTACGTTTTCGTGGTTCTTACCAAGTAAGATGGATCCCAGCTTCCAGATAGCAGTGTGTCCGGATAGAATCAGCATTAGCATGTCTTGGTGAGTTTGTGAGCCTCCGTTTGGTAGCTGGAGCAATTGCCTTGAAGGTTGCGTATAGATTGGAACCATAGAACATATGAAGAAGGGGTGGCTCAACTCAACGTAATCAGGATGCCAGTGGAAGATGAGGTGGCCAACTTCGCGCCAACTGGTTAAGGTGCCTGCTGCGCGTGATGCACCGAGGGTGGACACGGATGAGCGCGCCGCCAGGACCATCAGATGCATACCAATGATCCAATTGGAATCTGCAAAAGTTTCCGAATTAAAAACGAGGGGGTGCTTCTCCAGTCCAAATCGTTGCGAGATTGCCAAGGTGAGACAAGTAACCGAGTTCGCAAGATCATCTTGGTCCTGGGAGCTGGCGTATCTGCTCGAGCATGCATCGTTGCAAACAGCGAGGAGGTAGTTGGACAACAGGAACCATGCGCGCGCATCCTGGTTGGGGGAACGTAGAAGCACCTTCCAAGACTCGGATGGCCGTGGGTCAAGGAGAGGAGACTCTACTGGCTCGTTGGAAAACCAAGCAGCATCGCTCACCGGTAGCTTCACGGCCATCCTCTGTCGATCAATGGCATGAGGGCGCCTGCTCATTATCGCAGAAAAGGTATCCAGCTCCCACACGAGCCAGAATGCTCTTCGATGCTCCTCGAGATCCATCCAGGATTCCTTGCTTTCAGCGAAAGCTTCTTCTTGGTCCATGTTATACAGGTCGAGATCATATAACAAGCGAACGCAGACTCCTGTCAATAGCCAAGACTTGTGGGTTGGACCTGAGGCGTGCAAGTAGAAGGCCAAGAGAATGCAGCCTTGGAGATAGCACAGGGTCAGCTCGTCCTCGCTTCCTCGGAGGCCATTATAGCATTCTTCTGCAAGCACAGCAAAACGCGCCCCTCGATCCGGTGGTTGGATAGCCCCGAGAAAAGGACTGTTCGAAAACCGCGCTGCCAGCGCAAAGATGCCGTACAGCTGGAACATTTGCAATGTAGAGTACTCGTCTTGCTTAGCGAATGTGGACCCTGGATTGCTCATATGCAGAGAGAAGAATTTGGGTTTGTGAAAGACCGGAAGCCACGCCTGAATTTTGTTGAAGAAGATGGTAATGAGCTCTGTAGCAAGCGCTTCTGGGACGTCTGCAATTCTGGATACGTCGCAGACTCTCATTGGTGCTTGTGAAGTCTCTGAGGAGCGATGATCATAGCGACAGTCTCCAGGGCTTGCTGCTGAGAAATTCATGAAACTGTCATCTCCGGATGGTGTCTGATCGGAGCTAGTCGATGTCGTCATCGGATTTGCAGGTATTCTGCACTCCAGGTCGTCGTTCTCTGGCAGAGTCATCGTGGACATCCGTCTTTCCGAGGCCGTGGGTGGTATTCGATCTGACGCTGGATCAGAGGTGAGTCTCAATTCAAGTAGATCAACGAGTCTGTCTGATTGCAGCCGACGAGTTAGCTTTATTGTATAAAGCGCCCATGCCCATCAGCAGCGGGACCGGTTCCGTGTACTCTCGCTTCTTCCCTTTGATCCCACCACATGCACATTCTCCCGGACAGTCTCACTCACCAAGCCTTTCCGGATCAAGCTTCCTCCTTTTGCTGCCTGGTAAATTCGAGCCCTTGCGCTGTTCCGGCGTCTTCCTCTTCGTGGGGAATGTACATGAACCTCCGGTTCTGTAGCAGAGTCCACAGATTGGTTGCCGCATGTCACCTAATTGAGGAGAAAGGCAGCAGTCAGTCTAACCATAAGTAAGGCACGAGAACGGCTCTGCTGAGCGTTTTCTTTACATTTTGTTTTCTTCCTATTGCAAGATGAATAAAGCTGAGCGATTGGCACGGCGGAATTTGACCGAGGACGAGCTCGGTGCGCGCCCGAGGATGACTTACCTGCGGCACTCAACACACGCTCTGTGCCCTCTGTTCATCAAGTAAGGCCATGAAGTCGGACTACCTTGCTGCAGTGGTACGTTCTCGGAAGGGATTTGGCCGGGTTCGAGGTGGCCCGTAAATGGGGGGGAGGCCATGTGGAAAGCAAAACCCGAGAACAAAAGAACAAAAGTCCGCTGGACACTGGACGGAAACGATGAGAAGAAGTAGCTGCGCGAAATCCGAGAATGCGTTGTGTTAGAACAATACTAGACAGGACTGGCGCACCGTGGTCGCCGATGGTAGGAATGATGCAATGAATTTCTCTTCTCCTCCGGTGGTCGAAAGTCAAGTCCATGAAGGGGCCAACTGCGGGGGTTGGAGGGTGTGGCTCTGGACGACATCGCGCGTGGTCCAGAGCTTCCGGGCAGCGTCACGTGCCCCTGAGGGGAAGTGGGTCGCTCGCCCAGTGCCGCACACACCGCTGTGGGTGGAGAAGCGGGAGATGTCCTCGAGGTCCTACCCTGTATACATAAAACTGACTCTAGTGGTCTGTGCTTAGTCAAGACAAGACTGAACTGGCCATTTGGATCTTCTTTCAAGAAGGGGCGAACCACACTAGGTGAGGCTAGGCTGGCACATCCAGGGCTGATTGTTTGGTGCCATGCGATCAGAACCAACAACGGGTAAACCCCCGTCTCTTAGTTGGGAACGATGGCTTTATGGCTTTTGTGGGGGACAGATGTCCCCTGTCAGAGTGGCTGACTCTCGCCTATCAATTCATAATCGACACAACCGTCAAGGGACTCTGGGTTTGAGAATGGGATTCAACCGTCCAATATCATGCTTCCTGTCGCTTGATCTCGCGTCCAGGCACGTAGCAATGCTCTAGATCCTGCTCTCATACTCCTCGTACAGCAGAGCGATCGCTGGGCTGAGGGGGGGTTTGGCGCTTCTTGTACACACCAACTGGCCAAAAACTGTACAGGTTGCTGCACCAAGCACCCTTGTGTTTGAGGGACACCAGCCAGCTCACCCAGCAGCCGTATTGCAGCTGGTGAACGGGGTCTGAACCATCGAGATGGTCAAGTGCCATTCCGTCGTTTGAGGCATTCTCTATACACAGTCTCCGACGTCTCTGTCACTCCACCACGTTGTCAGTACCAGTTGGATTCTGTGGCGGTCATCCCTGCTTCAACCCTACCAGGTGGCAGGCAATAGGGTGGGTGGGCCCGGTCAGCCACGGCATTCCGGATGTGGGGAAAGCGGGGGAACCAGGCGACTCCAAACTCTACTTCGGTAGCGGCGGCATTAGGCGGCAACACCGCGCTGAGACTGGTCCAGTCTTGCCACTGGCCTTGGAAGTAAAAAAAAACCTGCTGATTGGCCTACAAAGAGCTGCTTGAGGGCGTTTGTTCTAGCCCAAGCTTCGCCGTTAGACTCCCCCGGTGACCTACTCCAGTCTTGAGGTGAATTCAATTGCTATGACGAAGTCACTAAGCGATCAAGCAGAGACCATGGAGACAGTTGAGACACCTGTGCTGGTGGTTGGTTCTGGTCCAGCTGGGCTCCTGTTAGCCTTTCAACTGGCTCGGTATGGCGTTCGCTGTATGCTTGTGGAGCGCAATCTTGACACCACCAAGTGGCCGAAAATGGACATCACCAATTGCCGGAGCATGGAGTTGTTCAATCGGCTAGGCATCTCTGAGGCCTTCCGTGAACAAGGTAAGCATCCGTCCCCTCTGGTCACCAATGCTTGGCTTAGCTTCTAACAAAATGCTGATTTCAATCAGGCGTTGCGCAACACTATTCTTCCGACGTATTGTTCAGCACGGGGCTTTCTGAAGGCGGAGAGCTTGTGGCAAAATGGGTGTGTTGGCATGTCTGAGCTTGAGCTTGAGCTTTCGTCTACGCTTGAAAGGTCTAACCTCGTGGCTCATGTAGAGTCTTCCATCTCCGGATGTCTGGAAAGAACGTATACGGCAACAGAATGACGGCACGATGCCCCGCGAACCTTACCAGCGTTGCAGCCAGGCAATATTTGAGGCGTGGCTGAAAAAGAGGATTCTTGCTGAACCCCTTATCGATACACGCTATGGACACAAATTCGAGTCCTTCAAGGAAGGCAAAGACTTTGTCGAGGCGGAGATCACGGATGTCGAGAAAAACGAAAAGTACACTGTTCGGAGTAGGTTTCTCGTGGGGTGCGACGGAGCTGGCAGTCGCGTACGGAGAAACTTGGGCGTGGAGTTGGTCGGCGGCCCAGCGTACGTTCACAACTCCTCATTTGATGGCAGCTCACCGATAAACTAACTGTGAGACCCCAAGTCCTATCGCCATGTACCTTGTCCATTTCAAGTCCAGAGATCTGTCTAGGTTGCAGAAGCAGGGTCAGTTTTGGCACATCTTCTTCACGAGTGGGGCCGCCATCATCGCCCAGGATGAGGTCGAAACATGGACAATCCACATCCCGATCCCGCTTGATGTGGACTGGAAACAACTGGACCCACGTCAGGAAGTGTACAAGGCTCTCGGAGGCTCTCTAGCGCCTTTTCCCATCGAGGTGGGTGAGATTCTGGTCTGTAGCGCATGGCGCCCAGCTATCTCTGTTGCCGAGAAGTATTCGTCGCCCAGCTTGAAGGTATTCCTTGCGGGTGATTCTGCACACCAGAACATCCCTACCGGCGGGTACGGCATGAATACTGCTGTCGGCGATAGCTTTGACATTGGGTGGAAACTCGCCGCTATTATCAATGGTTGGGGTGGAGATCAACTCCTAAGTTCATATGAGCTGGAGAGAAAGCCCGTAGCCATTCGTAACATCGAGCGGTCGGGCGTACACCACAGGGTCCATCAAACTTATGTTGAGTGGACCATGGGGGCAGGTCCAGGCGTCGTTACGGCCAACGCTGATGCCGGTGCTGCCCTGCGAGAGCGGATTCGTCAGCATGTGCTGAGGAACGATGGTGAGAACCAAGACCACGGTATCGAACTTGGCTACAGATACAGCAACTCCAACATCATTCTCAAGGAGAAAGCACAGGACGCAGAGTCTGACTTCGACTACCGAAACTACGTTCCATCCCCAGTACCCGGTGCCAGAGCGCCTCACGTCTTCCTTGCCGATTGCAAGACGAGTATCTTCGATATCTTCGGCCCTCAATTTACGCTGGTGGACTTCTCTATCGACGGAACATGGGCTGCTTCCTTCGAAAAGTCTGCTTCAAGGCTGAACATCCCGCTGAAATGCGCCAATCTGCCAAGGGAGAGTCAAGCGAAGAAAGTCTGGGGGGAGGCGACGCATTCCTAATTCGCCCCGATGATCATGTGGCCTGGCGATCCTCTGGATCTCGAATGGATAAGCAAGACGACATTGAGACAATTCTCAGGGTAGTCACGGGTCAGGATGCCACGGATCCCTCCACCAGGGCCATTTTTCCAGACTCCATAGAAATTGTGAAGTCCAAAGGCTTTACAGGAACAGTGGGTAACATAGATCAGACGACAGTGAAGCAACGTGCTGAATTCCAAGAATAAAGATTGATTGGGCGTTTTGCGACCCCTTTAACATTGCTCAATATCCACTAGTTAGCTAGGATTGCAATTCCTCAAGTTGGACTGTACATGTTTGCTACTTCTAGAGAAGTAGACCGACTCTGAGTATCAAGGCGGAGGACAAACCTCGCGACCACCCCCCCCCCTGGTGACCGCGTACCCAAATGCGCATAAAGCCACCACAAAACTCACTATTACTCTAAAATAACTTAATGATCAGTGGATCAATTAACTTCAAAACAAGGGTCCTGCACCTCTATGCAGCTCTCTACGTCACTGTTACCTTTAACAAAGCTCCTCGTCGTCGTCGTCGCTGTCGTTATCGCCGCTATCGTCGCTAACAGATCCCAGCTCATACTACACCTATCTATTTGCGCATTCCACCTCGATTACGTTAAATATCTCACTAATAAAGCGGAGGCCCTCGATAGAATACTAGCAGAGTGAGAATTCGGACCTGTGCAAGGCCGCTCCTGCCGCCGGTGCTAGCAAGGAGGAGGGCGAGGAGAAGGAGGGAGTTGATGAGCGCTGGGCTAGGTTGACGAAGGGGGGATCGAGACTGTGGGCAAGCTGATGCAGAATGTGGTCGTTCGGAGCGTGACTAGATGGTAGGGAGGCATAGAGGCATCGTAGGGCTCACTGTGGGCCAAGCAAAATTGGTGTTGGAAATGATGCCGTGTCGTCCCGTTTGCCCAGAATTGTTTCAATCGCAACGGCGCGATCGAGGAAAATCCATTAGATTTCATTTTTGAAAGGCACAACGATAGCTTCAAGGTGCTTGACTTGACGTGCGCGAGGTTGACTGAGCTGAGGCAGAACGCTACGGAGTGGCTGTGTAAACAGAACTCCGCCAGAACGTGCAGGGGTTCGAGATCCTGACCCCTGCCAGATTACCTCCGTCGGGTGCACCTCAACAACTTTGGCTGTGGACCTCGGGCCATCCGTCTTTTTCCTCATCTATGCACAGAGTGAATGTCGTGAGCGATGCCGGGAGACCTGACGCCTCTGCAGTACGCGCCTCTTTCCAAAGGCGAGGCTCGCCTCCTCTACGCAACATCATCCGGCTCTGAAATCGAGTGGACACTGAAACCGGCGCGACTGCTACGTGGTCCGGGCGAGCCTCCTCTCGAGTTCGACGCCCTCTCGTACACCTGGGGGGACTTCGAGCGCGCAGCTCTGCTCAGAATCAATGACGAGGCTCTGCATGTCCATCATAACCTGAACGAAGCTCTTCCGTATTTCGTTCCACGCCTGAACGGCAGGCCTATTTGGATTGATGCGATATGCATCAATCAGCAAGGCGATGATGACAAGACACAACAGATTGCCCTGATGGCACACATCTATCGCCGAGCACAAGTAGTCTGGGCATGGTTAGGCTACCACGATGACGCTGTCCACAAGCTTCTTGACAAGATTGTCGCTGTCGCGGCCCAGATGACAGACGATGGGACTCAAATCCCGCGCTGGGAGCTGTCGCAGCTCGAGGGCGAGCCGACACCGAGGTACGGTCTGCCTCGACTGGCGGATCCAGCTTAGTCGGGTCTAATGCGACTGCTCAATAACAGCTGGTACAAGCGCCTCTGGGTGGTTCAGGAAGTACACAGCCGCTCAAACCAGTCCGAGCACCGTTGGATACGCTAGCGTAGTATTCCGTTTCGCTAGGCCTACTGTGCTAGGGCGGGTGAGGATTCTTCTAATTGGCGACAAAACAACCACCACAGCCGGAGGAAGTCCACCGTTTCCCAGTTTCGGCGGCATTACCGGCGAGGTACATTCTAGCCATAGGCCAGAGTAAGGGAATTCCTAGATAGGGCTAAACGTGATTTTTGAAAGGGAGAGCTAGCTACATTAGTGTCACGATCCTGCCTCCGGGGTCAACCGTCTGGCAGGGCGCTGGGGTTGCTGTTCTGCAAGATAGGTAAAGCCTGTACAATAACAACTAACACTCTGCTGTCGTTCTCTCTCTGGGTTGTCGTTCGTGTCTCTTGGAAGAGATACCAGTCTCGGCAATTGAGTGACTAGTTCAAGTGTGGGTGAAACTGATACTTAGATTGATCGCTGAAGTACAAAGGTAATGACTGTCCACAAGGAGATCCTCCGTACTCTATATATCCTTTGTCCTTCATCGTGGTCATGACTCTGAGCCCGATGGTCGCGGCCAGGTCATGAATCTGGTCCTGACGGTCATGCAGATATTGGTGACCATCCTTCTTGGCACAGCGTCGGTCATGCAGATATGCATGACCGGTACGTACCTTCCTTATCGTCCCTTATCGTGCTTACATAAGAAACCTGTGACGGTGCTGCCACATGATCCGCCCTTGTCCTTGGCCTGATCCTGTGGCCTAGTTGTTTGGGCTCTTTTGCGTCCGTAACAAGCATCCCCTGTTGGTTGGCCGTCACAATTAGCAACGAATTCCTAATACAACACTTATCAAGGAATCTCTAATCATAGCATTATCAATAAGGTATAAGGAAGAACGAGCGCTTAAATACAGGAATATAATAAGTAGAAAAGTCAAGACGAACTAGATGATAGCTAGGCATATATACATGGAGGACTATCTATAAAAAATATCGCAATAGCTCCAAGCCTTTATATACTACTCCATAAACTAACCCCTAATCAGACTATTCCGCACTATTATTTTACTAACCTATCGCAGATAGGCCATAGCTTCCTCGTCCAAGGGGGGAACAAACCCCTTAGTTCTTACTACGTTCAAACACGACGTATTCCAGCCCATTCAACAGAAGTAAGGCACTTTTCTTGCTATGCCCGATTTACGCATAATTACCTAAACTATCCTTAACTATAACGTAATCCACGGGCGAGTGGCCCATACGGGCGAGTGGCCCACTTTCATTCACTATACCGAATCCAACTCTTCTTCACGCGTTTATTCCACCACGAAAGATGGAGACGCCTTCTAAAGAGAGTCAATTGTTCCTTGCTATCCAAGCAATGGAAAACGACCCAAACTTAAGCACCCGACGCGCTGCCGAGATGTTCAACGTCCCCCGAACAACCCTACGACGCCGAGAGAAGGGAGTACCTGCCCGACGCGAAAGCCCTCCGAATTCTACAAAATTAACCAAGCTGGAAGAGGAGAAGATTGTCGAATATATTCTCGACTTGGATGCGCGAGCATATCCTCCTCGGCTAAGTGAGGTTAGAGAAATGGCGAATCAACTACTCGCGAAGCGCGACAGGCCAGGTGTCGGAATCAACTGGGCCTCAACCTTTGTTAAACGACGACCAGAGCTCCAGACGCGTTTCTTTCGCAAGTACGACTACAAGAGAGCCCAGTGCGAGGATCCCGACGCGATAAACGCGTGGTTTCGGCTTGTGCGGAACGTAGTTGCGAAATACGGTGTCGCGGACTCCGATATTTACAACTTCGACGAGACAGGCTTTCAGATGGGCGTTATCGCGACCGGGATGGTCGTTACAAACGCGCAAAGACGTTCGAACGTTAAGATGAAGCAACCGGGTAATCGGGAATGGGTTACGGTCATCCAGGGCGTCGGCGCGACCGGATTTTACGTCCCGCCGTTCGTAGTATTTGCCGGCAAATATCACCTCTCGACCTGGTACCAAGACGACGTGATTCCTCGCGACTGGAGAATTATAACGTCCCTAAACGGCTGGACTGCAAATGAAATTGGTCTAGATTGGATTCGGCATTTCGATCAGCATACAAAGTTGCGAACAAAAGGCGATTATCGCCTCCTCGTCCTCGACGGCCACGAAAGTCACCACTCGGTCGAATTCGAGCTCTACTGCAAGGACAGCAAGATTATTACGCTCTGTATACCTCCTCACTCGTCTCATATACTCCAGCCTCTCGATGTTGGGTGTTTTGGTCCGCTGAAGAAAGCATACGGTCGGCAAATCGAGCTTAAGATGAAGGCGGGTACAACGCATATCAGCAAGGAGGACTTCCTCCCCTCGTTTTTAGCAGCATTCCAACAGACAATGACGGAAAAAAACATCTAGGGAGGCTTCAGAGGGGCAGGACTTGTACCCTATGACCCAGAAGCAGTCTTATCTAAGCTCGATGTAAAGTTCAAGACGCCAACGCCCCCAGGGACGCCTCGGAGGTCACCCGAGCTATGGACTTCCCGAACGCCTACTATAGCTATAGAAGCCCGTTCACAGTCTGATTTTATTAAAGGTCGAATCTCTCGTCACCAGGGAAGCTCTCCAACGTCAATTATTGAAGCAGTTGAGCAGTTCACGAAGGGGGCAAAGGGGATTATGTATAAGTTTACCTTAATGGAGGCAAGGATGAAAGCCCTTGAAGACGAGAATGCAATACTTAGCAAGCGTCGTAGGGCGAAAAAAACACGTCTCAGGAAAGGCCAAAGCATGACTCTAGGCGAGGGACAAGATCTCGTAACCCAGAGAGAGGTAAATGCTCAGGTAGTATAGGAAATGCAGGAAAACTCTAGGGGTGAAAGTCGATCTGCACCAAAGCAGCGGTGCTGTAGCGTCTGCGGGAAACCCGGTCATAACGCAAGAACTTGTTACATAGTTACTCTTGGGTCTTGTTAAGTACTGGCCCTAGGTCTGAACAGATACTAGGCGTATTAGATTTACTACGAACTTGGGAAATAAAAGGAGGTAGTTCGCACTCTCCGTGAGCGCGTTACGGTTTTGTTAACCCCCCCTGTCTCCCCTTTTTTGACCCACCTAGGCTCGGGCCAGAGCCCGAGCCCGTAACATACCCTCCTCCCCCCCCTCCTAGGATGGTCGGTATCGGGACCGCCGCCCCGGACTATCGTTCCTCCAAACTATAGCTCGAATTGCTTACCGGTATTAGGTAGCGTGTCGCGTAACCTCGCCTCTCGCGATATGGCTCACGCGTAGGAACCGCTTGGCTCCCGCGTAGGGGTCGCTTGACTGCCGCGTTACGTTGGTCGAGCGTGGCGTGAGGGTCCGGGTACGCTCGTATCTGACGCATGTCTAGACACGACGGCTGCCCGAGAGTATCCCTTTGCGGTCCGGGGTCGAGTCTTCCTTCCCCTCTTGCTGGGGTTCTGACTCTCCCGGTTCTCTCCATCTCTGTGATCCGGTGTAGACGGCACGCCTCCGACGACCGCCTAGGGGTGGCCTCCCGCGGATTGGCGTCGGGCTCCCGTTTTTTCCTCGGTGGAGCTCCGCCCTCCTCGCTCTCCTTCCTTCCCACAGTTCGGGCCCGTGTAGGCCGCGGGCGCCGCGATCCCTCTGCCCGCGCGCTTCATCTATAGGCGTAGGCCCCGCGTGCCTCGTGTGCTGGCGCCTGCGCGGAGAAAAGAAGGCCCGGCGTGCCTCGTGTGATGGCGCCGCCGCGGCGAAAAGTGGGGCGGCTGCCGGCCGGGCGACGTGCGCTGGCCGGCGCACCGGACCCACGTGGTGCGCTCGCCGGCAGGCCGCCCCTCCTCCTCGACACATATATAAAGCCCTCTCCCACCTCCCACCCCCCAAGTTTTCCCTCTTTCCTCCTCCTCAAGTCGCTCTCGCAGCTGCCCCGCGTTGGCAGTTTTCTTGTGTCTTTCTCTTCCCCGGTTTCCGCGCCGTTTCCGCCTCGCACCCCCGCCACCATGTCTGCCGCCGTCGACCTCGCTCCGGGCAGCACCGCCACCGGCTCCGGTGGTGAACCGCCTCCACTCCGTCGGGCACTCGTGGCGCCGCCAACACCCACCAACTTGCGCGCATTGCGCAGTTTCTCAACAACCGTTTCGACCACATCGACCGCCGCTTTGACCAGCAGGAAGAATTCAACAAGCAGGTCGCCAGCAACCTCAGCGACACCGCTCAGCTCACTGCCCACTTGATGCAGTCTCTCGGCATGGTTCCGCAGCGTGGTCTGCCTGCGCCCGCCCCCTTTGGTGGTCGTGCTCAGATTGAGTACGATCCTCCCTCCAGCAGCACCCCGTCGACTCCGTCTCGCACCCCCCGCGCCACCCAACAGCGCCCTCGCACCAACCGCTCCGGAGGACGTTCGGGTCGCCGTGAGCGTCAGGCGGAACTCCAGCCCACCCTCCCTCCTGTCGTTGCGGAACCTCGACCCACCAACCCTTTTGTCGTTGAGCAGGCCGCCCCTGCCCAGGGCGATGTCGACTCGGATTTCGGTGGCGGTAACGACGAGTCCGAGGTGTCCGAGGCTAAGTAAGCAGTCGGAATGCTTGGAGTACCTTGACGTGTACTAGATGAAGATTGAGAATTCGCGAGTTAGGTATGGAATGGGGGAGGATTGGGAGTTGGCTGAATTGGGAGACGTTCATGTACCGTAGCCGCCGTAGCCGCCCCCCGCCCGTCGAGGGCCCGAATACCAACCGCGTCAGCAACACCTGTGCCCCCGTTCCGTTTCCGTAATGAGCTTGGTCCGTCGTTGTGTCGGATGTCCCCCCATTCTTTCTCAAATTCATCTAGGGCCTGCGTGTCCTCCACCGCCGAGATCGGTTCCCACGTCGGCTGGTCCCACCCCGTCCACTTGACGAGGGCCAGCCGGGGCCGGCCTCGGCCCCTTCCGGTTTTAGCAGCCAAGATGCTGTCCACTCCATACTCTTCCAGTCCGGGGCCTTCCGGATCCGAGCCTACCTCGACTGGTCCCGGGTTGGAGACCCCCCGGTCGTGGCTCGGGAGGGGATCGTCGGCAGCTCGTTCGACAAGGTCAACGTGAAAGGTTTTATGGACATCCCCCGGGACATCAAGTTGTACTGTGAGCGGGGTCGGGACGCCGGTGACCTGGTAGCGACCTCTAACCCAGTCAAGCTTTTTACTGGGGCGCTGTGTCTTTAGGTTTCGCAGGCTAAGCCAGACCCAGTCCCCAACTTGG